TAGCTGCAGTTTTTACAGTGTTGACTGTTTCACTGTGGCGCAAATCTTTCAAGGTACCTTGAAAACTGAGAATCAAAGATATTGTTCAAATACAAATTGAATTATTCTTCGTTGTACTTAAAGCGAAGGTAAATAATTCTTTAGAGGACGGAGCTCAGTCGGATTAAACAAAAGAACAAAGATTGATAGGAGGACACTGGGTAATTGATTTGAAGTGGAAATGTTATGATTGATCTATTGATTAGCTGTCTGCCGCTCCAGCCTCTTCTTAAAGGCAGACATACGGCTCTGCTCAGGGGACCATGAAGCTGGAACCGGGGCCTCAGAGGGACACGCGGCTCTGTCTGTTTACCCTGAGACTATTAGGACTCTGAGACAAAGAAGAGTCTGGATGAGGCTGCCCCTTTAAACCCTGTCCCATTCAACATCTGTTAGAAGTCGATGCTCGGTCGGACATATTTTGTGACTCAGAGGCTGTTGGAGGGTTTTAGATTGAAGGATGTCATTGATATACAATTGACAAGAGACAGGCGGACATGGGTGCTGAACTTCCCTTGATGGACACGAGGAAACACACACTTCCATGGATGAACATAAGACATCTGCCACCAGTTATAGTATTTCTCAGTCTGGGATTGGGATTATGGTTTTGAACGTCTTCTGTACTTTAAGCAAAATTAAAAACTCAAAGAATTAAATATGGCAGGAGAATATATGTGCAAAACTTTATTTACAAATTAATCACAGATGGAATAAAATGGTTATACTGACTCCACTAACCACTAGCATGCTACTCAATTTCACCAAGGTGCCCGTAGTGCTCCATCGCTCTCTTTATCAGCGACAGTGAAGTGGACAGCCAGACTACAGTGAAGTCCTTTATCCCAACCAACAAACAGATAAATCACCAGCTCTGACCCACACACTCACACACAGGGGAGCAACAGACAGTAAAAGTCCGATATGTCCCAAGAGAGACCAAGAAAAGGATTGTTGTGTGAAGCAGGAAGGGGTTATTGTTCACCAGATGCCAGAGCGTGGGCATCCAGGCACAGATTAGCTACAGGGAAACATTATCTCTCCGGGACAGTTTACAAGACCCAGTCTAGGCTGGCAGAGCATGGCTTGGTCACTTAGGTACTTGATGTTCTGAGTGGCTCTTGTCTCCCGTAAGAACAAAGTGGAGGCTTGTTGGGGAAACCAAGGGGGTTGAGTCCCTGATCTCCTTCCACCTCCTCTCCTCCCCTCTGGCCCACAAACCAACTGCGAGGCTGCTGGAGTTCAAGCCTGGCCACGTGTTGGCTATTACACTCCCACAATGACCTTGTTGAGCTCAACATTTAGAGTCCCATAAAAACATTATTGTCCCACTCCTGGGATCATTTGTCCACTACCACAAAGGCTCAGAGAAAACCAAAATGTTAACCCCCCGGGGTTTTACGGAGGCACATTTTTCAGATTCTGCCCCCTTTCCTCCTCTCAACCCACCCGCCTCGCCGTTACCACATTGCGCCCACATTGACGTACTTCCAAGCGGTGCCCACGGGGCACTCCTACACAAGCACATTCAGATATGAAGAAGCCCGCTTGGTGAAAATGCAGCTCCGTAAAACAGACATTTTGTGTTTTGTTCTCCAAAAGAGCATAACCAACAATAATATCCATTCTCTTCTGCATACATGCCCATTTCAGCCTTTTTTTTTCTTTTTATTTGATTGTTTTTTCGTCTACAAATGTTCCTGCTTCTCATCTATCCACCAGTCCAACCATCTATTCTTTCCTCTTCAGACGCATAACTGTGGACCCATAACAGCTGAAAGTCCCTAATGGTCATTAAGTCTCTAAATATGTCCATTTCACATTGGCTGGGTGCATGTACCTGCTGAGTGAATGGGCAAGGTCGTGCCAGCCTATTAGCCATATTAAAAACCGACCCATTATGGTAATTGGGGAGGTCTAATGCATGTACAGGTTGCTTAGCGCCCATGTATTAGCTCTGATAGATGACTCAGTGATTAGCATTGAAAGGTACATTGTAGTGCAGCGCTGCCGCTTGGCCCTGTGCTTGGCGTCCTCTGATCCTGTCTCTCAATGTGCTGACCTCTACTGTGGACACTCAGGTCAGTTATGCACGTCCCTGACCAAATGTTTGCTGCTGGGAATCGGAGTGACCATTTTGAATGAGTACATTTGTTATTCACAGTGACAAAGATGAGGAAATGTAACTTTATTTTTGTAAGGGTTTGAAAAATATATTCACTTTTGATTTGCCATGAGGACATGATGCTGATTAAAAATGGGAAGCACGTATTATTATCTTTATTACCTTATCATGCAAAAACAGAACTACATGTGAGGACAGGAACAATACATACTGGTTTTTATCATTTTATATGACATAATCAGAGTCTCAGAGAGCTTGCCTTTTAATTTTTTTTTTAAGGGACCAGCCTGTTTCATCTTTAAGAATGAAAATCTGAGTTAGAAAAATCAGAATTATGCCTTATAAGTGGTTTTCAGATATTAGTGAGATATCAATCAATTTCCCTGTCCCAATATTCATCCTAATACCTGTTTCCAGTATGAATTAAGGTGTGTTAAGTACAGATTTTATATACTCATTAAAGTCAAAGGGACACAATTGTTTATTCATTTGCCAAATGTTAACTATTAAACATGAACTCTGCAAATCTGGAATTTGCATCCCTCATGATCAAACTAACTTGAAACTTACTTTTTTTCATGTTTGCATTATTTGAAATTTCCAAACTTTACTGAATACAGCTTTTGTTAACATTTAGTGGGGGGTTAGACAATGTCACCCCTCATGCAACCAAATTAACAACAAACTCTAGGTAAAAATAAGTCTGCAGATTCACACAAAGTGTGTTACCTCCAAATCACTCCTGAAAACACACTTCTTTAAATTGGCTTTTAACCTGTAAAATGCTCTTTTATCCTCTTTTCATGTTATGTCTTTTTTTAACCTTTGACATTGTTGGTGTATTACTCCACATTGTTCTGTATTTTATAGTGTTTCTTGTTGAGTGCGTTATAAATAACATTTATTTTTATTATGTGGTATTGTTAAGTTTCACTCAGAGAGTGTATTCACTTGATTATGTGGCAGCTGGTCAGCACTCAACATTTATGCACTTACTGAGGACGCTTCAGTGCAAGGTGGATGTTATAGGGAAGGGTATTTTTCTAATACCAATAACCATTAAAATAAAGCTTTAAAGCTTCTGTGAGGAGTTTTTTGGTGTTAATAAAACAGACTGAAATTCAAACTAATACCTTTTTAAAGATATACAAAAGCAAACAAGTCAACCAGTAATAAACTTAATTTTTATGCTGTAAGTTTTAGTGTCCAGTGTGAGGGGGTAGATGTCAGCAGAAAAAACGTCCCTGTCTTTATATTTTCCACATAAATAGTCACAATAATGAAAAATTTAACTGTAAAAGTCAGTGAAATTAGGTTTTGTCAGAGGATTCTGTTTAAACAGAGAATAAAAATAAACAAAGACTGCTCCGACCACAGGGTGCGCACAGACCGACACTAAACAAAAGTTTCTTACAGGAGCTTTAAGAACAATTACGTTATAACAAAAGCAAAAAGAGAGTATAAAGTAGCCCGTCACAAACCCTTTAAAATTAACAAAAATTTGGCTCAAAACAAGAAAAATCGTCTCTGAAGATTTTAAATTATTATTCTATAATTTAAAAAACAGTCAAACTCTTGAATGGAGGCTGCATCAGGAACCCACGGTCATACGGACAGAAGTGTTTACACTTCACCACAAGATTTTAATTCAGAAATCCAGAAGGGACATGCTTTTCCTTGAGTATCCACATCAGATTTCATTAAATTTTACCATCAGTCCTGATTCACCAGCACCCAAACTGATCCCTGTCTCGCTCCAGAACCAGAGCTCTGATTCCCAGCGCTGTGAGCGGCCCTGAATGGGTCTCTCAGGGAAAGGAGCACATTCTCCTTTCATCCCCTCTTAGAGGACAAACATCAGTCCCATCTCGCCGCCCATACATATTCATGAGCTGCTTATAAATATCTGATAGCAGCCTCGCTACAGCTGTTTAGCTGGGAGAGCGACGTAAAGCGCTTCATGCATACACACACAAACATTTTTTTTTTTTGGTTGTGCATGCATGTGCAAATGCATACATACTTAAACATGTTCTGAATTGTTCTGTCTATCACACATATATATATACATGCAGAGGTTTGAGGCTTGATATCTGCCCCACATCTCTTCATGGTTCTACCTGCCCTGCCCTCTGATAGCATCAGCTCATTGCGGGGCTATCACTTTCTCTCTCGTCCTCTCTTTTTAGCTCTAATTAAAGCGTAAGTGTGACTACAAAATGAGAAAGGAATCCTTAAGTGCCGTATTTACCTTCCTTCTGACAGGGCTCATGCTTATCAGTGAGGAGAGAGTACCAGAGCTAAGAGACAGGGACTTCTCAAAGGCCTGAGTAATCGCCTGGGCCTCTCTCCCTCAACACACACAAACATGAACACACACACACACACCTCCTCAACCTGAGCATCGCCAATCATGTGACGGCTGGCTCCTTGTTTGATGCATATGGAATACAAATGCTTCCCATTGGTTCTCATCAGCAACATGACTGTGAATGATCTATGGAAACATGCAGAAGGCACAAAGTTGAAGTGAATCAACACCTGCAACACTAAAGTCTGACAACACAAATAAGGGGTGAAAATTAGACCTCATGAGAAGCTTGTAAACATTTGTAAATGTTAATAAAAGCATAATTAATATATGTGTCAACACAGTTTATATACCCATCATATACAGCATTTATTAACAATTAAGACACTCGGTCTGCAGAGGAAACAGAGTCCTCCTAAGGTTAATTGATCATTATTAATACGGTTATATTATTTAATTTTGAAAACTGCATATACTTTTGTTGGTATTCAGATCCCTGTAGTCTTCAAGTTTCTAACGAGAGCCTAAAACTGTATTATAAGCAATAATAAATATGCTGATTATGCTTTTATTGACACTTATTAACATTTATAACATTATAAGCATCTTATACAGTCTTATAAATGGCTTATCTACTATTAATTGATGTTTTTTACCCTGACTTTGAAATGAAGCGTTATTATTTCTTGTGCTCTATAAAGTGACTGTTGAAATGTCTGTGTTTAGTCTTTTGCTTATTCCTGAAGCAGCTAACTCTCTGCAGGGAATATGAGGGTATGAAACACTTAGATGGATGGCAACACAGAGCAGATGGCATAATTAAATTAAGATAACTCCAATGTCAAAGGTTAATACTGTTTATAGTAGCATCTTATCACTCCTTGCATATTTGCTGAAAATATCCAGTTTGTGTTTTGATTTTGATGGATACATTAAACCTGGTTTTGATGTAGAAGTTCGCCTTTCGCTTTAGATTTAGCCTTTAAGTGATAACATTTTAAGAACGTCTACAAATGAGTATTTTTATCAGTGATGTATGTCTGAAACATTAGCACAGATCTGGCTCATCAGCTACATAGCATCTCCTCGAAACAAACGTGGGTTCCACTCAAACCCTGAGTCTTTTGCAGCATGTCATTACCCGCTCTCTGTACTATCCCCTCAATAAAGGCATGAAAAGCCTACAAATGGTCTATGTGATGATAAAATAAATATTAGAAAATTCTTCTGAATTACAACCCTGCAAGCTTTTGACACCATTACCAATAAAAATGTACATTACTGCATCCAAAAAGCGATGGATAACCTGATGATTATAAGTCCTACATGTCCATTTTCGACTATAAGCAGGTTAAATATTCCTCTTACTGATTCTCAAATATCTGTACTGGCTGGTGATCGTCTGTTATGTACATTTCCTTTAATCTTGACATAGTTCCTGTAAACATAACACTTTACTAAATCATGACAGAAAACCCAAAACAATGAGCAGAAAGATGTTAAAACTCTTGTGCCAATGCAGCCCCGAGGGAGCTGCACTAAATTGATCATAATTTGTTTAGAGTTAGCCATTTAAGCTGTTTTAACCATCTTTAAAGTATATGAAAGAAGAAAAACAGAGGAGTCAAGTTTTTCCTGGGGCTCTGGATTAGAAATCTAATATGAACACCTCCATATTACCGTCTAGTAGTGACTTTACAATCACATCCCTGCAACTGATGCTGATGCAGAAACAGCTAGTGCAGGGAAAGGATGAGCTACAAGATGAGAAAAGAGAGGAAGAGGAGAGGCAGCCAAAGGCACAATCTCAGAAATCAAATGCTTCAATCCACTGCCTGCTTTGCATGGCGCAGATACAGTGACGATATTCAAACATGACATTGCAATCAGTGGACAATACTGACAAAAGGTGTCACCACTGAAAAAGGTAGATGCTCTGACAAATGCACTTCAGAGGAACTGGGTGTGTTTTCTTTCTTTTCTTTGGTATTTTTTTTTTTATAAACTGATATCTAACTGCTTCTTTCAGTCGCTTGTCTTCTCCTACGACTCATTAAAAACATTAGAATTGCTGATGCCGGCAAGAAAACACATTTTGCTTCGGTCTGAAGAATATCTTTGTTCTGTTTCCAATACAAATAGAAGGAGATTTAAATATTGCTCCTCTGGTGTGTGGCAGAGAGAAAGGCAGACACACAGAGAAAGAGAGAGAGGGAGAGAGTTTAAGTGTACTGTGTGCATCTGTGTGTTGAGCCGCGATTGGTTGTGCATACGAAAGGATGAGAAAAAAACGTGTGTGTGTGTGTGTGTGTGTAGCTATGTGTGTTCCCAGAGGGTACTTCTGTTCCTTGTGTGGAGTACAGTTATAGTGAACAATAGGCAGTGCTGCACTAGTGCACCCTATGCAGAGGGATATCACAGAACATCAACAAAGAGCAGACCACAGCTTTTTAGAGACATCTGAAATCATGCTGCACTTCAGGACGCCCGAACTGTTGTGCTCTCTCTTTTGAGGTCTGACGACATTAACCCTAAAAGAAAAGGTTCGGACTGATTGGTCTTCTGTGTGTCGCAACAGGTGCAAAGGGAAGTTCAAGTTTGGGGTGGAAACAGCAGTAAAAATATTTGTGTTCCACAGAAATGTTTGATTGAAAATAGACAAAAAACAGATTTTTATAAGATTTCATGACTGTTCAATCAAATCAATCAATCAAATTTTATTTATATAGCGCCAATTCACAACAGTCGTCATCCCAAGACGTTTTCTAAAGAAAAAGAGCAGGTCTAGACCACGCTCATTGTTTGATGAATTATCAAGAGCCAACCTAAGATGGGATTTGGCCCATCTCATCTAACATGAGTAAAGGTCCTTACACACCGGGCTGACGCGAATATAGAACGCGAAATTACAAAATATTCAGAGGCGAATTTTGACGCGCCTGACAATACACATCAAGCGACTTTCCGGGGGGGAAAAGACGCATCCTGGGTGGAAGCAAGAAGACTGACACAACAGCAGACTGACTGTTTTTCAGTTCTGATTAGACACTAGTGTTGAGATGTCTGTCTGTCATGATAGCATGTACTGAGTCGGGGCCAGTACCAGATAAGCACATTAAACTGTATAAACGTAAGGCAACAACTGAGACCTAATGGTGCCGTGACAGCAACGTGATTGAGTTTGAGACGGTGAAAATACATATGGTATGTTGTATCTGAACAGGTTAGCTTACGAGCTAAAGTTACTTAGCACAGATGAAAGTTAAAACAAAGACGTTTAGCAAACTGTTCAAGCACACAAACCATCATCATATGAGAAATCTGACGCTGTGACTCTCCACAAGTTGTCCTTCAGGTTGTTATCTTTGTAATATTTGTGTTTTTTATCAAAAAGTACTCTATTCTCTGACATGTAAACAATCAGCCGGTCGGCCATGTTGGATATACCGGTGAATCTGACGTCGCAACAACACACAACCTGTTTGGTCAGAAGTGGACACACAGTATGCGAAACTTTAGAAAATTCGACCGTGATCCGAAAAAATAAATGCTGCAATATCGTGGGACGGGGAAACATCGCTGATGTGAACGCTTGTAATGACAGGATACGGGTTCGAAAAAATATTTACATCTGAAATAATCGCACGAAAAAAACGGTCCCGGTGTGAAAGGACCTTAACAGTGTCAAGGAAAAACTTCCTTTTAACAGGCAGAAACCTTGAACAGGACCAGACCAGAGAGAAGGGGGAGAGAACGAGAACAAGATAGAGTGAAGGAGAGAGAGAGAGAGAGAGAGAGAGAGAGAGAGAGAGACAGGGGACAGCAGCAACATTCAAACAACAACTCATGTAAATGAATTCAAAATGAATTCAGTTTACAGGGTTAGGATATGAGTAATTATGGACAATGTAAAATTAATTTAATGTGATTACAGTCAGCAGGCCTAATAATAGACTGTTAAAGATAAGCAACAGTGAGACCGAAAAACGAAAAGACACAGTAGATGTAAAAGGCAGAGAAAGAAGCAGAAAACAGGAGAGAAGGCTGAAGCTAGCTAGTTTTCTCTCATTAGCCATGCAGAGCATCTTGGCTCGTCTCCCACACCTCCCGGCTCATCATCGCCTGGGCCCTGGCTGCCAGCGCACCCCCACCTCAATGAACCAACCATTCCTCCCTCCATACCTCCCCTTCCAGCCCCTATAATCACACCCGCAATCGCAGCCCCTAATTAGGTTAATTAATTTGTATCAGCCCTTGTAGGGACTTGGCTGATGAGGCAGCCATAATAGCATCAGCGATCACCCCCCCTACCTCCCCCTTTTTGCAATAAAATGAAAGAAAAGGGAAAAAGATCTGATGTGCGCCTGTCTGTGACAAGACAGGACTATAAACGATGGGGTCACATCTACCTCCCCACCCCCTCAACCTTTCTCTCGACTGTTTTTTCTCCCCTCTAACCCCAGCAAATCCCTCCCCCCTTGCTGGTGTTATTCAAAAGGGGGTGACACTGACACCTAAATAGTGATATATAACCCCATCATGTCACAGAGCTTCACTGTGTCCACTGGAATGAAAAAAATCCTGTAAAATAATAATAGAGTCTGACATACTTCAGTGGCTGAATGTGTTGTTTGTTTACACTTCTGCAGTGTATTGTGGCGTTTCCAAAAGTGGAAGAAAACAAAAAGTGTACGGTATGATAATGATTCTCTTGGTGGTTTGTCTCTGTAGTCGTCAGAGGGACCGATTGAAGCATCACATTACAATCAGCGGCCCTCATCGCCCCTCATCAGGCCACTGACGAACAAACTCTGATTAACACCCCCATCTGATTACTGCAATCACCCGGGCTAACCACGCTCTAGCACAAGTCCCATCCCCAACAAGCACACACACACACATGTGCACACTCGCTCTGACACCTCACTGTTGATCAGATGCAAAGTGCACGAGTACACAGAAAGTAGCTCTCATCACACAGTTGCCATTAGAAAGGTAACCATTAGAGAAGCAATGCACTAATGTTTGACACGGGCAATTTTTGCTAGTGTGACAAAGAAAGAGAAGAATATCTGAAGAATATCTAGAAGAAAATATTTAAAAACAGTTTTATTCGCCTCAGGTTAAATATCTAGGGTTTGGGTGGTTAGGATATTGTTAACAACAGCAGATGAGTTGTTTGGTGTGTGTTTGAGTAAGACACCAGCAGTGATCCCAGATATCAATGAGTGCATCTCCTCATAAAGAGAGAGGTAAGGTTTGGGAAGGGGATCGCTACTTTTTATTGATAATGTTGATCATGATAGCGTAATTGAGACTATTAAATGATTTGAGTCTTTATCAATACTGCTGTTGAGTCTTTTCTGTTACTAACTCTTGTACAGATTTTTCACCAAAAACTTTTTTTCTTGATCACTTTTACCATATATTTGTTTTACCAAACCAACCTTGAACACCTCAAAATATAATCAAATGTCACCTCACTTAGTCCCCTTATTAACTTTTACTCTGCTGAGTTTATCATGCCAACAAGATCTGCAGAGTCTCATTTCAGCCAGGACGACTTTTATCTAAGAGAATTAACTATTTGTATGGTAGTACGGTTCTGTCCTGTGAGCTCTCGGCTCTTCTTCATGTGTACGTGGAACGCCAAAGGCCTCAGCAGGAAGAGCACACCTCCACTTTGTTTTATGAAAATCCAGCACAGGGAGAGCAGCAGCAAAGACCCTCAAAAAAACGAACAGGGCAGGCGTTTGTAAAAATACACTTGGCACTAGTAAAATCAGACACAGCATAAAAAGTAGGGGTAATGTGTTTTTCAGAGGAATCAGGATGTTAGTGCACTGATGTAGCCTTGCTGAAAATGACTAGTCGGATGCATACAAGTTAATCAGCTGATATGGATCATCTGATGTACTGTGGGTTAAGCTTGACTTTGTGGCTTGCCCGAACTAACACTGAGCTCATTGTTAAGACATTAAATTTGTTTTCTGCACACCTAAAAGATCTTTTGGTAACACTTTACTTGACGCCTATCTCTATAACTCATTATAAATATATGTATAATGCATTACAATCACATTATAGCACTGTATAACTATAGTTATAAACACTTATAAATGATCATAATGCTTTAAAGCAATAATCATAACACATTATAGAGCATTTTATCATGACAAGGTCAGGTATTATAATGTGTTTGGCTTATTGTTATAAAGCCTTATGATAATTAATGAGTGTTTATAATGATAGTTATACTAGTTTATAAGCAAATTATAACACATCATAAATACATGAATAATGCATTATCTATGTGGGCATTGTCAGTGAGTTGTTAACAGTGATAACACATAAGACTTGACCTTGTAACACATGATAAAACGCTTTATGTGTTTAACAGCCAATTCAGCCAGATTCAAGAATAATTTCTTCCCCAATGCCATACAGACACTAAACAAATACCTGAAATAACTTCACATCTGTTATCTTGTGTTGTTTTATTGTTTTCTTTGATTTCTGCATGTATGTATCGGACACAGGAGATGGGAGCATGATGTGCTGTACCGGAAAACAAATTCCACCAACCCTGATGTATGGCCATTAATAAATGATTCTGATTCTTATGATTATTGTTTTAAAGCATTATGATCATTTGAGTGTATTTATAATGCATTATAGAGATAGGCATCAAGTTAAGTGTTACTGATCTTTCTTATAACAGAATAATATAAAATTGAGAAGAAGGACTTGATTCAGGTTTGGAGTTGAGCGATAGAGTTTGACTAGGATTAACTCTGATTCTTTTTTAGTGACTCTGACTAGATTCAGACTTGAACACTGAGGACTTAAGGCATGACTACAACACTGCAAACAGCAGCAGGTTGGCGCTAGCAGATTGATTCCTTCAAATTGTCAGTAATTTGTGTATTTTATCCCACAATATGTAGATATACAGCAATGTTTTTCTTTAGCTCTGGTACAGAAGAGTCAAAATCAGGAATACTTTGTTTATCCCGATTGGAAATTTACTCCTCATCCCGAGGAATCGGATGTTTTTAATCAATTACACCTCCAAGGCATGGGTATCAGTATTGGTAAGGAAAATTGTATCTGAACATCTCTAATTTCAAAACACTCTTAACAACCCCTGGTACACGAGGGCTGGGAGCGTTCAACTGTGATGCAAGCAGACACATGCATAAATATACACGCACGCAATCTCTGGCAGACAATGACACAAGGAGGCTGAGAGACAAGGACAGATCCGGTAGTTAAAGCGTAATGAACACGTCCCCGAGGCGCGCGCCTGGCATTCCCCTGAATGATGGACTGACAATAATACTGGGGCAGATGGGTGCCCTCCACGCCCCGTTCAACACCGCACACACATGTACACACACATGTACACACACACACACCCTCCCCCTGCTCTATCCTGTTCCTCTCTCCTGCAGTGAGAGACCCCCTGTAGGTCTGATGTTGAGTGGGGTTTAGGGGGGTGTTACCAGGGGTGCTGTGTATGTGTGTGTGTGCACCTAGAGGTGGGGGGCACAAGTATGAGGCCCCCGTCATGATTTAGGCTCCCATGCAAATTTAATCAATTCGAGTACCTCTCGCCAGCCAGGGCTCATTAGCAGCAATTTAAAAAGGGGGCTCTGTGATCCCCACCTCATTGCAAGAGCCAGACTTCAACTCAGGCGCACACTCGCACACAAATATGCTAGGATACACACACACACATCTAAATACTCACACACAAAATACACAAAAATGCATGCGAGTCAGGGGCACTGTCAAGGCTGTAAAGATTTTCCTTCAGACGTCTTCCCCCTGGCATGGAGAGGGACCCTGCTTGCACGCCAGCCCTTCTACTCCCCCTCTTTCTGTCCCTCCTCTCTATCCACTACTTCAAAAGCCCCGTGACACCCAGCTTCAACTTAAAGGAGAAAGGGATCCAAAGATAAAGACTACCTCTCATCCCCCCACCCCTCGCATTCTCAGACACCCTCCCAACACTCAATCCCCAGGCTACCTCTCTCTCTCTCTCTCTTCTCCCCACCTTTCCAGCTTTCCAGCTCTCCAGCTCTCTGTAATTGGGGGATCGATTAGTATTGTCCTTAACCATCCTTAACCTCGGCTCTGCACGCTGGCTTTGGAGCAGGGCAGAAGTGTGTTAGCGAATACGACGGGTGGGGTTGCAGCACTTGTGCTCTGCAAGGATCAAGTGCGAGGTTAAAACCATGTGGAGAGGTGGTGGTGGTGGTTTGGGACTGATTCATAGACTGGAAAAGAGCCATGGTGAAGCTAAAAATTCAGGTTTTTGGCCGTTACCGTACTGCTTTTTCAGAGGAAGGAGTGACCATATTTGGTCAATGCAGCTGATCGACAAACATACTATTTGAGAGGCTGCTGGTTGACCTCGCAACAAGCAATACTGTCAGTTTTATTCTAAATACAACTCTGACTAATACATCAACACCATGATACATTCAATTAGACCTGAAACTAGTAATTGGGGCCATAAATTCATTTGCAAAATGCTGTCAAGACCAATCAATCATCTAAGAGCTAAGGCAATTAAAAATATATATATAATTGCAACCAAAGAAATCGACCCCTGCTGGTTGTTTGAAAGAATGCAAGCACTTCAGGCACTCCTGCAAGGTCCCAAGACTGAAGATGGGTTCACACCAAACACAAATAAAATCATTCGCGCGAGTGAATTAAAAGTAAAGTCACCGTAAAAACACGATCAGATGTGATTCCGAGCTAGGCGACGCATTGACACGAAAGAGGCACCCCCTTGTGGACAAAGCAGACCTTCCTAATCTTGTCCTCTTCATGCCTGGCTTGTGTCTTTTTACAAAACTATTCTTCCTACCAGAGTATAGGCATAAGGCATAAGCAAACTAAGCGCCTGCTTAGGGCCCCGCGGCCAATAGGGGCCCCAAGAGCATTCAAAAATATATATATACATTTACTTTTTGCATGTATGAGTGATGCTTTCTGTATAGTCAAATAGCTGATGTAGGCCTATGATATGTCAAAGCTCCACTACCGTAATGTGCCTCCTGCTGTGCAATGTGCACTGAGCGTCCAAAGCACAGGTAGTTGTGGGGCAAAACAATGTCGCAAAAAAAAGGACCTATCCTTCAGAAGCAGAGAAAAGAAAGAGGAAGAAAAGACAAAATGCCAAGATAAAGGTATCATGTCAGGGAATGTTAATCAAAGAGATTTGTGAAGGCGTGTGAATGATCAACAATCAATATTATTGGCAGAAATAGAGGGCCCCAAAATCAGATTTTGCTTAGGGCCCCAGTGAGGCTTGGACCGGCTCTGCTTCCTACTAACTTTGGACAGTCAAATGTATCATTCATTGTGAATATTTATGTCAATATTCTTTTTAAAACACAGCTGTTTCTTCAACTACAAGCTTGACACCTACCCCATCCACCAGATTCAGGCATTAAAAATGAAAACATAGAAATCTTACTGATGGTCTTGTTTATCATGAAAAAGCATCAGTCTAAAACAAACTCTTAAAAATAGAAAAGAGACAGACGTATTTCACTTGTGTTATCATTCATATGTTTAAAAACTTAACTAGAACAAAGATCTGTTGTCTCCCTCTTAACCAGGCTGCACTTTAACTCTCAGACGGTTACCATATATCGGGGTCAATGTCATACCCTGCAGCTGTGTGACAAACACATAGTCCTCCATGTCCGACTCCCCCCATTCCTAAAATGACTATGTGTTAGCAAACCTCCAGGGTCATTAACTTTACACATGCCGTTGGACAGGGTGGCCTGTGCCAGTAGTCAGATGAATTATGAGCCTTTAAACAATGGAGAAATGCCTGTCTATATCTTTAGAATCAGAAGGTCGCCCACTGGCCACCCCTGAGCTCTGCCCCTGCACCCCGGTACGAGTCTCACTGCTGGAGGGGAAGAAAGGAAAGCTTGAGGAGAAACAGTGCTTGTCTGTGCCTGGGTCGCACAGTCGGTGAGGGGTCCCGGAACTGCGCACACAGTGTTTTGACCCCTGGGCTCTCTTGAGCGACCTCCACCCCCTCCGCTTATGGACGCTGGGCCTGAGGGTCCCGGTTCTACGCACGCTCTTTTTGCAGCGTGACGCAGTAGGAGGGGGCAGTAAGGGCGGGGTGGAGGCGTAAGGAAGGAGGATTGTCTCACTGGATACAATCAAATTGGGATAATATGGCGAAACAGTGAAATGTGACTCTGTGACTTTGGTCTATGATAGATATGTCACCGAAACACCACAGAAGGACTTTTCTACATGTGGCCACCAAACTATCACTCTTTACTGGTCTGTCATGCAGAAAAATCAGAGCATAACTTTTTATTATCATCCGTAAGAAAACTTTTAAGTATTTGAGCAACAATCTTTATTCTTTTTCTATCATTATTTATATTTTTTCAATCCACATTTGTGTATTAAAAACATCCTTTGTACGTTTGTTCTGTAATCAGGAAGCTGCTGTTCATCCCTTATTGAGCTTTAAATGAGATCACCCAGTCAAAGCGGACACCCACCATCGCTCTTACCCCCGTTTGGCCCATCCTCAGGTATTGGCTCACCTTTACTCTGGTCAGCAGTGTTCGGGCCAAGGCCTCCGGTCACTCTCCTCCAGCCCCCTCCACCCCTCACTGCGCCTGGTGACATTTCTGCCTGGCTCCCGTTCTCCCCTCTTCCCAGCCAGCGGCTCCCAGGAGAGGCTGATGGATGGGCCCTGTTTATGAAGCTGCTGCCACCACCAGTGATCAATCAAACGTGGGTCACTGTGATCTGCTGCTGGGTGCCAGGTCTTCAGTCTATTGAGGCTGGAGAAACCGCACATACAGTTTGTTAGTACAAATGGAAAAGCAACACTGGACAAAAACAACAACAAAGAGAGTTCATTGTGGAGAAAAGACAAGTTTTCTTACCTTGAATAAAGTGCTTCAGTACATTTTAGACGCCATAGAAACCTTGATCAAATTCACTTGTGAGGACAGAGGGTTCAATAGAAGAATCCGTCTTTGTAGCAGTCATACCAAGGACCTTCGTTCAATAAGGCATCACGGATATCTTTGACTAAATATGATTACAAACTCATCATACACCTGCGGGAGCTGGACAGGCTTGTGAAAGCAAAAATAATCTTCTTTCATGAGCACAAAGGAAGTTATCTCACAATACGACAAAGAGAACGAGTGTGGACCATGAAGTTTCAGATTCAACAGATCTTTCATGGGCAAGCTAAACACTTGGCAACAATAAGAAAGAAAACTTCCTTCGAGAGACTCAGACTGTTTACTGTACTGGAACTGATCCGAATGATGAATTTTGGGATTCCTGATAACCTGTGATGAAGTCAAAGCAGCATCACCTATACACAGATGCATCTGTAACATGTCATCTCCTCTCATCGTTGCTCGGGCACAGCTGCAGTCAATTAATCAATTAATAAAGGGTAATTTTAATTAAGGTGAGTTAATTAGCGAGCACTGACAGTTCTATTCTTATCGGCCATGATTGCTAACTGACACCTAAATCATATTTGATATTAGTGGAAGCAGAAGAAGCTACCCTGCTGTGACACGTGAAGAGTCAGGCAGTGGTGTGTGATGAGTACAGGTGTGTACCCTGATACGAACCTGTGCTTCCATCACACAACAGTGTCCTGCCTCAGAAACACCTCAACTTCATATAGTCTGAGTTTAAGTTCATTACTAGAGGTTCCTCTACAATGACAAACATTTTAAATGTGAAATATCCTGACTGTGTTTTCAGACACCGAGTCAAACCGAATCACCATCTTCAAGTTGCGGGAAACTAAGAGATGCCAAAGTCGTGTCCTTCAAACTTTGGCAAGAGAAAAATGTATTTCTCCATCTGTTTTTGTAGAAGGCTTTAAAAAGGAACACGCTGAGTACTGTTCAATGTTTCAAATAAGGATGACAGGTTTGGCTCCTCCAATCACCACACAATCGAGAGAGCTGTTTTCAAAACTCGAAACAGTGACATCTTACAGAAAACATCGCAACCACAAATTACACTTTGAAATGCAGGGCCATGTGATTGACTTCCACCCCGCTTTAAGCATGTTCCAGCTGCTTCAGCCATCAACAGTTTCACCCCAAATCCTGTGAAAAAGGACACCAATGCCATCTAGTGGCACAAGAACAAAATACAACCTTTAAAATCTGCTCTAAGTCTCTCTTACTTCACATTTTACCAACTTTTGAGTTTCCCCAGTACTGTCCCCAAATGAGTCCATGAGTTGCACTAAATTTCATTAAAAATTCACAAACATAAGTCCTTTGTTTCAATATTTATTCAAGAGAAACTAAGATCCTGTTATAAATATGTACAAAACTGCAGTGCTGCAATGTATATGGGAATAAATGTGTCCATGTATATGATCAAACTGAGATCTGAGACACTATTTCACCAGAACTCCTTTGCAAAGTCGACAACTTCTTCCAACGATGATGATGAGTTCCCCCTCAGCGTTTCCTCTTGGTCTTAAACTTGTAAATAGCTGCAGCATTTGGTGTCTCCTTCTTTACCCTCACTTTCATTGTCTTATCCTGATACAAAGACAGGAAAAAGTTGTCAGAGTTTCATGTCACGGTTCATAATTAAATGAAAATGAACAGCAATGGCCAAAAATTCAAAAATTAAATATTGACGCTGTTTGTAGTAAAAGTGGCACCAGACAAAAAAGCAGGAGACACACAGAAACGAAGCACAAATCCAAATTGTATCATACTGTATTTTAAAGTTAATGCACAGCAACCCCTCACCTGCAGGTCTTTGCGGGTCTGAATCTTCTGGCTGATAACAAACATTTTCTTTTCCCTGTCGATTCGCTGGGAAAGGAGCTTATACTGCTGCCTTCTCTGCCGGGCCAGTTTCTGCAGTTCAAGAGAGGAAAACTTCATTTATCAGTGTGTTAAACTGCATCTTAAATGGAACCTCTGAGTCAGCATGACGTGAATGAAAAACTTATTTACATTTAGATCTATCAAATCAGATGTATTTCCCCACAGATCAAAATTCATTACGAACACAGACCTTGACACTTTTAGTTTCTGCAGCTGCCTGGATGACTTTTGTCTCCAGAGTTTCCAGAGTTGGTCTGTTGTACACTCTGTCCACCAGCTCAGGAGCCGTGTTCAGGTGGTCTGCCAGGTCGAATGACGCCACTGAAGAGACAAAGTTAAATTTGTCACTTTACTAAAACTAAAAATTAAACAAAACACACCAAGACACATGTCTCAAAATGTCATGCATTTTTTGTTGTTTACCTTCTTTCTTGGAGTTGACAAAAAATGTATGCTTGTTTTTTTGTTTAGAGTCTGCATCAAGAAGATGGAGCTCTCCTTTTAGCCTCTCAATTTTCTAAAAAAAGACAATGAAGAAAGGAGGATTTATCAGCAAAAGGTTTAGCGATACAAAAGCTTCAGTAAAATGTTACCCTCTGGTACCTCAGATAAAATGCTAGTACACACAAATACCTTGTATAGCTTTAGATTTTTGGAAAGTATTGAGCTTTAAATGAGGGGTACACCTCAGTATGGGATGTATGACAGATGTGGGATACACTTCATGCAGACTCTACCCAAAATGATTTTGTTGAGCTTGTTTTAAAACTGAAGTCTGAATGCTTTCTCGCTCTCGCACTTTGCAGCTACTTTTGGTGTGTTAAGTATGTTTCAACTGAGTAAACGGCCACGTTTAACTTTCTGAGTCATAATTAAGTACCATGTGATAAGTCAGTGTTACCCAAATCCATCCCCGGCCCAACCCCTCATTCCCACCCTACGATCGAAATACATCAGAAACAGTATTAAAATACATGAACTTAAAAAGGGCTTGAGTTTGTGAAAACAGGAATGTGCGCACTGAGGAAAAGTCATTTTAAAACTCAAGATAAAGAAACACTGGAGGTTTAGGTTAAAATCTAAAAACAAAGTAACAAAGAAGGAAATTTAAGAAATAATAAATAAAATGAAATAAAAACAACAGTAAAAGATACTAAAATAAGAGCACCAAAATAGCTCAATAAAAGACAATCCTGTCATTAAAACTAGAAGAGATAAATGCTAAAACACTTAAAGTTAATGATATAAAATTTAGTTCAAGGCAAGACTAAAAAGGTATGTTTTCAGTTTGTTGACTTGGATTACGGGATACTGCTTTGAGTTTGCTGACCAGTTTCTCTCTCCAATACACACTTCATTACTGTTTGGTATCCAGTTATTCAGTGTCTATGTTGCCTTACCTTAGCTTCTGCGACCCTCTTCATCTCCACATATTTGATATCCTGAGTCCTCATCACTTTCTTCTGCTCCTCTGTCACCTCCACCTCCTCTTTATCTCTTTTCACAACATGAGCTCCATCCTGACATGTCAAAAAAACAAACACATACAGCCATGTTGAATTAAAGTTCATTCTTTATATCAACATGAAAGTCCTGTTTCTTTGACAGTCAAACTGATCTGACCTCCAGTTGAGAGTTGATCATCTTGAAGTAAAACTCATCTGGATTCTTGTCCTGAGCTTTCTTTCGCAGAGCTGCGAGGGTGTTTTGCTTCTTGTGGTAATCACTGAACAAAAAAAAGAGAAATTAATCAACATAAAACTCATTTTATTTCACATTTACATTTAGATATATTGTTTGAAATACAAAACGTGTCTTTCCAACTCACTCTGCTCGCAGTTTGTAGTCTTTCTTCTTCTCCAATAAGCCCAAATTTTTCCTAAACCCAGGCTGGATGAATAAAATGTTAGAGTTAAAACAAGAAAAGCACATTCAGAGGCTGTTTAGAGGAAGCTAACATGCTGGTGAAATGCTTACCTGGGATCTTTCATGGTGGTTTCTCTGTCGGGATTTTAACGCTTTCCTGAACGAGGACATCGTGAGGAGTGTGTTTGATCGTAGTTAAGCAAAAACAACTAAACCAAAGCAGATAAATGTGAGTTTTTCACACATGAACACAAACAAACTCCTCTGCTGTCTCTGCTGCTGCTGCTGCTTCCCCGGTATCTGGACACGTGGGTTCCTGTGGCGTTGTAAAAGATGTTTCATTTCGCTGTCGCAGATTCGCCAAGTCAATTCGGTTAAAACCTCCTTAAAAATGTACTAAACAATCCCCTAATTATAAAAAAAACGTATGTTACCAACTGATATATAATAGCAAACAAATAAACTCAGGTTTTTAAATAAGCTAAAATACTTAAGTTTTATATTAAATGTGTTGTGGGAGCGTGTAGAAAACGCTAGATGGTGCTGTTGTACACTTTCAATAAGTGCTGTGAGAGGGCACTGCAGGATAAGACTGCAAAATAGTACAAATGTATACATATTATTAGTTTTAGCCCACTCTACCTCAGGGTGGCTATTTAATTTATAATTTTTCCACAGTGAAAAGCCATAATAGCTTCAACAAATGCCTATATAGACCTATACTTTTAATCTTAACAGCAGATTATGTTAAAAAATATAATCCACTAAACATAAGCCACCAAACATCTTTTTAGCTTTGCCTGATTTCTTTAGCAAAGAGACTAAATACAACTCACCTACTCTCTTCCAGCAGCCACTTGTTTGTAGCGAGACCTCAGCTACTGCTGTGGGGTGACGCAGCTCAAGGAAGAACATTTATGATCATAGCGTCTCAGTCTGATTGCATTTCCATCAAGAAATGATCATAAATGTTCTTCCTTGAGCTGCGACACCCCGCTGTAGTCTGTAATAGACTGGCCTGAGGTCTCGCTACAAACAAGTGGCTGCTGGAAGAGAGTAGGTGAGTTGTGTTTAGTCTCTTTGCTAAAGAAATCAGGCAAAGTTAAAAATATGTTTGGTGGCTAGTGCTGGGAAGAGAAATTAGTTTACCGTGTTTATCAAATAATAAATGTAATCGGTATCAAAACATTTTAATGTTGCATAAAGCCACACTTGGCACAGAATTACCTAAGAACAAGCGAGGTCAATCACAGAGCAGCTGACTTTATATGTTTGGCTGCAGAGAAAATAAACCACATTATATTGGTCATTTTAATGAGGGCTTGCATTTTCCAAAGCACAGGATTACCACTAACCGAGAAAAAGTTTATGTCTTTCCTACATGAACATTAATACCGTGTTTCCACTGAGGTTTCAGACCCCTGTTTTGATTTATATCCTGACGAAAGAGCTAAAATATATCTTAAAACTTTCACACACACTCAGACAGGTAATAAACTTTATTTAATTTAAATATTTTATTGTTTGGCTCCAACAGGTAGAACTCACAGACTATAAAAATGGAAAAACACACGACTCTATGCAGTTTATTTCTCCTTTCAATTTTAGTGGAAATATGTGTGGCAGGAACTGAGAAGATGAGCGGGTCACAGCTCCACTCTGGGGAAAAAGAATATCCACTTCCTGACATGATATTCTGGGTTAAGGGTAGACAAAGACAAAGCCACAACAGGCACCAGTCTCTTAATCTCACCCAGACTCTCAATTCCCTGCATGAAGGAGAAGAAAGCAGCGGTACAAGGAGTGATATTCCATTCAACAGGCATCTTCCCCCCATGGCAGCCTGCTGTCCTCCCCACCAACCGCGAGGAATTTGTTTTATATGTGTGAGATTTGTCCGGCATGTAGACTGTTTTGCGGGTGATTAGACGGATGAATGGGATCAGTGTTTCCACATTATGTCACAGGCTTGTTTATCAGTCTGATGGCTAACGACCCCGATTCCTGTGAAGTTTCAGCCCAAGGCCTCGACAGATCTTCTCGCCCACTAACACGTTTAACTAAGCAGACGCGGAGAGCAGCCAGGATTTACGGGTTAAACGTCTGCATTCTGACTAGCTCGGCTCCTCGCTGTTTAATTCATGGGAGCATTTATCGTTACAAGTGAAGTGCCTGGTGAGCCACGGCAGGGGTAAATACTACTTTGGAAATCAGGGGGCCTGTACCAAGCTGATGCAAGAGCAGGAAGACAAGAGGTTGTGGGTTTGTTCAGGGTCAGTAATGGAGGAATGCCCGTGTGGAGCAGATGCAAATCCATTTGGGTTTCTAATATGACCCTGTAAAAATAACACTGCTGACATATTGTAAGACGGCTGCACTGGGGCTGAGCTCAGGACTTTGGTATGTCTCCTCTGACCATGGTTGGTCCTCATCTGCAGCAAGCCACAAGGCTAGCCCAGTTGAAAAATGCAAGAGGCTGGAGTTTCTCCTGTATGGTCAGTTGTGTCTCCTGATTCAGACGGATGAGGAGGTCAGCTTGTTCGATGTGTTGATATTGGCACTGAATACTAAAACAATCACAAGCAAACTTTATTTGCACACAAGTTTTAAGGTATGAAGTTTTACTACTTTTACTACTTTTAGTAGTAGAGAAGCACTTGATTAAACAAGGAAGCACATAACATGACTAACACAAGTACTGTATGGATATAGCACGACTAACAATTGCATTCCATGATTTTCTATAATATAACTCACATTTTCTTTTTTTTTTAACAGTTATAAGTAAAGGCTCTTAATGCTTCTTTCACCACTTGATACTGGACATTTACAGTCTCACCTCATAAGTAATCCCCATTGCTTTACAATCCCCCAGCCATACAGTAGGTGCACTCCTGGGTGGGATTCTCACTTAAGTCTCTTAACCACAAACCCTTGTAAAAGAAAAATTGTCTGCAATTAAGCGCCAATGCAGAAGCTTATTTTCCCTGCCCGGGCCTTCAAGTGTCTATTGTAACATAACCCATTTTATACTCGAGACAATCACAAAGGTGAAGTGCTGAGAAGTGGATGGGTTTCTGATGAGGGAAAGTAGATTACAAGTGGTGTGTAAAAAGAGCTCATCACCAAAAACACAACCAGGATTTTTAAGTTTGTTTGATTCCACGTCTCTCTGGATAACCCTCATATGAGTGCGTATGTGACTACATTGTAAGTGTAAATGTCATTATGGTGCATTTAAAAATATGAGGATTTCTGCATCACAACACTATATAATATCAGAATCAGAATACTTTTTTCATCCAGATTTTTTTTTTAATCATTTAAAGCTCCTGTGAACTTTCTGTTGTGTCAGTTTTGACCATGACAGTATATAGAATGGACAGCATCTATGCAGCTCTGTTTAAAAGTTATCAGGGGGTTCATGTTTTCTATGATTGACACCTGATACAGCCTATGGGCGTACGTTGGTTGCGTAGCTCACCCGGGGGATATGTTGTTTGAGCCAAGCATTATTACAGCAACTCTTGGAGACTCTCCTCCCAAATGTGCACAATGCTACTGCGCAATGTTGGTTTCAGGAAGTGGAGAAAAAAACATGGAATTATCGAGAGCTTTTTGGCTTCAAATCCGTGTACTGGCAGAAGGCGGAACCAAGTTGTCAATAGTGTATACAGTTTATGGTTTTGACCCACTGTGCACAAAGGATACCTCTTATCTCTTTGCTGTGTAGCATGTGTAAGAAAGGTTTTCTGCCACATCATTTTCCTTTAACAATCATATACATCACTTACTCTGAATATTTAGAGCAGAAAAGGTTTAATAAAAGGTTTTTTCTTCATTATTTAGACATTTTCAGTCTTAGTTCAGGTCATAATGAGGTATCACTGTTTTAATCACTCTGTTTCATAACCAGCTATAAACCTTTTCTAGGAGCTTTAAGTAGGACATTTCACATTTAATTTGTCCACTGCTCAGGGACATGATTCTTGTTAAAGTTGTTTATTTCAAAATACAAAATCTCATGATAGAGATTAAAATTAACCCGAAAGAATCAGTTTAATTGTATTTTATGGGACATAGCAGTCACCTGAGGCACCATCAAAACTCTAACTGTAGCTGCATGCTACTTCAAAGACTTTAACATGTATTTGAAGCTGCACGCTTCAATTAGAGTATAAAAGAATCTGAAATAAAGTTAAGATTGGTATGCTTTCAGGAATTAAACTGCTCATTTTGTGTTTCTTTCAGTGTAAATTTTCCTGCTTTGTTTGAACACACAACTCAGGGCATCAACCTAGAAGAGGGAGTCATCCGATCAGTTCAACCATGATGAATTGACAGGCATCTGTCCTCTAATTTGTTGTACAGCGTCTGAGGGGACCACGCCTCAGAGTGTAAAATTAGAATTTATAATTGAGGGGTTGTGGGGGAACGCAGGGGTCAGACCAGTTTGGATCATACCCTTTGAGCCGTCACAGGACCGTAAAAGATAACAGTCACATCAGCCAATTTAGTGAGAAGGTGTGTAGCTGGTTAAAAACAAATTTGCTCACTTTTTAAGAAGAGATTATCAACACTGATTAGAGTTTTAATAGTGATGTTGTGCAAGAGGCTGTTTTTCTCAAGTGGCTAAATATACTTTTGATGATTTTGTCTTAATATCTGCAGAAAACCCTCATCTTAATACTGTCAAACCAACATATTTGGGAAACATGAGTCTTGGCATTTGCCTGCAGATAAGGCTAAAGCTACCACGTGAATTCATGATGACTCTTGCTGCCATAATCTCACGGGAAACAGTATGCTATCTGTCATTCAGGGTGGTGCTTTTGCCAACTTGTTTTTATAGGGTGGGCACACGCTGGTTATCAGGAATGACTCAAACGATCAGAGGTAATAACCTTTCCATGTATAAGGAGCAGCAGGCAGCTGCTTTCAGGATGAACGTCACTCCCACATGTTGAGTCATGACTAAATGAAACACCACAGAGAGAGGCTCAGGGAAAAATCAGGAAGTGAAATTAAACTGTGGGGGCTCTTTATCCTGTTTGGTGAAATCAGAGTGCATTAAGGGCCACAAGAGAGTGAATCTCTATCAAGAGATATGACTGATATAAAAGTCTGAACACAACTATGAATCATGATTACAGATTTAATCAATCAGTACCTCAAGATCCCCATTGATTCTAATGTTATATGTCAGTGGTTCTCAACTGGTCTCACTCTGGGACCCACATTTTCCTATGGTCCTTAAGTCGCGACCTACTTTTATAAAATTCAAACCAAGCAAATTTATTTCTTATAAAAAAACCTTTAAAGATTCAAATCTTTGACAGAAATACACCCATTTTATTGAGTAAAGAGCATTTCAGAGTACATGAACTGAGGACGACAACTACTGAAGTTTCGTATAAAGAAAATATCAAATTGCACACAATGGAGACCAGCAAAATGGACAATTTGACCTCTTTGCATCTCTGCATTCAGAGCATATTCAGAGTAACCTGAGAAGGGCCATACAAAAACATGTAATTTTACTGCATTCAGGCCAAGACAAAGATGCAAGACGTCTGAACAAAGTGGTGAAAAAAGGCTGGCTCTGTAGTAGGACTCAAGCTGGACTCAGTGGAGGATGTGGTGGAGAGATCTACACTGAGGAAGGTGGACACTATGCTTAAGAACATGGATCACCTACTTCACAACACCTTAATGGACCAAAGGGCCAATGGTGGTGGACGGCTCCTCTCTCTTCGCTGCAGGACAGAAAGATTCTCAAGATCTTTTGTACCAACAGCCATCAGACTTCATAACTCTTGTGTGACTAGTAGATAACTTTTAGAGACATATCATGTGAGACAACAGACAATTGAATTTCCCTTTGGTGATTAATAAAATTCTTCTTATTCTTACATTAATAAGAAACTAAGGAAGACCACATGATGCATGCCTTTCAAAATGAGCTATTTTTCAAAATAAAAGACATGTCAAACATCAGATTCGCATTAAACATTTACTGTCTGCGACCCATCCAGAACATGTCCACGACCCTCTTTTGGGTCAGGACCCACCAGTTGAGAACCGCTGCTATATGTTACCTACTTCATTTGAAACAGCTTTGAGGCTAAAGGACATTTTAGTGAAACAAAACCTCTTTTGATTTGGGAGGCATGTAAAATAGATTAAGAAAATGACTATTTATAGGCCACTCCATGCTGACTAACTTGACCCCACCAACGCTGACTCAACATCCATTTTCTTAAGAGGAAGATGGACACTTGAGGAACTGCGGCTGGAAGTTTAGTTGAAAACCACATTTAAAATGACTATCAGAGTAGAAAAGTGTTTACAAATACCATACTTGCTGCCAAATGTTCATTATTTGCAAAAAAGAAATCATTAAAAAGATGCAACAATTAGGCTAACTGGTGGTCTAACAAGCAGATAGGGCCAATTCATCAACATCTTAGTAAGGCTTTCTAAGAAAACTTAAAATAAAGTCTGAAGGCCCTGCTGGGTGAGTCCATCACTCCCTCCTCTACATGAACTCCTCTCCATTCTCGTTTGAAGTCTCTGGAAAAAGAGGGAGGGAAAAAAAAAAAGGTTTTTTTAAGGGGGGCGGGATCTTGTGACTCACCAGCAACTTCCTCAGTAGTAGGACTAATGTAGCCGGCAAGCTGCATCATTCTCCGGCACAGAGATTTTGACTTCTGTCAGAAGAAACACACAAAGTTTTACAGCTGGAGGGCGACGCTCGTGAGCCGCCGGAGTAACCTAACAGCAAAGTGATCCTGAGCGCGCGAGAGGGAGGCGGTGTGCCCACTGTTGTTGCTGAAGGTGTCCTCCTCCAGACTACAGACTAAACTCCTGGTAGGAAACCACTTTTTTTAAGGTCGAGCAAGACTTTTTTTTGACTTTCAAGTGTTTCTATCTTCGACCTCTGTGCAGCTTCAAGAACAGTGTGGACGCTTTGATAACATTTTAAAGTCGAAAAAGTGTCAAAGTTGATGTTAATATAGATGTCAGACGCCATCATTTTAAAGGAAAATGAATGACATAATCAATCAATGAAGTCGATAAGCTCTGAAAAGTCACCTACAACTACTTTCATGTATAGTTTGCAAAAGTAATGTTGTTTTGTTAACTAAAATTGGTTAAAATCAACTTGTTTTAGATGATAGGTAGTTGATAGGGCTGGAGTAAGTAGAGGAATCAATCAACTTAAGATTTCAATTCAGACTCCTTCAATTTTAAGGATTTATTTACAAGCTGTCAAGTGGTTTGTTCTGTATTTAACAAAAAGAAAAAATATAAACACAATTTATTAATTTTTTATCTTTAGACGACAAAGTAATGCTCAATAATTTTAACTTAGTTAACAGAATCTTGATCAAATGAAACAATCTACATTGTCTTCCAAACAGTCTATAAATTAAATACATTATACAACACTTACTTTGACACACTTGAGCAAACTGATCAATGAGCTCAGGAGTCCTTATAGACTCCTAAAACAGTTTAGCAATCTTCAGTGTCACTTTTTTATTAGCTAAAGCAGCGTTAGAGGACTTTAGGGGTTAGTTGCACAGTAATGATGATCTGTAAATATATAATAATTTTCATTCATTTAAGTTCAAATAAGTGGATGAAGAGCATGACTAGGCTTGACATTGCGACATTTTGACAAGCTTTCATATTTCACACCTTAATCAAACACGCCTCTTAAGGGGAAGCCTTACAAATAAGGAACCACTTCCTGTGTAAAAAGGGGATCCGGGCTTTTTGGGTCTGCCAGAGTGTGTTTTTTTCCTGCTATCCTTGTTTATCCTTGTATTTCCTCTCATTCCAACTCCAGTCTCACACCTGCTCTTATTTCCTTTTTTATACAATGCACGCACACTCACACAAGATAAGGCAAAAATAATAAACAGCATCTCGCCATGCTGTGGAGGAGCAGGCTGTATTGAATTGCGTGACCCACTGAACTGTGCGCAGGAAGGATTAAGGAACAACTGTTGTGTCACAGAAGCTCCCAGCTGAGCGGTGTGTGAAGGCCTCAGAGAGCAGAGTCCCTCAGGCTAAACTTGACTCTTCTCCAGCAGCAGTAAGTGGGCAGCATGTGTGTGTGTCTGGGAAGGGTGTGTCCGTTCTAGGTTTGTTTTGGGCGGATATCATCATGTCCCAGTAGTAGTTGTAGAAATGTAGTCATCCTTATGACGTTTGTTTGCTGGTTCACCTGTTGCATCATCTTGGCGTTGTTAGAAAAGAGGCTTGGTTGTTGGGGGAATTTTACAAAAGATCTTACATAATTACTTCAGTCAGTTTTAGGATATCTTTTCAAACGTTTGCACCAAAAAATACCAAAATAACAATAGTTTTTTCAAGACTTTATTATGCTTTGGAGTTGCATCTTGGCATATGTACAGATAAAAATCAGAAAAAACTAAGAACAGACAACCTTGAATTAGATCTCAGAATTATATGGTACCAACATGCATAAACTCACCTCCCTTAAGGTGAAATCCGGCTGTTTAAATGCTTCTTACTCATCTGCGTTCATAACTTTGTCTTTTTGTTTGATGTACCATTGTTTAAAGTGGTTTTGCTGCAGTTATTTTCCTTGAAACAAGGCCAACAGGCGTAGGCAGACCAAACAAAAAGGTAAAGATACTTCCTTAAAACCAAAACAATGAGTTTGAAACACTTGGATGAGACAAAGGGACGTCAGAGTTTAACATTAACAGCTTGATCCATCGCTGACTGAGGAAAACAGACACTTAAATCAATCTACTGTGTAATTATTATCATGATTGGGACACATTTAAGTTGACCTTTTCATCTTGAAGAATTTGCTGTCTCACTTCTTCCTTTCCTGTTGAATAAAACAGAAATCACACCTGAATTAATGCTCTCAGGCACCCTGCTGTGCTTTCACAACTGACAGGTTATTTTTACACCAACACTAACGTGCTGAAATAATCTCCTCACAGCCAAAAGCCAGTCATCCTGTCCTATTTAACATCTGGGACGTATGCCTTGACAAAACCCACGGGCTGTGTATTGTATTTGTTTGCTTTCTTCCTCTTCCTCTCTCCCTCTCTGTTTCATTGACCATGGTCACATTCTTCGGAGGTCTCAGTGTTTTCCAAAGGTTAGCCCCGCGTGGTGGTTGGACCCCGGCCAGCTCTGAACTCGAATGAGACTGCAAGTAAATGACTTGGACTGGTTGAGGCTGGTTTTATGGGTTGGCATCGTTTGAATTCGGGCCAACCATAATGATGGAGAATTGGCGGTCAAGTGTTTGCAGGTGGTTAGGGGGCAGGATTTAGATGTGACATTTTGCAGCTGCCTGTCCCTTTATGGTGTTTGAAAGGACCTGGACGCAGTTGGCATTGTTTTTATTACTCTGTGGCATTCACTCATCAGGTTCTTTATGGGCTTAATATCTTACTGCTGATCTTTTAACTTCAGATTGTAGTCCTTTACATGCTTGATAATGCTGAATGGATTTTTTTGCTCGAAAAAGTCACGCTTCCAGCTACTCTGAGCGTGCATACCTCTATTCTACCTCATGTTCATGCGATTCCAACCATAATTTAACAATGCAACCAGATCCAGCTTTTAGCCGTTCAGGCTGATTAAAACAACATCACATCTGTGTTACATGTGAGACCATAAAAGGAAAATTCTGCTTTGGTGTTAACAGAACCTCTCTGGCACTGATCTCTCAAGCATTTTTGTGATCTGTATCAGTGAAAACCTGTGAAATCATGGGCTTTTGGCTTCAGATTTTCTCACAGGTCAGACATCCTTTTGAGTTTTTGGTCACTAAATCTTTTCCTGTTAGCCAGCCGCCTCCTCTGTGTGGACTGTGTGGGCACGTGGCTGGCAGCAGTAGTCTGTCTGGACTCCCCCGAAAAGGGGGGAAATGACCTCAGGTTTCCTGTGTGGGGATGGCCAGGTGCGGTGGTGTTATTGTGAGGAGTGCAAGACTTCCTCCATGGATGCTTTGTTGGTAAACGTCTGAAACTTGATCCTCGAGACAGGGCCCCTGTGGGAGGTAATAGACCCTCACTCACATACACACACACACACACAGCCCAGTCACTCTGCCTCACTCCCTTTTTGTCTCTTCTCCCTCTCACTTTGCACACTTACTGCCACACAGCTCACTCCATGTGGAAGTTTATGTGCAGGGAACATAAACTTTATATAGGCAGCAAAGCAGTGTAAAAAGTAACTGACTCTGTGCTAATGGGGCAATTACATTCTTCAAGGGATACAATTACAGGCCTATACCTAGCACTTACCTGCTACTCTCAAAGGAAGGGCTGTCTTCAGAGGAAATACCTAATTGTAAGCACAGAACTGGAGATGCCTCAAAACTACCCACTCACTAGTTCAATACAAACTAATTATACTCTATGTTATGAAAGAATGGGGCTATGCCTTGCCTCACTCCGCCTCTCACTTGACCTCATCTGTCTGTTCTACTTTATTCCCTCTTCAAATCCGCAGTACTGACACTTCCTTATCAGGGTTTTCCTTTGCATGGATAAACAGATGTTGTTTGGGTGTAAGAATCCTGTCCATTCACTGCTGCATCATCACAATCTGTCACATTGTGAACTTGTCGGGGAGGCATGTGAGTCAGCCGTGACTGTTTCCCTGCGCCCTCGCCTAAAGGGAGGAGGGCAAAGTCATGCTCCAACAGAAGGGTTTGGCATATGCAAATTCCCAGGATTCAACGAGAGGAATGTTATGATGCAAAATGTGTGGCGGTTACCTCCATCGTGTACCTGACTTGCCTCACTTCGCCCATGGGAATGGGATCCTTGATAAACTTGTCTGTGTTGTCTTGGTACTCACGCTTCTCTGCTGTGGGTGGTAATCATCTTTGTACCATCGCATAAGCACATCCATCCAGAATTGCCCAATGCGTTGGCACTTGTAACAGATGTTATCTAGAGAAAACAGAGCAATGGGATTAAGTGTAGCAAAAGTCCTTAAAAAAAGTGAGACATCTGCGCATACTTTTTGGGGGAATAGTTGCACCAAGCAGCACAAGGCAGGAAGGATTGAGAGGGAAGCACAGATATAAAGTCAGCAGACAAATTGCAGTGGCTTTTACACAACTGGGTTTGTACTGTGTTTCATGAAGTCCTAAAACTAATGATTATGTTGTACTGTGGCTGATGGATAAATCACAGGATAACCTATGGTTAATGGAGGCACTTGAGGGGAAGAAACTTGGTTGAGGAGGTTGTCCAATACACAAAGTAATAACACGTTGTATGACCTTGATGGATTTCTTCTTATAAGGGGGATGTCAAAGCAAAAAGCCAAAGCTCACACTTTGTACTGTACCACCACATCTTCGTGTCTGGGATCAGAGACTGATCTTCCTCTGGGTCATTTTTGTTATTGAGGGAATCACAGATACACTAACCTGCTATTACCACGGCTTCTGTCAGAGTTGGATAAGCATGAAATTGCTGTATGCTGTACTTGTCATAGACTCCTGAAAGGATAGCAGAATCATGGACCCTGAGAGAAACCCCTGTTTAACAACATCAAAATGGTTTATGAAATGGCTTTCCACTGTTTTCCACTGGACTATAGGAACTTTTACTGAATGTGTTTACAATTAGTCTCAAAAGGTCTCTAGGAAAATGTAGGACTTCTTTAAGCTGCGAGGACTTGATCCAATTGGTGGAGCACTCGCAGCTGTTTGCTACTATGAACTTGTTGTGGCACCACACTTGACTTTTGATAATACTTTTGGGTAGTAGTCAGGGTTGGGTTTGAATTTGACCAACTTGAGATCTGATCCTGGTTCCGCTTATTGAGTCTTTGTTTTAATTCCATTAGTTTCAGTGAGGAACAAAAGGTTATGTGAAGTCCCCCCTTTTCCTGCTTGGTCATCTTGCCCCATCACTAAAGTTTCTGGACTACAGGGTCTCTTTATAAGTATGGGGGTAGATGTGTCACACTTTCTGCAGTCTGCAAAGAACCTCTTCTCACAACTTTGTTAACATACTGTGTCACATGTGACATAATCTATTGCTGCCCCTCGTAGATAAGTGAAACTTTCTATGCACCGCGAAAGTCTCCTGAAAGGTTCATGTTGCTGTTTGGTACCGAAAAACAGAACTGTAATGCACGGGCCATAATAAATTCGCAAATCTCAGATAGTTGAAACTGAATTTCATATTCCATATCTAAATAGCCAGGCCTTGTTTGTTGTTGCGGCTGTAACTTTTACCCCACAAGGTGTTGTGTGTTAGGTTTACCAAGAAAAAAGACATACATGTTACTCTCTAATCCTTTGTTAAACAGATGTGGCGTTTCACAGGTAAGCATTAATTTGAATACTTCTGGAGGGGTCTTAAGATCTAGGACGAGCATACAACAAGAAGCCGGAGAAACTTCTTTGCAAACCTTTGGCCACTGAGTTGAGGACTGTTGCCTCAATGGGTGGTCAAAGGGTAGTCCCAGAGAGGTTGTATTTTCTAAAGTGGCAATACCTTTATCCATCCCATTGGGTCTTCTTGTATACTGGCTTAATCAGGTCATAATTTGAGACCACGAGGCACTTAGTCTTTAACCACTTAGTGATACACAGCAGGGCTCAAACAAGGCAACGATACCTGAGGCTGAAAGTGACACCTAAACCCTGAGAGAGTTGGCCGTTAACAAAGTATTTCTCCGTAACAACATGCATGCAGGGCCCTGTTCTTATAGCAGACGTTTTGGAGGGATAATTTAGCCTTGGCACCGTGCACACGTGTTGTTTGTTTCACGATGCCACTCCCATATCCCACACATTCACCCCCTGCTGCTGTGGGAGTTGTGTCTTTATATGGCTAGTAACTTCAGTTTGCGGCAATGCCAAATGCATTAGTGTTGATTGCTTCCCAAACACTTTACAGGGTTGGCTCCCACATCTGCGAAGATTGAACCCAGACCGTGACATCATTGGTAGGGAAGTGCAGTCATGAGAGCGTGGGTGTTTATGGCAAGGTGTCTGCCTTCAGCGTGTCCACGTTTTTATTCAAATGTGCGCCAACGATCCCTGTGTTGCACAACAATCTTAAATCAGGAGGACCTGACTTGTTGAACTGCACTGAAAGCTGCTACATGTTCAGATTAGCTGCGTGTTATCTTGTCACTGGTAGATGCAGGAGTGTTTATTTGGGGAGCAGCTGTGAGCGAGAGCATTCCCCTCGCTGAAAGTAAACACTGTTAAAACGCCTGTTCTGCACGATGAAACTAGCAAGCGATCAAGAATGTTCCTCCTTGCACAAGAGGTCTTACACCATCTCTGTCTCATCATTGTTCTTTCTTTCTGAGTGTGTTTTTTCCCGCTAGTATTTACAGGCAAAGGCACACACACACACTTTATCTCACCCTCAAACTTTCAACTCTACGGTTCTGGTGGAGAGTCAACAGTGTCTGCAGAGGAGGCAGGCAGAGACAAGCCAGACTTGCTACATACACGGAGGTGTGGATTCATGTCATTCAAACTGAAACAGAGAGTGCACTTGGCACAGCTTGGGCAAACTTTGGTACTAACTTGTAAACTCTTTAAATCACATTGAATACATGTAGAAAGCAGCCAGTTTGTTTCTCTGCCTCCCATCCATTCCGGTGTTCTGTCACCTTCATTAACCGGCCTTTGTATGGGACTTTGGAGAAGCCATAAATGGCAGAAAGTGTCCTTGGTGTGGCTATAAAAGGACGCTAGCTCCTAGTAGAGAAGCTGATTTATAACAGAACCAGGGAGGGATTTCTTGCCTTCTTCAGTCAAAGTTTAGAAAGTGGAAGAGGAAGACGAAAGGATGAGATAGAGAGAGAGGAGTGGCCTGAGTACACTATTACTGCCTGCAGGCTCATCTGTCGACAGCCTGTCATAGAATAGCGTAATCATGAGACACATGCAAGTTTACTCTGTGCAACACCCCCAATCTTGGAAAAAGTGCACAGCGACTATTTACCCTTATCACAACAAGTGTACACAAGAGAAAGAACATGTTATGACTCCACAAAAGTATTCGGCGTCAGCTCTTGTTCGTTTTATGCAATTTAACTTCCAGAGAGAGTTGCATTAAAGTGATTAAAGTGAAATACCGCTTTGTTTGACAGTGTGTTCGCAACCAGAAGATTGCATTGAGCTTGGGATTCAGACATAACTCAGCCCAAAGGGATCAGAGCATTTACTTTTGGTGCAATCACTGAATGATTCACAGACTTTCAGGAACATAGGAAAACTGGTGTTGGTGCTTTGACTGTTCCTCGGTAACCTCTGTTGTTTGTTTACCCTCGACAAGACACAAAGACATTGGGACTTTTGCAAGACTTTTTCTTAATATTGCTTCAAAAGTTCTTGATCACATTCGCATTTTCCTGTTTTGTATTTTCACCATGAATTTCTGCCTCATTTATGCATCTCTTAACTCAAAAATATACGATTGTGTGTCTATAGAAAGACTTATGTTCTGCCATTCAAAACTTTTATCCTGTGGAACATCACTACAGAAACAGCAGACCCTCTGTACTTAATTTGAAGGTGTAGATTTTACTCCTTGAAGTTGGAGATAAAGTTGTTGCTTTGGCTTATCTTAGCCTTGAGTGTCTCTTCATTTTCCTCTGTAGTCGTTCCTAGAAATGAAGCTGTCCCTATGATGTGAGAGAAATGATGTGACAGATACAGATCCTAAGTGGTTGCTGATGTGGTGTATATGTCTTGGGCATCCAGCCAAACCACCTACAGGGATGGTGCCTGACCGCATTAGCAGCAACATAGTGCAAATGTAACACATCCTTGCCACCAGTCTGCATATGAGCCACATATATGTATTTATAAATAGACACAAACTGTTACACGCTGACCTGACAAGAAGTAGAAGCAGGTTAAACAGGAGGCAGGCTGTTCAGGCACAATCTGACAAACAGGCTGTACTAGTAGAGTAATGTTTGATTGTTTGCAGTACTCCACATAAAAATGGTTATCTTATACTGGCTACTATGAGAACCATTGTTTCAGCACTAGTCAGCCTCCGCCGGAAACACAAGTTTTGGCAGCTTTTTCAGTGACATTAGGTTAGACTACTTGTGGGTGTTACTTTTTACACAGCTCTGTAGTTATGTACCAAAAGTTGTGCCCTAAAAGATAATGTCTGAGACTAGCCTTTACACTCACTGAGCTCCTCATTACAGGTTATCTGTGCATTACCTTCTACTATATTGTTGCTTTTAGTTAGCGGTTCTGAAACTTCATGTGAGTTCTTAATGAAAGCAACAATTTCAGGTTTCATTAACAGTTGAGATCCAACTCCAGCTCGTTCTGGTCATCAGTGGAGTGTCAAGCACAAACAGCAGCTAAGTTGTCTTCCATCGCTTGGAAGAAAAAACAGCGCTGACCTTCTTTCACAACTGGGGGACCAATCTTTAGCAACTTTCAAGATGTACATAGTCAACAAAGTACATAGAGATTGAAAGCTGCGTAAAATAGGCTCTTAAGGAAACTGGAAATTTGATGAGCTTCTTCAGTGTTGTCCTAATAGGTCGGTAGAGCGTGTAGTAGCCTTTCCTGGACCCCAAGAAGACTAGCTCTGTCTTGACAAAAGCTAATGGGGATCCTTATAAACAATAAAGCTGGTGTCCTACTGATGCTAGCTTGCAGCATGCCCCCACTCACCCAAACGACAAAAAAAAAATCAGTCTGTCAATAACATTTCACATTAGCCAGATGGGAAATACAGAGAATCTTTACAACATCCGTGCAACATTTAACATGTACAATCCAAATACAGAATCCAACTGATAACAAAAGGATGGGCCCGGTGGTTCATTACATACATCCTCCCTCCCAGCCTCTATATAAGTGTGTAAGCCCACTGCACTTTTTCAACAATTCAACATCTTTAAAAGTGGACTCTGTGGAGGACATCTGATGACGTAAGGTCATCCATAAACAGCTAACTTAATGTGTTGTTACTTTATTCAGTGGCTTTTACTGGTTTCAATCTGGGTCAGTATGTACTGAAGAAAAAAAAAGAGATCTCTGCAAGCCCCTGGTGAAAAAAGGAAAAAAAAAAACTGGTAAAGGATGAACAATGAAAGAGTCCTTTCTTCAGAAAACTTAGAGACAAGCTACAGGCATCCTTACATTCCTCAGTAATGGGAGAGAAGATTTTTTTCAATGTTAAGCTTCTTTATTTAGTACTTTTAATGATTTGAATCAATAAATATTGGTTTGCAGAGAAGAGCCGTAAAAGAATTGGCTCAGAGGTAAAAACTATTGGTGATCAATCCTATTTGGTAGTTTAGTCCTTTATATTAAAATCCTGCCATGCTGTTTCTTTTGCATTTCTGTTTGTCCAAAAAGGCAGCTAGAAATCCAAAGTACAGATATTTTACTGGCAAACTCTTAACGATGGTTAAGTGTTATGGAAATTTGAGGTCAGACTTCAAAGATTTCCACAAAAATCAGAAGCAAAACAAAAGTCGATTCTTGGCATGTCATAAGACAACAATAACTCTGATTTTATTTGTATTTCTAACATCAAACCAGAAAGAAGATGCTCATTACCACCAGGTGTTAACTGGGGCATAGATTTTCCCACCTAACTCAACCCAAAGCTGTTTCTTCTTTCCTTGCATAAATTCTCGCAAGAGTCTGGCAAACATCACCAAGTTGTTTTCCTCTTTACTTTTCCTAAGGTCCACCATACGTTTGCAATTCTGCCAGCGCTTTAATGGGCTTAAGCATTCAGCTTCAAACTGAACCGCATTCAGTGTTGGCAATGGAAATTAGATCAATGGGTAAAATGGGGGCCAGACGGTGAGCAAAGCACAGCGAAGGGCCGATGACACAAGCACCATGACTTCACTGTGAAAGCATTCAACCCCTCTTTAAAAAACCCCCATCCCTCATCCTATTGCACGCTTTCACAAGAATGGTGAGTGGAAACTGTTTAAGGTTTAATGGCTTCTGTGGAGGAAAAAAGCGGAGGAAAAAGTGTCCTATAATATGAAAGGTCTTGCATGGTGATGGTTGTTGGACACCGCGTGATGCATGGTTTGATCCGTCAGGGGAGTAATTCAGTGCCTCTGTTGCAGCGCTGTGAGTAAGTTGCAGCCATTAAGCTTTTACCATCCATCTACCAGCGCCACTGGACTCTGCTGCCGCAATAATCAAGGCAGAGCTATACATCCTGTTAATTTACACGTGTGACGCACATTTACAGGTCGCTTGATGGATGAGGGGGCCGTGGAGCTGTGACGAGAACCTTGTGCCTTTAGCTACCTTCTCACTTTGTGTCTGTTTAATGTTCCCTCATCCTTGCAAAGCCAAGAATACTCCTTTATGGGGAAAGAGAAGAAGGATAAAAAAGCAGAATAAGGTCAGAGTGAGCCCGAGTCTTGGTTAATAGATTGAAATAGATAGACAAGTCTGCTTAGGAAGCAACATAATTCACGCACACTATCAGTGTTTACCAAAGCACCTGTTTTCACATCGTTCCCCCATTTAAACAACCGCAGCTAGGACTTTGCATTTTATCACTGATAATGAAGTAGGCGGGGAAGATGAATGGTGTTTTGCATGGCTGCATGATAAAGAGATCCCAGTGTCTGACAGTGAGAGATAAGGACCTGACGGATTGCAGGTCTGTTCTGGCAAAGTCGAACAACTAGGTATAGGATTTCTGAACTTTCAGCTCTTTAGACTCAATGAACCTTTAGATTAATCCATTGAGAGTATTGCTTTTTGACAAAGATGCTTATCAGTCTAAGGTGAGTACATGCTTGCACCTACCACTTCCAGTCCACAGTTCTCCTACAATCTAACTGGGATTGATTTTTACATCACATGGTCACCAGGTAAGCACACAACCCCAGTTCAACTGCTCTTGCAGCGCCGGTGGCTTAAAAAGCTCCAAACACAAGGGAAAAGTATGGAAAAGTAACACACAAAGATGCAAGATCTAGAGGACGGCAAAGATAAAAAAAAAGAGAAGAGTAGGTGGGTGAGCGACTCAGGGACATGGAGGGTGGAGGCAGTCCTGGGATGCATGGCAGCATGATTTATGGACACCTTTGAAGTGAGCTCATTCCAGCCACACGGCCTGCCTGCTGCATTTCAGAGCAGGGACGTCCTCCTGGCGGTGCAGCGAGGGGGAGAAATGACCCTCGGGTCACCAACCTCCACTAGCTCATAGCAGTACCACTCGCTTGTGCACTTCCTGATTATGTGGCACTTCATCACCGCATGTTTTGGTTTCCAACAAGCAAAAAGTCAGCTGCACGGACATCCAATGGACACATGACTCACTTCACAGGAACCTAGTTGGAGGTCAAAGCAAACAGAGAGATTGACAAAGGAGAGAGGAAGGTGGTCCCGTCTGGACTCGTAGAAATTGGGTCAAGAGAGACATCCTACTTCAGAGACCAGCTCGTTTTCTCTTTTTGCTACAGTGAGCAGAATTATGCGGGAGAATTTATAGGATCTCCAGTACAGTCTGAATGGAAAATCATCCCTTGCAGTTTAAACCTCAACAGTAGTCTCACCAATGATGACATCATTGTTTGAGTAAGAAAAGCTTCCATCTTCGAAAAATGGCAACTCTGCAGAAGTCGGTCCAAGAATGTCAGTCGGGTCTGGAAATAAAGATTTTAAATGTGTTTGCATTGTTACATCCAAGATTTTCTCTCTTTTTTTCTGCCATCTGTGATCATATCAGTTTTTTTATGCTCGTATAAAAGCCGAGGAATGACGATATAAGTAACCAAAGTGGCTTTTCATATGATCCCTCGATTTAGTGCTCAGGTCTGGTCTATATAGTGTGACTCTTCATGCACATGGCTACACGTGTCTTTCTCCCTGTGGCTCCTTCCCTCTGCAAGACTTAAAACTGTCAGTGTGTTTAGACATGGTAAGCCTGTTTTACATTGTGACCATGTGTTTAAAAAAAAGTGTGTGACCGTCTTTCTGAGAAGTCCCAGAGACATCTCTGTTCGGGGTAACAGGAAGAGACACATTTTGTGTGTATATGTGTATGTGTGTGTGTGTGAACTCTGTTTTGGGACTCCCCGTTGTTATCAGACCCTCAGTGGTGAAAGGGGTAGTTGCCCTATAGGAAGTGAACTCGCGTATGTTTCTCACAGCATAAACCGCAGTGAAAAGATGAAGACTTGTTTTCATGGCAGGAGAATGGCGCACAGGGATGTCCTACAGGTCAACCCTCATTATCACATCTATTTTAGGTCGCTGGTTTTATGCTTTGGGATTTTACTATGTGGCGGTTTAAAAAACACATATAATAGTATGCATTTAACTGCATGCACTGGTGAATTTTCAAATTTATTTTAAGTAACTTTGACCAGATTTTCTACAAGTGCTTCTGAAGCTCCACTTGAAAAAGTCTCAAAGGAAAGATAAACTTTCCTTGAGTGATCTAAAATCAGGATGTTGTAAAGTGACATGTTTTTATAGCACAACATATTAATTTTCACCTCACCTCAGCATCCTCATAAAACGGTTGGTTGTGCCCTCAGTCAGCGGTGCACAGGACGAAACGAGAACTAAACTTCATCGCCAGGAGGTTTATGGTCCAGGGGAATGAGGGCACTGTTTACACGTTGCCAGGGAGATGATGGGCCTGAGAAGGGAAAAAATGGCAGCATATACTGGAAATGACTCTCTAGATTTTCATCCCAGTCTTTTCACATTTGGCAGCACCACTTTCAATTTTCTGAGCCGACGTAATGCTTGTTTTTTTTTTTCTTCACATGAACCCATCTTCTCGGGGTCACAGAGTCGGACAGGGAGGGAGAGGTGAGTATTTTGGTCGGTTGCAGTTGTGGGAGATAATTCGTACAGCTGTTGCCAAGAATGTAGATTACTCTCACTGCTTATAAAGTATAATACCCATGAAAGCCTTCTGCACCCAGTGATTGGAGACATCCACCTGCTTAGAACAACACTGCTGAATATTCATGTTCGGGGGTGTTGGGATGTAGGCTTAAAATAATGCCCCTCTTGTCCGGGCATTAACCTCAGGGTCAGGTGCCATCCCTGCAGCCACGAGCCGCAAGTCTGAATGAGTTATATATAATTGCTTGCAGTTGTGGGTGTGCACTGCACACTTGTGTGTGTGGCATGCTTAGATTGCTAAGTGTGCGGCTGGTGAAACCTTAACCCTGCTCCTTTATGTCCTGGCTATTGGGCTGACTCAGCAACATTAGCAGACCACCTGGGAATGACCGGTCTATGGGAGCCATCTTGTAGGGAGCCTTGTAGCTCGGTCCTTTTGGGTTACTATTAGATGTGAAGCTTTTAACAGCAGTGGTCTGCATAAATCAAGGTCATAAGAATCCGTACAACATTTCAAGTTAAACAGTAAAGACACATAGACATAGCAGAAAGACAGGAACGAGGCCATGGCTGATTATATGTTATCAGAAACACGGACGACAAAGTCAAAGCGTCCTCAATACCCTCTGTTGTTGGATTTCATTGTCCAAACTCCTTTGCACCAATCAAAAGTATATGCTTTGAAACCATATTAGGACCTGTGCAAATCATACGAGGCCCCTCGATCTCTTGGCTCCAGCAGTTAAGAAAGTTTGTTTTATTTATAAGAACAGTACAGAGGTAATTTTCCATTGTGGTGACTCGTGGGACATTTGCTTTGTCTGCCTGCCTGTTGCAAAGACACAAAGAAATAGGCAGAAGTTAATTTTCGGTGTTGCTACTGAAAATATTGCATCAGAAAGGCTCTTTCTGTTCCCCCTCTGGAGGTTAGTCTTAAGAAAACAGCATCCTCTCAAGGGGCCTGTAAACCAGTTACTGAATCAGCCGGCTTGCAAGTCAAAGTATCCTGACTTCACTATGCATACCTTTCATTCTGCTCAGACTGAGTGGGCCGTGCTGTTGAGTGAAGTTTGAAATTACACATGATTACAGCTAATTGTATAAAACCTTTTGGCATATAACTTCAAATAGTATTATTAATCATTCAAAAATAAATGTCAAAGGCTATTAGGAATCATTGACCAAATATAGGTAATGATTCTATTCAGAAAATTTCTCAGGACTGTGGACGTGTGATAAATCTTGTTTTTTTTTCCACATGCAGACACAGCAATTAGTATGACCATGCTGAGTTGAACTTCAAAATATTTATTTAGGTCACTGTGAAAGAGGAAGGAGAAGTCCGTCAAACTCCTAATTATTCATCTCAAATAGTTGCTGAGTCTGAAGTCGAATCAGAACTTGGTGTTTTTCCATGTATGGAAAAGATAAAGCTTCTATTATCAGTCAGCAGTTCATGAACACATAAGATGCATTATCCTCTTTTTACTCTCAGACTATTGAATGCACTTCTCTTTTATATGAACTGGTTCCATGTTTTTACTGTACAAACACCGATTCCCAAGACTCAGAATAGATAGATTTAGTTGACACTGATTACCTGCTACCTTAAGAAATGTATCAATGCTTGGGTTAAGTGGAAATGTCTAATTGTCAAATAATTTCCTTTTGATTTGTTTGATGATTTAATCACACAGTTTTCATTACACACATGTAAATCGAAACTGTAGATTTACCGTGCCGACCCTCACCTATGGTCGTGAACTTTGGGTATTGACCGAAAGAACGAGATCGTAGATACAAGCAGTCGAAATGGGTTCCTTCGCAGGGTGGCTGGGCTCAGACTTAGAGATAGGGTAAGGAGCTCAGACACTCGGGAGTTGCTCAGAGTAGAACCGCTGCTCCTCCACGTCGAGAGTCAGCCGAGGTGGCACGGGCATCTGGTTAGGATGCCTTCTGGATGCTTCCCGTTAGAGGTGTTCTAGACATGTCCCACTGGAAGGAGACCTCGTGGCCGGCCCAGGACCAGGTGGAGGGATTATATCTCTCGCCTGGCCTGGGAGTGCCTAGGGCTCCCCCCGGAGGAGCTGGTGGAAGTGGATGGGGTGAGGGCCGCCTGGGCTTCCCTCCTGAAGCTGCTGCCCCCACAACCTGGACCCAGATAAGCAGAAGAAAACGATGACGACGCGCAAATGTTAAGGGCCTATGTCCACTTACAGCATCTTTTTATAATTACAGCATACAGGACCTCAAATTAGAATACTTTAGTTTCTCCTTCTCCGTGGATTTTCTAGATTTCCGACAACACGTAGGTCCAAAGCTCTCAACAAAAAACAAAGCAGGTGTCAGCAGTGAGATGGATCTCCTCTACACAGTGACGGCTTCATATTTCAAAGAGATGCCGTATCACTGGGATCACAGAGTGGAGCATGACAGCGAGGATTTGAGGATATCAGGACAGTGACTGAAATAACCATTTTTGGGCACATATCTGCCCTGGGAAACTTTGTATTGAAGAGGTTCTGGGATTAATGTCCATGTTTGTTCGAATAGAAATAATATACTCTCCCTCTTGTGCAGCTGTACAGAGGTCTAAAACCAACCCTACTCAACTTATTTATTTTAAAACCAGGAGACAGGGGAAGAAACTGAGAGAGGCCCCTTGAAAATAAGCGTTACAGTGAGATCCTTCAGCACTCTTTTCAATTTTCTCTGTCTTATCACTGTAAAGTTTGAGTTTTGTTTGGGTGGTATACGCTTTTAGTCTTTTTGCTGAGTTGTTATTTATCACACATTGTCTTTAACGCCATTACTTTTGCATTCCTTCCTCCTCTCTAAACAAACTGTTTACCACCTCAAAGTGTATCCGAATCTTGGCAAGCAAACTGTCAAGATTTTTTTTCTCACTTACGTTCTCTTTTCTCACTCTGGCTCTACTTTTCCCTCTGCCATCTAAACATTTACCGGCAAATACCAGCGCAGAGAAAGAGAGAGAGAGAGAAAAAAATCAACCTTTCTTGCATTCTCCAAGCAGTGACTCTCTAAAAACCTCCACTGGCACACAGGAGTTGACTGCATAGTTTCCCCGATGCAAACCAGATGTGAAGCACTAATGTATGGCAGCATTTTTTTTCCTTCAAAGGAAGACAAATGTAGGCCAAAAATGTAGTCTTTTGGCTGCTTGCACACAGAGATACAAAAATAAATTCATTCCTGAGCTCCAAGCTTTCCCTCATGGTGGTTGGGTCAGCACTGTATGATTTAGAATAATTGCAATGTTATTGTTTGGTGTTGGTGGAGTATTGTGGAGCATTGAGATCGAGACTAGTTTATGAAAGGAGGCCGATGAGATGCAATAACTGCGTTTTCAACTGCACAGAAAGTTTTGTCTTCCATACGTGCATGGAGCCTTTCTTGCTCGCACGTCCTCAAGTCTCGGCCTGCCAAGCGTCTGTCAGATTATGACAAATTTGTGTTTTAAGTATAACTAAACATACGTCAGTGCAGGCTTGTTCTGTACTTTTGTTTATCTTCGAATTTAACCACCATATCAAATCCCTTTAATAAATGAGTCCAGAGGGTTTGACGGTGCAGCATTTTCAAGCCAGCTGCTATTCACTTGTAGCCTTTACGCTAATACTACAGCGTGTACCACACAACGGGAGCAAGGCTAATATTACAAGACATCAAGTCATATCCCCGCACTTGCATTGTCATTAAAAGTTGCCAAGAAAGGACAAATTACAAAGGCTGTGGTGACATTTTCTCCTGCAGGTAGTCATTTTCATCCTTCATGTTTATGATGTCGGCTTTCATTTGAGCCCTCTGTCGCCTCCCACTCCACGCCAAGCAGTGTTTAAACGCTCAAGGACAATAACAGGTTTGCGTACCAGTGTCTGGTCCTGCAGCTCGTAGCCTATCGTCAAGTCTGACCCAGGCTCCCATAGAGGAGCGGTCTCAGGTGCCCCCTCAGCAGCCCCCCTACCCCTGATCCCCTCCGCTCTGCTGCAGCATGTGCGCTGATGTTGTTCAAAGAGACTCTGTAAAGTGAAACTCCTCTCCGTCGCTTCCTGCTTCAGGTCTCATTCGGTGTCCTGAGAGTGTGGGTGGCCCAGGTTCTCTGCTGGTGAAAGATTGAGAGATTACAAGAACGACAAGACTCGTAGTAAAGCCACTCCTCGTCTACCAACAGCACTTAATCATATAAACTGATGACCACATGTTGCTCCGGGTTTTAAATATCATGATGACGCCATAACTGCACTGCTATTATAATCAATTTCTCAACCTCTGTGTATGCAAAATCTCCCTTACATCAGAATTGAAGTGTTGCATATATGTGCAAACCAGTACTTGTACGCTTGTGTAAATAAGCACAACTGTTTAAAATTGTGGCTGAGGCGTGCTCTCTCCTCCATGAGCAATTTCCTCTTCTTCCTGTGATAAGAGTCGTTGCTCTTGTGTGTCCTTTCCATTTCTGAGCTTTCTTTATCTGATTCAGAGGAGAGCAAGCAGAAGCAGGACAACAAACATTGGAGTTGTAGAGAGCCTGACCAGTGAGGGTTTTAGTATAGAAAAATCAAGAGGGGGAATTTATCCAATTACAGATACAACATGCAGGCAGTAAAGTAAACTGTGAGGGCTGCACACCTTTAGTCATCCTTCTCAATACTCGTGTTTCCTCGGAGAGCCTTGGAGCAAGTCTTAGATCCATACCAGAAACCTCCCTCGCCTCACCGAGTCTATTTTTGACAGAGATCATGTCGGCATCCATCAATCTGAACAGAGCAGATCCCCTCGGACAGGAAGTCAGACATGAAAATGACATAAAGCTTCTGCTTGATTCAAAAGAAGAAAAAAACACCATATATGGACTCCAAATTGTGCATCAGACTGTGAGACAGAATTATTGATGATAAGGAATAACAACTACAAAACAGCCACAATTCTTCGATATGTGTTGATCAGTACTTGACTTTATAGGTAAAACAAGAATGAAGTAGGACATAATTATAAACATCAACCAGCTTTCAGGCGCGTGCGCCCGCTCAAGTTTCTTTTTCAAGATATTTTTAATGAAATATAATTTTGGACAATTATTTACAAAAATGGAACTACGCAGAGTCTGAAAGAAACACTTTGCAATGTGTCAAATGTAACCAGATTTCCATTTCAAGAGGTTTTATTTAGCAATGTAACCAGTTAATATTTTCCCCCAAAATAGTCACATATTTTTTAAAGAACTGCTGGTTTTAGTTACAACAATTTTGGTGTAGGTGGAGCTCCTCACCCAAACTGACACACACAAACATATGCTCACTAATGGTAACGCTAGAAAACCTCCTGGACATTAGATACCCTGCTGCTGCTTATCAGATATCTCAAACACCAACACACTAGTATGTCAATATAGTGAAAGAAATTGTACTTATATGCATGCTATTGTTTGTTATGCTCTTATTTTCCAATCTGTGTGTTGACATTGATTTTAATTTTTCCAAGTTCTGCACCAAAACATCTTGAAAGGTACTCTGCCAAAGATGCCATCACAAAACAGCATGGTACAACTATGAGTACCTGTACACCCTTGATAGAAGCATTAAATGTACAATACATTGACCTCAAAAAGGCATCGCAACCTCTAAAGTGATTTTGCAAACTTGTTAGTCAAGCCGCCTTGAGCTTCAGACGGCTGCACCGCCCTTTCGACATGCTTCCAGTGAAGCAGGGTGCGCTTATCAGAGCAAAACATGAGCGTTGACAGAACTGGGCACACACGCTTGCCGTAGAATCTAGAGTAAGACTGATAGATATTTCCTGGAAAGACTTTGCTCTAATTCACAATGGTATGACCCCTCAAAGACACTCATGAAGCTTCTTTTAAATCCATTTGATACAGTTTACTACATTACTACACAGCAGTGATGCCCTTCCTGCTGCAGTAAAGTAAACTGTAAGGTTGCAATGTGCTCCCATGCAATGAATCACACCAAGAACTATTTTTCATATCAGTTCTTGAGTTTAAACATCTGTGCAATGGAAAAATTCAATGCTGGTATGAATGTATCTCTTATACACATGCTGGCTGATCTAATAGCTGAAGCATGTATCATTCAGACATAACTTTATGAACATGCTGCAAGTATATTTCAATGTCTAACTTGCATGATGTGTTTCTGTGACCTGAATACGTCGAACCACTTAAGATGATGTTCATGCACACGTTTAGTCATATTGATGGGATTTGGCTAGTGGAGTGACTATTCTCCTAGAATATGTGGATCTGGAAGCTTCCCCCAAAGGTCCTGACCTTGGTTTCCATTTCCTTGAAGAGAAAAATGAACGTAATCCCCCTGTCATTGTGTCATAAACATCAGCTCCGGACCATTTAAAAAAGGGTAATTCATGCTTTTGTCTTTTCACATTAGTCACCGAGTGGAAAGTCTTGCACGGTCACAAGGCGCTGAAATAAATAAGATTCGATGACATCTACATCAGGCTCTTTTCAAGTGGCCACCAGACTGGGACACAAATGATCTTTTTCTGAAGTGTGCTTTTGACATCTTGTTTTATTTTTAAAATGCTCAAACCAGGCCCCTCAAATGATATATTTAAGTGTCCACTGCTATGATTTTTTTCCCATCTCAAAGCCAGCCCAGCAGTCTTACTGTGTTTGGAAGAGGTCCAGACACCAGACAGAGGGCAGTGAGATGGTATGTGTTTACCCGAACACAGCCGTTTCACTTTTCCTCCGGTTTGATTTAAGACTCGTCATGGCGTTAAGTTCCTGCGACGCTGTTCATTTGCCTCTAAATGTCACAGCCGTCCCTCTGTCTCTTTTTTTCTCGTCCCACTGATTTGTTTGATTTCTCCTCTGTACCTTCATCACTCTCTCTGGGACTTGTATAAAGGGGAGCAAAGTAATGTGTACTTTAAGGGGACCTGCTCTATAACACACTCCTTCCTCTGGTGTGCTGCCAGAACATCAGGCAGCTTAAAGTGACAGAGTGGCTTTTGCAGCAGCTGCTTTCATTAAAAGTGAATCAAACCTTAGTGTGCCCACTTAAATCCACACTTTTTTTGAAGTGTCCTATTTGACATAAAAACACACTTGTCTTAAAGAGGCCGTGAACACAGACCAGCAAACAGAGCAGACTCCCTTTGCATCGCTTGCAGACAGTCAGCAAAACCGCAACTCTTGAACTGTTTTCATTTTGGCAATTAACCAAAGCAAGAGTCGGCCAGATCTTCATTTACAGACTGTGATGTAATTTCCACCAACTGTCATGTTGCCTTATCAGGAAGGACTGAGTTACACCACTTCCATCCACTGTCACTGTCTTCTGGAAATAATCATTCCCACATTGGCTCTTACATATCAAACCACATTTTATTTTTTTATTTTTATTTTTATGTTTTCTCAGGAAGAAAAAGCTACATTGTTGATCCTGAGTTACTTACTTTTTATTGTTTTTTTCCAAAAAAGGGCAAAAACAAACACCAGTGGAAAGTCTCTGACATCTGGGTTAAATATTTCATTTATAATTATATACACAATGTGACTGATGTTTGTTAAAAAATGACAAAATTGTTCAAAGTATAATGTTCTCTCTTTGTCCTAGGACACCTATTGGTATCAACTCAAAACCGAGCTTCAGTAGTTGATCAATTATATCAAAATACTGAATAAACTTTAGCGGTGGTCCTAGTTGCAGAGATTTATGGAGAGCTCTTAAAAATTAACCTGCAATATATGTTCGTGTCATGTTAAAGCTCCAGTAAGGAGTTTTTGGTAAGGTTGCGAAACAGAGTGAAATGAACAGCGATGCATCTCTATGATGTACAAAAGCAAATAAAACCATCAGTGATAAGATTTTAAGTTTATAGACTGTATTTTGTAACGCCTGTTGCCACTGTAAGAGGGTAGATATGCTAAGGAAACAGCTTTTGTGACTTTTCTGAAGACAAATGTTCACAGTGTGCATTAAATTTTACTTTAAAATGCCAACAAGAGTAGATTTTTGTCAATCAGCGCCTCTTTCAGAAGGGTGGGATAAACTTTGTGCTTTGTCCACAGGGGGCGCCAAGTGAACACAGACATAAACTTCCTCACAGGAGCTTTAAATACCTCAAGTCTGTTGTAATGCGTGTCGTCGTCATGCACATAATGAATTGTTTTCAGCAAAGCACCAAACACCTGTTGACTAATGTCTGTAATTGGTGTGATTTCACTGAGATGAGTGTTCGTCCTCAGGACATGTTTTCATTGTTGGCCAGTCTTAAACTGCACTGACTCACAAAATGTGATACTTAGTAGGCGTTGTTGGACCTTTAAATAGATGGAGTTTAATTTTTTTCATGTGTTTTCCATTGAAAGTGGTCCCTTCATGAACCCTTCCGTGCAGTTTGAAGCATACTGCCTCTAATCGGCTTATTCCCACTATGATTAGATTTGTTTCTTTTTGTTTTAATTTTTTTTATTAGGCATCTTGTCTTTATTCTCAGAGGACAGCTGTAGAAAGGCAGGAAATGTGAAGGGAGAAGGGAAGAAGGGGAAATGACATGCACTAAATTATACTGGGATTGGGAATTGATCCAGTGCAACCAAGACTGTAGCCTGTAGCCAAGCTGTAAACTGTTGCTGTCGAAGTTAACTTCCGGTCAGCAGTCATATAACATTTTAAAAGAATATTCTCCTAAAGCTCAGGAGAGGAGGGGGTAAAACTGTCGGGCTTATTCCCTCAGTCTGTGTGAACTGTTCATTTCAAATCAACCGAAGCGTAAGCAAAGTTTGAGCTGGGGATTAACAGGCCTGCCTCTGGGACTGGACTGGACAGTGTATATGCTGGACCTCCCCTCTCCAGTAACCAACCGTGACTATGTTGCCTGGCAACAGCGTACAGCCAGCTTGCTTGAATTGGTCCGCTGCTCTGTGCTGTGGTGTCTCACGAATCGGCCCTGAACTTCACCTCATTATGCCAATCAGAGAAAGTTGTGATGACTAGAAGAATGCAGCCTTGGCATTCCTCCGCTATCTTCACCCCGGATGTGTGAAAACAAACAAAAGGGTCTAAATTCTTGTTCAGACGTGCAAGGCTCATCACATCCAGCTCTGGGGGATTGACACCTGTTTGCAGTGGATGAAACAGGGTCTAAAACAGGGTTTAGATTTTCATTAGGTGAGATTTTAGGCACAGATACTCTTTAACAGCCTAAAGGTCCTTACACACAGGGACCGACGCAAATATATGACGCAGAATTACGAAATATTCAGAGGAGAATTTTGACGCGCCTGACTATACATATCAAACCCAATGCAATTTTGCGACTTTCCAGGGGGGAAAAAGATGCGTCCCAGGTGGACGCAAGAAGACTGACACAACACCAGACTGACTGTTTTTCAGTTCTGATTAGACACTAGTGTTGAGATTGCTGTCTGTCATGATAGCATGTACTGAGTCTGGGTCAGTACCAGATAAGCACATTAAACTATATAAACGTAAGGTAACAACTGAGACCTAATGGTGCTGTGACAGCAATGCGATTGAGTTTGAGACAGTGAAAATACATATGGTAAGTTGTATCTGAACAGGTTAGCTTACAAGCTAAAGTTACTTAGCACAGATGAAAAACAAAGACGTTTAGCAAACTGTTAAAACACACAAACCATCGTCATATGAGAAATCCGACTCTATGACTCTCCACAAGTTGTCCTTCAGGTCATTACCTTTGTAATGTTTGTGTCTTTTATCAAAAAGCACTCTGTTCTCTGACACGTAAACAATCAGCCGGTCGGCCATGTTGGATATACCAGTGAATCAGACATCGCAACAACACGAATTCTGATTGGCCAGAAGTGGACACACAGTATGTGAAACTTTAGGAAAATCAACCGTGATCTGAGAAAAAAAATGCAGCAATATTGCAGGACGGGAAAACGTTGTTGATGTGAACGCTTGTATTGACAGGATATGGGTTTGAAAAAAAAATTTGAACGTCCGAAATAATCATTTAAATCTTGATTTTTAACCTACAAAGACTAGCGGAAGCAAATGTTGATAACAAGCCAGTGAGAGATCCCCGAGTGTATATTCCTTTTGACGAACCGTAAAGTTGTTTACTGTGGGACCAGGGATGTCCTCAGAGGCCAGTGACAGAATTACAGAGACTAAAGCTCTGCAGAGGTCAACAGAACATCATGGAACCATTTTTTTGCAGAATCACTCATTGATCCATATATAGCTACACCAAATATAAATCCAAGTTTGCTCTTTTGGATGAACTCCCTTTGGATCATTACCGGAAGTATGCACTGTTGCTGGATTTATCACAGATCATTGTGCCGCACTGCTATGATTAAACTCAGCGCAGTCTTTCTGGACCATTGTCCTCATATGTGAGGGTTAGTGTGATTTCCTCTAAGCCCACACTTTTCCCAGAGGCCTGAATTCAGTCACAGCTCTGGTATTTGGGAACATTATTAACCCAGAGTTGGTTCTTAGTCATCTTGGACATGAAGGCGATGGACCTCTGCCTGGAAGTGAGCATATACAGTAGTAGATAAAAAGCCCTGTGAGAACCAGCCTCCGGACTGGATTTGAGGGTGACCCAGATCCAACTCATCCTCTTCTCTTCTCATTTCTCTTCTCTTCTCTTCTCTTCTCTTCTCTTCTCTTCTCTTCTGGGTTTTGGGTCGGCAGTATCCACATGTAGTCACGTCTAAGTCTGTCTCCCTTGGGCTTTGTGCGCTGACGTCATGCCCCTCTCTGTTAGCGCCTGTGCCACCAAAGGCTCATGTCTGGATCTGTACTGGTTGCTGAAATGCTGATTCTCAAATTAGTTACAAACCTCAAGGTCCAATTCATCCGGCTTTTTAACCTCTTCGACGTTTCTTTCTAATCCAAAGCTGATTCCTGGAAAACCTTCTCCTTTTGAGACCACAGAATCATTAAAGATGAGGAATTGCAAATAACAGCAACCACTAATATCCTGAGTGACCTATCTCACAGAGGTGTTTCCTGGGTAATTATCCGTGTCTGAAAATCACTCCTTTTGTCAGAGGACTTGCGTGTCTACCTATCTGGAAAATGTCTCCTGGCCTACTTTCTACAAGCCCTTAGCACGTCATGAACATATGGATTATACAATTTTAAGGAGGGTAATAAACAGCTGGCTGATTTACTTTGGAAATTAAAGCTGACATCAGACGTCACAGAACTGGCTCCCCGGCTTCGTGAATCATGCCTCGTCTCGTCCTCTTTACCTGGCAAGCGAAGGCAGCGCATACCTGCCTGGCACTGCAGACAACATCAAGGTCATTGTGTTCGCTTTCAGCTCGTCACTGTCTTCATCTTATCCTCGTGTTGTGTTTTTGTGAGCCAGTTGGAAAAGAGCCTGAAGTTTTCTGGCTGTTTATGTGTCAGATTTCCAGGAATTAATGTGAAAATGCGAACTTGCAGGTTCTGCACCTTGTTGGACGTTTTGCAGACTGACCACAGCTGCTTTTTCTGATATTTTGCCACAACCTCCAGCTGGAAATTAAAAGAAGACATTAGATACTAAAGTCGTGTCCATTAAATCTTTAGAAAGCCCGATGTTCTGAGCTTGTGTTTACATGCGGCTGCAGGGCTTTCAAGCATTAATTTATGTGGAAAGGTCGTCTGAGGGTGCTGAAAGTGTCTTATTAGTTTGTGGAAGGAAGGCTGTGTTAGCAGAAAGCTGTCAGTGGGTTAAATATGAGGACTGTGAGCAGGTGAGGTCTCTTGGATCTTGGCTCTCTCTCTCTCTGACTCACTAAAGAGGTTTTTTTCAGGCTGAGACGGATGAAACACGAGAGTCTGGGACTGATGTTTTCCCCGATGATGGATCCTGTGTGATTTGGCTTTAAGTCCTCGTTCATTTTTCTGCTTCAATCCAAAAAGTTTTAGCGCACCGGTGGACCTTTTTACAAATGTACGTGTGGGAGTAAGACAGGCAGCAAAGGGGCCTGTTTGTGATTGATTATTAGATCAGACATGATTATTATTACTGGGTGGTGGGAATGAATTGCCAACAGAGCACCCTGCCAGAGCCCTGTATCCATTATCACTGGGCTTCCCTCCAGCCATGCTGTAATGTTTTGGCAATCTGATATTGTTGCCATAATGCTCTCACAATATTATTCTGTCACTTTGTTGTGTGCTCAGTAATGATCAAGGGGCCTATCACGCTGTGAAAACCATGTATTAGACTCTACCTCTTCTGTATCTGTGTCTGCACGTTACTGTACAACAGGAAGCCACCTGTTAGAGAGTTCAAACAGCCTCAAGTGTCTTTGACAACACAAACGCTTCATGCGGTTTCTGTATCTGTTGGTGGTCCTCAGCCTTTCTCACATATATAGTCTTGCCTCATAAATATTTACAGGTGTGTACGATGTGTACGACTTCACAAAGCAAAGATGCGCTCCTTTATTCCCGCTCTCTATCAGGGCTTTAATCCTTAAGTTGCAGATTCAGGCGGTTGAGAGAAACAACAAAGAAAGTGACAGCGCGCTCTCTCTTGTCCCCTCCCTCTGTATCCACCACACTTTCATCACGCAGCAATAAAATTTAACAGGCTCTCCTCTCTGCCTCTCTTTCTTTTTCCACTTGCTCCCACTTGCACCGCGTGTTTTGTTTGAGCAGAGCTCCACTGCTGGTACAAGCTGAAGTATTTACAGCGTAAATAGCGGCAGTCAGACTTGACATTGCAGTGCCAAAAAAGGTTACAGGGTAATACCTTGACACTCTTCCTCCTCTTTCTCCCTCTCATTTCAGTCTTTTCTTTCTTTTTTTTTTGCATTTGTTGTTGACTTGAGTTCCTCTCGTTTGTTCCAGGTTTAAAAGAAATCACGATGGCCGACCGTTTCGACTGTGACAACTGCAAGGAGTCCTTGTACGGCCGCAAGTACATCCAATCAGACGACAGTCCCTACTGCATCCCCTGTTACGACAGCCTCTTCTCCAACACATGTGACGAGTGCAAAGAACTGATCGGCCATGATGCAAGGGTAAGGCATCCATTTTTGACATGATCGGACATGCACTCAGCTATCTGTTGCACAATGTTTGCATTCGGAGAACATACAGAGTAACTATCAAAACATCGTGGTGATTAAAGAAGAATGTTAGATTATGGGGAAAGTATTTGACACATGCTCAAATGGTGATCCTTATTTTAAGTTTATAAAATCAGCTTTTAGCTATACGCCGGGTTTAGTGACACTGCTCTGGATAGGCTAACTTAAAGTTAAGACATGCTAATGATAGATAATTTATGCTAAATGAGCCGTGTTCTATATATTTTATGTGGCAAGACATAGTAAAACTTAATTGAACTTGCAATTATACAGGCAATTTCCACTTAGTCCACATGAGCCAGCGGGTTAATTTTGTCTCAGATTGTAAAAAAAGCACAATGAGGGAATGTCTCTTTTTCTTCCCCACAACCACGTTTAATTTAATTCATCCTTAATAGAAAACACTTAGATGAAGTGGATCATTTAAGACTGACACACACTACTTAGAGGAGTTTAGAGAGGCTGAGGGCAGGCTGAAGAGCTTGGTAGTTTGTGGAGTTAAAGAGGGTAATGAGTTATTGACACCCTCATGGGCTGCAGATGATGGATGAAATAAGCATTTCCTTGGCTTAGCATTTTAAAATCCTTGTAAGACCTCCATGTAACGGAGAAACCACACACTTCTGCCCTGAAATTATGCTCAACTTTACTTCTGTTGTAGCAAGAAGCTTAACCCCCAATTTCCACCGCATCCAGAACGGCTGAAAAAAGGCTGTATGCGCCAATCACAGCTGATCGTTTCTATTCAAGTTAATGTGTCAATTTCCAACGGTTTCTTTCCGTTCCGCTGTGGACTTTCATCGCCAGAGTTCATATTTTTCCGGACGCCGTTGCATGCCGCATAAATTCAGCACAGATTAACCCGTGCTGGAAAGGAAGTCATGCACAGACACATAACAAAACATCCTGCTCCTTTTCAAAATAAAATACTACATGTTTCAGGCGGATCATATTTCACACCATGCAAATGTGCGCAGGGACGAACAGGTGAAAGGTTTTCAGAGATGCTGATTCTAGAAGTCTAGAAGTCGATTTCCTCCCCTGGAAGGACTCAATCTATCGCTTATATGATTATGTAGCTGTCTTTATGGAGACCACTCGTTATCACGCGATTGCACGTGGTTCTTATGAGTTCTCGCGATTCCCACTGTCTAAAATCCGCTACAAACTCATCCGGTAGGAATTGGCGGACAGCAAAAATTGCTGCCGTTCAATGTGCAGTGGAAATTTGTGGTAAATTTGAGTAAGGACTCAAAGATAAAGAAATAAAACGTCCTTCTTCTTCTTCTTGTTTTTTCTTGTTCTTCTCTCAGGAGCTCTTCTACGAGGACCGACATTATCACGAGCACTGCTTCCGCTGTTTCCGCTGCGATCGCTCACTGGCGGACGAGCCTTTCACCAGCCAAGATGAGGCGTTGCTCTGCAATGACTGCTACTGTAATGAGTTCTCCTCCAAGTGCGTTGCCTGTGACAAGATCGTCATGCCAGGTAAAGGTGAAGACAATACACTGTTAAGTAGGAGTGTCCCAATACAATATTGATATCGGATATCGGATTATATCGGCCTGCATCTAAAATCTCCAATATCAGCAGTATTTTTTGTTTGAGTCCAAAAAAGACATTGTAGCTGAGTGAAAAATGTGTCATGCACAATTTTGTGCCAATATCGGATCAATATCGGTATCGGTCAATATTGAAGGCTACAATATTGGTATCGTATCAGAACTCAAAACGTTGTATCAGGACACCGCTAGTGTTTAGAATCAGAGTTCATTGAATCACAGCCCTCTGAATGACTCTTTTTTTTTTCCAACAACACATTAGCTAAAAAAAATATGATTGAGTAAATTATGGAAATAAATAAGAGACGGGGGGACTTGTGAAATATCTTGCATGTAATGCTTTTGACAGAGCTGATTCAACCACTAACCACCGGTCTCATTGTCCCACATTTTACTTTCCATGTTGTATACAAATTCAAATGTCATGATAGATAAGCAAATGACTCTGGAAAATGATGACATGGCAAACTCAAGGAAGCAGGAACGAACCGACAGTTTATAGAAAGAGATCGACTAGATACAGAGAGGAAAGATATTTAATGAAAACGAAAAAAGATGAAGAAAAAGAGAGCAAATCCACGGTCTGTGATTGAGCTGCAGCCAGTGCTGAATGTGACAGAGTAATTGTCAGTGTGCTCGACTTGTTGTCCGCGAGCCAGATCCTCAGAGCTGGTGGACTGCCAGCAGTCCGATGATATGAAAAGATAAGCTCCACAGTTATTCCAGCGCTCCTGTAACAGTTGACACAGTCACTGTACAGAAAAACACGAGTCCAGGAAGAGCACAACGACCTCCCTTATTCCACAGAAGATAATCTCATGTTCACTCATTTGTATTACAGATCGTTGTGTCAGCAAGACGCCATCAGAAAAGGTGTCTCAAAGCTCCCAGTATACATACTTTAAAACCGGATTGTGAAATAATCCTGATGCTCTTCATTTGCAGATTAAATTACTATTATCTCTCAGTCTCAATTAACAGTAAACCACCGACAGAAATGAAGCCCCTCTTCAAAAACAGACGCTCACTTATCTTTGTTTGACATCTGGATGCTAGACTGAAGTGGTTTATGCGGGTTTGAAAAAGGAGAGAAGAAACTTAACACCGTGGCTAAGTGAACGCATTTCTCCGAGAGTGATTTGATCAAAAAAGATTATTTATGAATCTGCTGTAAAACCCCTGATGCCAGAGATTGTCTCAAAAGATCTTTCTGTGTTCTCCCAGACAATGAACCTCTTGTTTGGTTAGTGTTGACTCTGCTGGAAAATATTCTGACACACACAACGTTTTTGTTGTGATCACCATCCACTGTGACTAATCATCTTTTGGGGGCTTTATTTTGAAGGTTAGAATATTAAGTATACTCAGGATAGCCACACATTGCACCCTTGGACTGTATAAAACAAAACCGTAGTGTTGTGAAACGAGAAGATGGCGGTTAGCGCTGTCTCCGTCTAACTTACAGTCAAACTTTGAGTCAAGGAGGCAAAGAGGACGAGTTGAGGTGAGCAAAACAGCGACAACTCTCCCAGATTTGAGCAAAATTCAGAGATTTAATACAATCCAACAAACGAGCTGTAAAGATCTATCACTTACCCAGTTTTATTGTATACAGAACGAGGTTAGGACACAGAAATAGAGAGTTTGATCTCCAGAGTCATTTGCAGCTTTTGCACTTTTAGAAAACTTAAAATTCACACTGTAGCAACTGATTGAATAGTGGAAAGTTATAACTCTATAACTTATAAAGTTATCAATTTACTTTCTGTTATTGTTTGGTTTTAAGACTTTTTTATTTAACTATCCCTTTTATGCCTGAAACAACAAATTATGGCCAGAAAATTCAAGTTTTCTTTGAGCTAAAATATTTATTTCACTTACTACTTAAAACCAAAAAAAATCAAAATGTCCTTAAAATCTGACAAATGTATTTATTTATTTTGTTTGGTACATTAGATGTTTTTGAAAACTGATAAACCACAAGAGGACATTTTTTATCATTTATCAGACTGTATTCAGTAATTTGTTGCTCCTATTGATTTGATATAAGTATCATAAAAGTATGTATCAAATATGATACAAGAGGAAATAAAGGGTTAACTTTTAACACTCTATCACCTTTATTATATTTTATCATGATTTTATCACTTTAGTCCTCGCTCCAGTGTTTCCTCTTTTTTTTAAACTCAAGACAGAGTTTCCTCAGTCGTCTGTGGAAAGTTGAAGAGTCCTCACTTTTCTTTTGTGTATACATCTGTGTGTATGAGCGTGTGAGTGCTGTATACATTGAATGGGGGTTTGGTATTTGCATTTTTATTTATTTTATTTCATAGTTTTTTATATCCTGCTTCAATGGACATCACCTTGTGCTACATTCTACATACAAAAAGTGCTTTAAAAATAAAGTTAGTTTGATTGATTGATTGATTGATTGATAACTCAAAGCATACTCATAAAAAGCTCATAATTCAAATGTAGAGGTTGTCTCCTGATGTAATGGAGGTCTTTGCACAAGGACTGATATAATCAGATCTGATCGAGGGATTTAATTTTAAAACACTTAAAACAAAAATGGCTCATCTCAAAATAACCTTAAGGATAATTTCAAGATCTTAAAATCTGATGTATTTTCATCTTTATTAAGTAGTTCCAGACTCGATTTTGGTGTACTTGTCAAAAACCAGCTTATAGTACGTCCCTCTTGGTCTACTTTAGGCCCTGTAAGCTTATAAAAACTGCAGTGTTTCTTCAGAGCATTTTTGCAGTTTTTGATTTGTGAACACAGCCTGAGGCGGTGAAACGTTTGCAACCCGCAGACAGCAGAAGTGCAAAATGTCGGCTCCACACAAACCACCGCGTCACCATAGAATAAACCAGCCAGTATCATAAAAACCTCAACAGCCGAGGGAGAGAAGATGGATTGTTTGGGGACACGTAGGGGAAAAATAGCATTATGCTTTTCTGTAAGGCCTGTCGCCGCTGTCAGCAGTGGGGAAGAAGTCTGGGGCCTGTGGTATTATGATTTAAAATAAAATAAAAAGTGAATGAAAAAGGCTTATATGCCGTCATGCAGCTTTAATGCATGAAGTCATTTTAAGTAGCTGCTGCAAAAAAATTGCCAAAACGGCATCAACGATCCTGCGAAGTAAAGTAAAAGATGCACTCAAGACAAAAAAAGCTTGACGCTCTCTGATCTTTATCGTCGTTTCATCTCTCTTCTGTCTCGACCTCATGTCTCCTCACCAGGTTCCAGGAAGTTGGAGTATGCAGGCTCTACCTGGCATGAGGGCTGCTTCATCTGCCATAGCTGCGAGCAGCCGATTGGCTCAAAGTCCTTCATCCCCGACAAGGATGAACATTACTGCGTGCAGTGCTACGAGGACAAGTTCGCCCCACGCTGCACACGCTGTAAAAAGGTCAGACAAGCTGTCGAATCAAACTGCTGCAAGTAGTTGAAGAGCCAAAAAAACACATTTTGGAATCTGCAGGATAGGAACATGACCTTTGACTTGTCTCATTTCAGACCCTGGCTAAAGGTGGTGTGACCTATCGGGACGAGCCGTGGCATAAGGAGTGTTTTGTGTGCACCAGCTGTAAGATGCAGCTGGCAGGTCAACACTTCACCTCCAGAGACGACAGCCCGTACTGCCTCAACTGTTTCGGCAGCCTGTATGCCAAGAAGTGTGAGGCCTGCAGCAAACCAATCACAGGCAAGACTACTACAACATTAAAACACACAAACTTGGGATTAAATCTTATCACAGGAACTGAAAATTACGATACTCCGACATTTTTTCTTTCTAATCCATTTGTAGAAAAAACTAAATCTGAGAGTAAAAGTCCACCCTTTAAAGTTGAACGTCCATTTCCTTTGCAGGTTTTGGCGGAGGAAAGTACATCTCATTCGAGGATCGCCAGTGGCATCAGCCGTGCTTCACCTGCTCCCAGTGCTCCGTGTCTCTGGTGGGCGCCGGCTTTTTCCCAGACGGTGACAGGATCTTATGTCGCGACTGCAACAGCAACCTATAGACCTGTCATTCACCGTAATCTCATCCATCCCTAGACACACCTTTGTCACAGCATTTCACGAACCCCCAACTCCTTACCGAGGATGGTAACACACGCTAACAATCGCTGCCTCTCAGGTTGTTTATATACAAAGAAATCAGTCACTCACGGCCCCTTTGAGAGTCTGATTTTCATACAAAATCCTGTTTTGATGCTGCATTGTTTGAATGAACCACAAAAAGACCCTTCTATAACCAAAGAGTTAATTATTGTCTGAAACAAAGTTAACGGAGTGCCTTAAGAATAACATTACTTGGATGTTATGTGCTATTGAACCAAAGAAATGCAAACTGCGAGTCACTTTGCCAGAAAAAGTTCTTGTATTTTATGGAAAAGTTTCCTCACAGAACACTGAGTCTGTACAGTATGTGAACATTACTGTGTTATTTCAAAGTGTGGTGGAGGTACTGTGGCTTTACGCCGTTATTACTGCAGTTGAAAGTGTTTTGATTTCAGATATGTCCGACAGCTGAAACAATAAGATCGAACGAGTTTCAGTGATATAGTCAGTTTATGGTAGTTTTGATCAATAGAGTCATTTGCACTTTGGATATCCATGTTATGAGCACATAAAAACGCATTTAAAAATGGCACACAGACCACTTTTAAAGTCATGTATCTGCTTTTTGTTTTTTTTCTAACCTTACAGTGACACTTACTTTTACATAAAGATTCTTTTTATTCCTGTCCTTTTTCATTTGTTGTAATTAATCTTGTTTTTTAATCACCGTTTCTCAAAAGAGCCGCATTTATAACCCAAAAGAAGCTGAAATGAAATACTGTAGTCGTGTATTGCAGGAGTGTGCATGTCTTTGTCTGCCATGTTTCTGTTTTATTTTCTCTCTTTTTTTTTGCTGTTAACACTATCTGTGGTGCATTTTGATTTTTTTTTACTTCTGCGAAAAACTACAAAAAAATCTATTTCATTGTGACAGCTTTGATGCTGGTGAGTCAGAGTTGGCAAACATACCTTTAAAATGAAAATTAAGGTGATGACAGTATGAACTTACTGTAAGACTGTTTATAAAAGAGACGGCTAAATGCTTCATGTTTAGTTTTGTTTTTGTGAAGTCTTAATAAATTCTCACTGACCGATCTGCAGTTTTTCGTTTGATTGTTTTGTGCACATGCTCAGTAGTCATAGTGAATTATCCATAACTGGTTTATGAGGTCATAGTATTCTGTCGACTTGTGTTTACTGTCGAAGCCAAGAAAACCCCTTTGGTGTGTTTGAGAAAGTCTTTCTAGGAAAAATCGGTGTGTGTGTGTGTGTGTGTGTGTGTGTGAGAAAGAGAGGAAAAAAGAGGGAAGGTGGGTGCACGGGGGGAAGGGCATGAAAGTGTGTGAGTCTAAGAGTGTAAGTGAGAGAAACCATGCGTGTGTAATAAAAGAGATTAAAAGTGTGTGTGTGTCTCTGCAGGTTTCAGATATTTCCCTGTGTGTGTGTGTGTTAAATAGAGTAAGTGCACATCTCTTTGTGTGTGTACCTGACCCTGTTAGAGAGTGTGTGTATGGATGTACATATATACATACACACATTGTTGTTTATGCTGAGTCGACCATTTCATTGCCTTGATGAAGTACACAGGCTGCCAGACACACTCTCCTGTCGGCATTGGTGAAACGTCCTCCTCCCTGCCTCCATTTGAGATTTTTTCACCAAAAAAGGAAATGGAAAACTCGTAGCTGCATGGGGGAGGGAGGGAGGAAGAGAGGGGGTGACTAGTGGTGGAAGTGGGAGAGAAAAGAGTGTGGGAGAGAGAGAGAGAGAGAGAGAAAGAGAGAGAGGATGTTCACATCTGGAGTTGCTCCATGGCACTTTCACTGGGGGGTCAGCTCCACACACGGCCCCCTCTGGATTTATTGGAAAGAGGAGGCGGGTGGAGAGGTGACGGCTAACAGGAAGGGTCAGAGGAAGAGCTGAGGAGATGTTAACTGTATCACATGATACATATCCTGTACATATAACTTTACCAGCTACTTCAAATGGGGATAAAAATGTCTTCTCACTCCTCCTCGTGTTTGCAGCTTTTTTCTTAACAGACTAAAAGGACGTGTTAGAAAAGTGTGTCCTTTTACATATATTGTGTATATGTGGCCATTTACACTCTTACAAGAAGCTGGTCATCATTACCCCCCAAACTTTTAGGCTTACAACTTTGCTGTTTGGTACAAACATGTGTCTAAAACATCAAATTCAAGAACAAACGCTGTCTAGTATTTAGACTCTGAGCATGACATCTACAACAATAATATCAGCAGTGGATCACTGAGATATATCAGACTGTCTGCCAGTGATATCATTTACAACTTTAACCAGATAGAGAGTTGAGAGTGGTTTACACGCTAAATATAGCTCAGTTTATTTAATTCAAAAATGCAATTGTGAATGTTTGTACTTAAAGTATCTGAAACTGTATTTGTTTTCCTTTTTTTTTTAGTGAAGATGAACGTAACTCCTAAAGGATACTTAGCTTCATAGCCAACGCTAGCTTAGCTTGGCATGCATGGTAAAATTCGGCACATCTTTGCAAAGTACATAATTTTATTTATTTAAAATAATTCATAAAAACCTGCAGGATGTGCTTGATAGTTTGGCATCAAATCATTTGCAGCCTTTATTTTATGAATCTGTTATGGATTTACCTAATGATTATTGTAGCCACAGAAAATCACAGCTGTGATACCATCGTGATATTTTGGAGAATTACAAATTAAACTACATAATCAGTTAAACTAAAGAAAGGCAAGACAAAGCAACATATCACCTCCTCAATCCACATTACCAGCCTTGTATCTGAAACATGTTTGGAGAGGACATCACCCACTAAATGATTGATTTTCAAGCTTTTATTTTGAAAAATTTGTCTGTTCTTATGTTCAGGTTCCTTGATTTCCCTCATGGTAAATCTATGCTTTTATTTTGAAGTTCTAAATACTTCCTGCAGATTGTAAGTTCAAATGAAAGGTCAGGAAGTTCGATTAATTGATAACCTAATGGGACACTAGCTCTAGTGTTGTTTTGTGTCTAATAATCTTGGCGTACAGGAGAGCTGTTACAGGCTAGCTCGCTGGAATGGCTGCTTATGTGAGACTCTTGGTTAGGCTGGCGGCCTAGTGGACCATGCGTCTTTCCCAGGCCTGCTGGGATAGACTCTTAGCCCACCTTCACCCCTCAACCCCCAAATATCAGTGCAACCTAACCTTAGTTTGTGTACGTTGAAACTTGGAGGAGATCGGCGTACAAACATGAAATGTACAGTCTTCAACCACAGTGTAAAAATTCTTTCATTTGGAGCTGCATTTTTGTGATCTGCTCCATGCTTCACCGGCCCTTTTAAAGGAAAACTTTCAGTTTCAGAAGCTACAAAAATTCTTGCTCTTGAGAAGTTACTCCTCTAAACAAAGTACCAAAAACAGCAGTCAGAGAGGAGTGAGGCTGATGGGAAAATGTTAACAGAGGCTCACATCCCTGGCGTTTATAGAAAGCTGGCTCCATAAATACAGCGGTGATGAATGATTAGCACAGCTTCTATCCATACACGTCTGCTCTGTCCTGTTTTCACCCCGCCGCAGCGTTTTACCGTCTAAAATAAGTCTTCCCTGTCACCGGTTGTGTGCCGAGCAGGTGAAAATCCTTATCCGTAAATCTTCCTTAAGAAAGACATATTGTACTCATTTTCACCTTACATTATGTCTGGCTGGGATTCCTGTAGTGTAACTTGGCATGAGTTGCAGCTCAGAAAGTCCTTATACATCTTAAAGTGGCATCCGTGAAAATCCTCATCGTAGCGCTATTCAGCATCTGCCTGAAATGCTTTTTTTTTGGAGCTTGTGGATCTTTTCACACAGTTTTTTATAGTCATGAAATGGCCTAAACGTACACCTGTACAGAAAACATCTAAAGCATAGCTGTTAGCTCCCAGTATTAGCAGAAACCATTGTTTACATTGACTTTACAGAGGGCTCATCCTTGACTGAACTGCTGGTTGGGTGTGTCCTTTCACATTAAGCCGTATGCTATGACTCTCAATGTTTTTGAGACAAGCTGCCCAGAGAAGCTGAAAAACACAACCAGGGCATAAGATGTGTGGTGATACTTGAGGTCATGAGACTTCTATACAGACACTCATAAAGAGCTAATCCTGAGTCCTGAACTAGTAAATGCAATAAAACAGCTGCAGTGAAAAGAAAGGGTGGGAGAAAGAGTAGTCATGACTTGTCAGTACTTTTTGTCATATGACTGAAAATTTAGGAGGCAGAAATTGTGGACCTCACCAGCGCAAAGTAACATCTTACAGTAAACGTTATTACTCTGCTTTCGAACTAACTGATAACAGCTGATAACGATCTGAGTGTGTGGGAGAACCTGCGATGTCTGTGAAGTTTGTTATAATTGTGAAAGACCTTTCCGGAGTCAGCTGATCTGGGCTACAGTGAGCGTGCTGGAGCAGGATTGGCTGACTCTGCAGAGATGACTCCCTCTGTAATCACAGCTTAAAGTTACCCAAAACATTCGTATGTTCAGGTGATCATAAACATACATGTGAAATGATTTTTTCTGCTTGTAGATCCAGTATGCGGACCACTCTCTCAGGAAATATCCAATCAGTAAATCAGGGTCCACAGAGTCTGAAAGAATTGGATGAGCATCAGGACGCCATCAAACTAAAATGGAAATTATGTGAACAGTTTCACACTTTAACTCTTTACAAATCTATTTGACTGGATTAAATCAAAACCTATGAACATGAAAGCCTCTGAAATGGACTCTGACCAATCTGATTAGTTGTATAATCACAGAGAACATAAGTGGCTTTACATTAACCTCTTTAAACCTTTAAAGACGCTATAACTGGAATTACGAATAAATGACCATCCTGCTGCGTTTAATTGACTTTACATTAAGACATGATCACAGACACTTCATCCAGCAGCGGTGAGTGTTGCAGCATCTTGAGGTCACATCCTGCATGATGTCTAGACACCAGAAACGGCGCATGAGTCAGCGAGATGATGCTACTGTTCACTTAGTAATCTGCAGAGCGGTTACACCTCATCAGATTCAGTTAACAAGTAGAGAGGATTAAAACATATTTGGTCCGATCAGACACATTCCTCAGACATGAGCACATTAAACACATGGAGGATTCGTTATTTTTCATTAAATTAATCTTTTCTTTGCACATTTTTCAGTTTCCAGTCTGAGTTTGTAGCAGCCGACACACCTGGTAGGTGGAATAATGAAGTGATTAGCTACTTGGTGACACATTTATGGTTCCTGATGTGATGTGTGATTGAAGCGATGAGTTTACTGTACTTTATAAACACAAAATAGGCAGTGACATTGACCATGAAATGCTGAAATTAACTAATTCACCAGAGATTTTGTCAAGTGGGCATGATTTTTATTGCAACTTGTGTTTTTGTTGATCGTAATTTAATATTTAGATACGTTTCAAGGTACTCTATACCAGATTTCATACCTCTGTGACTTAAAATACGGTATTTAAAACCTAATTTCTTGATTCATGCGAGTAAATGTCAGGATCACTATGTTGAAAAAGTGTTTTTTGAACCTCTGACACCACTTTTAATGAGTTGAAAGCGCTCATTATCATCTTGAGATGGCTGAAGGTGTGGACTCACAAGAAATATCAGAGAAAATGTAACATAAAAACATCCTATGTGTTGATTCTGACACAAGCCTATATGAACAATCTTATGAATCTCCTTCAACTGGCTGCACATCAAAGTCTGTCTTGTGTTTTAAACTTCTCCATCATGATTGTTTATGCAAGATTAAAGTCTCAGACATTGATAAATTCCCACAATTTATTTATTTTTTCTTATATCTGGGGCTTTTGTGTGTCTTTTCAATTTGAAGTACAGAGAGTATTGGATACCTTGTCCCTGCATGTTAAAGGAAAAGCTGTAGAAAGGGCTGCACATTCCTGAGACTGTTAAATCACTGAATGTACAGTATGTGTCCGAAAATAGAGCCCAACTTGTCACTCAGGGTTTCCATATAGTAGATGTCCACTGGGAGCTATAACAGCTGTAAGAGCGATACAGTATGTGCTTATTTTTTTGCTTCATATTGTCCCTCTGCTTGCGTCTTAGCAGCTTTACATGATTTACAGTTCAGCAGATTCTTCACATATTTTAGGCCGCTGTCTTTTAAAGCCCTCATTTCAGCCCCTGTCCCTTTAAGGCCTCCCCTACATTCCAAAAGTATGCATTCTGGAAGCCTCCTTCACTGTTGCCATGTGACAAAGTTGTGTTTCATTTTGTAAAATGACAAATTTGGCCTTATAAGGAGATTTCAAGTCTGGTGATGCCACGATTTGACATACTGATCTCACTGAATTCTCATGTGACTTTTTCAACAAGCCATTCAGAGCAACCTGGGATCACTTCAACACAAATGAACCTTCAAATCTGGAACTTTGCTCTGGTAAAATACTGATGTCCAACATTTCAACTTAACATTTGTTTTCAAAATAAGAAAAAAAGCATAATACCACCTCTTTAACACTGTTTTATACAGGCCTACTCACACTGACTGTTGTTGTTCTGCTGCAGAGTCCAACATTAAAACTTTAAAACTTTTTAATTTAAAACTTATGATGTGCTGATTTGTATTTTAATTTTTCTGTAAGGTGACCTTGAGTGTCCTGAAAGGCACCTATAATTAAAACGTATTATTACTATTATTAAAGTTTTATTCAATCTCTATGTCACCAAAGATTGTAGTGACGTAACTGAGTCTGCAGTCCAGTTATCAACACTGATAAAACAGTAAAAAATCAAACCTGTGAGTAACACATATCACTGGGTTTCTGTGTGGATCTTAAGTCACTTCAAAAAAGCAAAATTACATCAATATTGCGGAGAAAAGTTAGAATTGAATAAATCAGTTGTATGTATTAAGACCAGTTCTGTGCTGTTAGGGGTCAACCAAAATCCAATTTTCTCTCTGTGATTTTTTTTTCCAAGTAATAAACACTCTGAACACACATAAAAGGGGCTGTAGTTCAACATGAAAGTCGTGTTGAGGCTAAAAAGTAAAAGCCTTTAATTTATCCAACAAGCTTCAGAGGCAACCCAAGGACAGCCTGAGTGAATAAGTGATAAAACACTTTTTTGAGGTAATTCATCAGAAACACTCTATATTATGCATTTACAGTGTGCAAAGCTGGGTTCTTTTTTTATAAAGAATATATAATGTATCAATTTATTTGAAAAGATAGGAACATACAGGCTGCAGAAAGAGATGAAGTTGTACACTGAATGTACGCTCATGTTGTCTTCCCAACTTTGGCGCTCAGTTTAGCGTTTAGGTGTTCAGTTGACAAAATGCTCTCATCCACCGCAGTCATGACTGTATTCTGTAACCTCAGCAGACGTAGGTTAACCCCAAATGTCTGAGAGATTATACTGTCAATGGTAATTCAGAATACCTCACTGACTTCTTAACTACATGTTTACTACTGGAGACACTGAGAGAGTGGGCGGACGGACACTGAGTCAGAGTGAAATTAAGCTATAGATCCCTGTACAGTTGAACTCAAACACTTAAATGTTTTGATAGGGAAAACTAGTATATCGACATGCATCACTGTTCTCTTATCTGCAGGATTTTTTGCATGAATCTACTTTTTTATAAGAAGGCGTGCAATAGCAGGGAAAATGACCTACATAATGTCTGGGGTCATTTCTCTCAACTTGGTGTTACACTTCAGCTCACTGCTTCCTGAGGGTTTTGCAAAATTACGCACCACTAAAGGTAGTTTTTTGTGTTATTTTTCAGCTGGGTAATTTCCGGGACAAGCTTGATTAAATGTGTTTTCTGTATTGAAAATTATGTGTTAGCTTCATGCTAGTAACCTGCAATGACTGGATGTAGCGTCAGTGATGTCAACCAAATTTTTCGTCTTGAATGCTCCTGGGGAGTAATGATGAAATAAGATGTTTTCAGAGGGCGTCTTCAGGATCTTATGGTTTCATGTTAAAGCATTGGCTAACACACTCACCAAAAGCCACTCAGGCTCTATCATAGGAATTTGTTGTATTCATACTGGTCAACTTACACAACAGAAACTCAAGTTATATTTTTGTTGTGATATTTTGGCTGGAATACTGAAGTACCACAACATAAAGTAAAACTCCTCAGCACAGCAGCTGTAACCGCCCTTTTTTTTTTTTTTTTTTTTCAGGGTCTATCTGCGCCGTGGATAGAAAGAGAAAAAACAACATACATCTGTGTCCCAAGCTGACACTCAGGAGGCTGGTGCTTGCTGGCAGGGTTTTAACTCTGCCTCTGTGGCTTGGCCCCGAGCTCTCTTCCTCTCCATTCATTCCCAGCTGAGGTCAAGGAGTTGTGTTGTTTGTGGGAAGCTCTTCTACTGTCTTGTAATGAGTGCTCTCAGCAGGAAAACAAGGCCTTGTTTTTCCAAAGGTCAGGGTCAGACGTGTCAGACGTGCTCTGATCCAACCTCTATTTAAATCTCTGTTTTCTTGAGTACGACTGATGGAGACTTGAACTCTGCATGGCGTCCTGGTCAGTATAATACCTCATCTTTTACAGTTTACATCCAAAGAAACATCATCACTCCTAATCCTTCTGCTGAAGAACCCCACTGTGTTTATAAGTCCGCAAAAAATGTTCTGATTATAGCAAACATGCTTATGAATGCATTTCACACCCACAATGCATTTCACACATTCTACACTAAAATGTGTTAGTTTTTTGTTCTTCTTCAAGTGTCTCCTTTTTACACTTTTTAAAGTCTGATGTGGTTTCGGAACTGAAGCGGTCCATTAAAGTGGGAGTGTAGGAATGTGATAAATTCTCATAAAGCCACTCAGACTTGAACATCTTTTCTGCAGAAGAATATTTGTCACATTTTTTCGTCTGACTTTGGTTATGAGCTTTGTCTTTCTTCTTGTTTGCTTTGGCAAAAACTAAGAAATATAAAGGCCACAATGAACGGTTTGTGCAAAAACCTTCTTATATGTCCTTGCAGAGGAAAGGGACTTTATTTCAGCAGATTATTGTCACAGCTGACATCCTTTTCTCTACTTTAAGGCTAAGACAAGGGTAGTAGTAAGGTCAGTTGCATGTCTCTCCTTCTTGGGTCAGCCTAATGTAACTGCAATCCTGCACTGCTGGCAGCTGAGCCGCTCCACTCGAACAGTTGTTTGGAGATGAGATGTTTGGAATGCAAAAAAGTTTGAGGAGTGGATTGACCAAGATTGACTGTAATTCAAGATGTCAAGAAGATTTAGCGATGAAGAAAAGCAGGTGAGCTGTCCAGCTCTTTTCCAACATGTCTAAATATGATCCTTTTCTGGGGTCGAATCGTAAGAGAGAAATTCGATTTGGTTGGAATGAAAGAAAAACAAGCAACTTGATTTCAGTTATTTGAAAAGACAAATGATCAAATCTACGAATGAGATGCCAAGAAGCCACTTTATCACCTTTGTTCATATCCTAAACTGTAACGGAGGAGCTTTCATATTTCAGCAACAATATTATTTCTACTTTATAAGTGGAATTCAAAACACCTGAGAGAGAGTATTTCATCACAACCTTAAAATGCACCAAAGGAACCTGAATAAAAGTGTGAGTGAAGTGATAGTTGAGGCAGATAAAATGATAGTCACATATCTATCATTAGAAGTTCAACAAGGACACAGCAGAGGCCAAGAACCTGAGCCAGAGAAATGAGGGCATAAATACAGATATTTTGTGCTGGGATTTGGCTTTGGACTCCTTTTGTTTGCCACACAATGAAATGGGTAAAATATTTGTAACCATGAGATATCAGAGCAATTATGGGCTAAACCAACAGAGATTGTTATGGTTAGGATTCATAATTGTATTCTTGTTGGGGTTTTTCTCTTTCCTCTGTCCCCTGACCAAGGTCTTTTGGCAAGCCTTGTATTACAATTGCTTTATCATGCTCTGGTGTAACTTCATAAAAAAATCCAGGAAACGATCAGAATCAGTCTCAGATCATAATGAATGGCCCACTATGCTTTACCTTATAGAGCCTGATTTGCAGGAGGAGGATTTGTTTTATATCTCTACAGCTCCCTCTTGTGGAAATATCTTTCATCACAAAAGTGCAAAAGAGCAAATCTGTAAGATTCCTGAATTTACCAGAAAAACACCCACCAATAAAAGTGATCTTCTCTTTGTTGTGCCCTACATCCTTCCTTCACTCTGTCTTCTTCCCTATTTTTCCAAACCTCACTTTCTCTAACTCTGGATTTGAACCCACAGGTCTTCCTTGCATTGCTTACTTTTAATATTTTGAATTTGCTTTTCTTGATCCAGAGGCATGAACATTCCTATAAAAGATTGGATCAAGTACACTACGTATATTTGATCCTGGCTCGTTTGTTGTCTGATTTGCTGGCATCATTCTTGATCTTTGTGTTATGAAATTTTTGAAAGACAAAAATTAACCCCAGAAGACATTTTCATTTTCATTTCAGTCCTATTGGAGCCTCATTCTCTCTATTGAGGCCCTGGATAGTCAGTCCCACTTTCCCCCTAACTACGATTCATATGTTTATGGACTACAGTGACCTGCTCATCTTTATAAATTAACAACCTGTGATGGTAAATGGACTAAGTTTACTGTTGTCTTTTAACCACTCAAAGCCCTTTGACATACATGTCATATTCACCCATACACACACTGATGACAGAGGCTGCTATGTATAGAGTCCATCAGTTTTGACTTATTCTATTCACACACCACAAATGAAGCGTCTTGCCCAAGGACACTTTGGCATGTGGACAGCAGGACCAGGGTTTGAACCCCTGACCTTTCAGTTGGGAGACGACCAACTCTACCACCGAACCACAGACGCTGCTTTTACTGTTAGCAACTGTCGCTTCTTTTACAATAAATTGTACAGTATTTCGACCTTTTATTGGTTTTTCAGCTTCTGTATTTTATTTTCCACCAAAGTGTGAAAGTGGAAAAATGAAGAAATACGTAGTTCCTCCTCATATTTCATTTTTTTCCCTCATCCTGGTGCAAAAAAAAAATCTTCCACATATTTTCCTTGCTTTGCTTGATCAGGTAAACACTTCTCAAACTGTGCAGCTGAGGTCCACATAAAGGAAAATGATGACTAAAAAAAGATAAAGATGAATAAAAGTCTTTAACAAAAGTAGATGACTGTATTTATTAACCATAACCTCACCTTTACCACAGACAAACTCTAAACTTACCGAGCAACATTCATAAGAAACAGTCTGTTTTCACCACACAGCTCATATCCTTCATTTGATAACAGTAAAGAAGTAGTTTGTTCTTCATGTAGTACTGCTTTCTTTCAAAAGGGGGCAGTACATATCAACAATCATGCCACTCTGCAAACATTCATCTCCTCTATCAGGATTTTTTGACGTTCCCTCAGGTTAGGACACAACTGGCTTAAATTAAGCTTTGTAAATAACAGCTTAACATCATTAAATTAGCCGCTTGTCCCATGCATACCCCGGGTTTTCCATTTACTTATTATAACAGAAAGAATTGCATGAGTCAATGTTTTCCTCCCAGTTATATTTCACTCTCTTTTTTTATATTTTACTTTAAAATGTTCACGTTTATATACAAATAACACAGCTACAAAGAAAACATGCTTTTACAGGTACATGAAGATAACAGAGAAGAGGAAGCAGCCATCACGTAAAAAGATTATTTTTATGGTTTTAAACTTCTTTAAAACGAAATCAAATAAGACACAAAGTCAGCTGCAGAGCCTTTAAATGATCCTGTGAGTCTCTCGTTGTATTTGAACATCTTGCACCTTCAGACCATCCTGATGCCTCGCTATTGAGTGTATCACGAGTGACTTATGTCTTTCAACTATCATCAGAGGCAGATTCACAAAGACCGCTGGCTCCTCAGGAAACATAAAATACTTGTGTTATTTTGATTTTACAGCCTGTCTCTCACAGATATCTGCAGCTGATAGAGACATGCCAGCCTGTCAGCACTGATGTACAATTCACTGGAATATTGTCGAATCGAAAAGGACAGTTTCTCTTTGTGGATTTCCAGAATCCACCTCTCAGATCTCCGGCCACAGAAAGAGGATGGTTGTGGGGTTTGGAAATAGGATTTATCATGGATCAGTGGGACTGCTGACAGGACATCTCTGAAGGCCGATGTTTAAAGAGCTGGAAACAACAAAACTGGGAGGGGTCGAGTCCGGTTAGATGCTGCTGGCGGTCAGTGGTGACTCAGCTGGGGACTCCAGTGACCTCATGTGGCCCAGACCTCTAATTCACCCGGCCGATGACAGAACATCTTTGGGAGATCTCTGCAAGAGTTATGTCAGTGATGCTGTGCATTAAAATGGAACTGGAAAACATGAGAGAGGGAAATTTGCTGCAATTGACGGAGTTCTCTCAAAGGCAATGTGAGTCAGACATCACTGAAAAAACAAAGAGGCCAGGGTAAGAGCTGTGGAGGTCTGACCTTCAAGAACATCAACTTCTCATTTAGAAAACATGGGTAATGGATTACGATTTGGGCATTTCCAGCAATGTACAAACAAAGGTCAACTGAGGTGAAGGGATTCTCCAGAGAAAATGGGTCTGAAAATGACAGTGAATACATGTGTGATTGATTGAGGGGACATGTATGCATCTTCGCCCACTTAAATGGATATCCCGGCGTAAAATTAATTTAGGGTCAAACACGCAGTAACACTGAGTTAGACACCCCCTCGAAGGATGAATGTTGCCGACCGCTTGCTTTTCTAGTTCTACAAACTTTAGTAACGACCACACGATAGCAATACACAGCAGTCTGAGAAGCCATGATCATTTCTTTATCATTTCCTTGAAGTACTAATCACCATATTAATCAGTTCTTCTGCCTTTGCGCCTCGGTCTGATTGCATTTCCATGAAGAAATGATCATAAATGTTCTTCCTTGGGCTGCGTCACCCCGCTGTAGTCCGTAATGAACTCACCCGAGGTCTCGCTACAAACAAACGGCTGCTGGAAGAGAGTAGGTGAGTTGTGTTTAGTCTCTATGCCAAAGAAATTAGGCAAAGCTAAAAAGATGTTTGGTGGCTAGTACTATGGTTTGGACCCTATATGTACTGTTGATGAAGTTAGGTGCTGTTCTGAGCATTATTTGTGGCTATAGAGTGGCGTTTTGGTTGAGGTTTGTTTATGGCTCCTCAGACCGCTGTGTATTGCTATCGTGCGGTCATTCTAAAGTTGGTATAACTAGAGAAGCAAGCGGTCTGCAACATTTATCTCTCAAGGGGGTGCCTAACTCGGTGTGACGATGTGTTTGACCCTAAATTAATTATACCGTGGAATATCCCTTTAATGGACCTTCAATCCATTGAATCATGCTACCGAGAGAAGCATGCAGACAACAGTATTAGTAACTTTCATTCACTTCATCATGACCCCGCTATGTTACATTAAAGCTTCATCTGTGAAGATACCTCAAACCTGTATGTTATATTTCAGATCATAAAAATTTATCGCTCTTATCTCGAGAGGGTTGAGATATAGAGAGGGATAAGTAGAGCTTAAGGTGAGGAGGAATGATAATGGTTGCGGTAGATGAACTGAGGAGAACGGGGATGTCGAGTGGGGGCACATCCCGACACACTCCTGGTTCCATATATTCTGGTACTTGTGTTAAGAAGCGAGGCGAGAGAGAGGAGAGAGAGTAGAGAGAAGCTGGGTTTGAACAGGAGGATCATGAGAACTGAGACAAATGAGAGACAGTGATTTGGCAGGCTTATATAGAAGCCACAGGTGATTGCACAGGTGAGGGTGATAATAAGCTGCAGCTGGTATAATTGGCTACCTGGGCATGGTCATGTTCCTGAACTCCTGTTATACTAACTTTCAGCTTTTATTCAAGCTACAGTTGTGATCTTATATGTCGCTCTTTACTATATACTCCTAATTTAACAAATCTGGGAGAACAAAATTAGACTGATGGCAATCACTTATCAAGTTAAAGAGTGTTATCAAGACTGTGGTTGTGAAGACAAATGGCTGTTTCTCTTAAAAAGCCACAGTTTACTGTATATCAACACTCTTTCAAATGCCTGTGATTTTCTCTGTTCTGCTTTTGAGTGTAATTTTAATATCAAATATCATCCACCTTGGCCAAGCCTCTGTTTAGAAAACTATTTTGATTGTAATGTCACATCCTGGTGAAATAAAAGTCATGTTAATTTTTGAAAATAACTTTTTCACTGTACTTTGGGACAAATTTAACATTTAGTTTGGTTTGATTGTGTTTTTTATAACCATCAACCCCAATCTAAAAAGTGTGGGAAATGTAAATAAAATGAGAAGTTAGTAGTTAGCAAATAATTTAGACTGTACATTTCATTGAAAACAGTGCAACCACAACACATCAGAAGAATTTCATATTTTATGGAAAATATGTGCTAAATCCAAATTCATTGCCACCGATGCGTTAAAAATAAATGTGTGACATGGCAAGTTTACATTGTTTTGTATTTTTACCAGCACTCTGTGAATGTTTGGGAACAAAGGAGACCAGTTTTGGGAATTTTGAAAGTTTTTTCTTGCCTGTTAAAGGATTTTAGGATTTCAATAGCTCCATGGTTTAGTTAGGATTCTCCTTTGCCCTTAATAATTTCATCACTCTAGCTAGGGTGACCATATTCTAAATCGTACATATCGTACTGTATTGTACTGTAGTGTATCCTATCGTACTGTATCATATCATATTGTATTGTATCCTATCCTATCCTACCATGACATATCATATTATATCATATCATATCATATCATATCATATCGTATCATATCATATCGTATTGTACTGTATCGTACCGTATCATATCATATCGTATCGTATCCTATTGTATTGTACTGTATCATATCCTATCGTACTGTTTCGTATCGTATACTATCGTACTGTATCGTATCCCGTTGTACCGTAACATATCATAACATATCGTACCGTACTGTATTGTATCGTACTGTATTGTATTGTATTGTATTGTATCGTATCGTACTGTGTCTATTGTACTGTATCACAGAAGTTCATTTTTGGTCTTTTGTTTACCAGGTGCCTTTTATGTGATGCAATTACGAATTTAATCTTTGAATGACTTCTTGTGCATTTATTTTTTAATGCAGTGTTATTTGAACCCTGGACATTATCCTCCTAACATTTTGAATATTAAGAAAGAAAACTTGAAACATGATAAAAAGTCCAATGATCTTTTGTCGTAGCTGTTCTGGTAGATGGTAGATGGAGATGAGAACCCCAAAAGTTTTTCAATATTACAGACCATGTACATCAGAAAACATTAATACCTTGGAAAAGTAGCAGTCAGTCGATGACTTGTGTTTTTAGAGATTTGTCAGTGAATTTAAGAGTGACATCAGGCTCTGATTTGGAGTTTTGGTAACATGGAGGTACCCAAATGTTTATATTTGGATCAGGGATCATGCATGTAAGGCAGGCCGACATGTACTGGGTGTTCTCCATTGTCGTAACACTCTCCCTGGAGCCCGTTTTAAATGCCAAACCAAAGTAATGAAATCATTCAGTGTTATGGATCTTGGCAATTCAAAGGGCACCCATATACTCCAAAGATTTACCATTCATTTCTCTTGGAAAACATGGGAGTGGGGAACAAGAGAGAGAGAAAAGAGAGAGTGGGAGGTGAGGGAGAGCCCCGTCCAAAGGAGCCAGGGTAAGAATTTATGGTCAGGAAGAGCGATGAATGTGTAATTTACGGTGCATACTCTACCATTCCCCCCTGCCCTCCCTTTTGGTAATGAGAAACGGCTGTTTTGTTGTAGGGCCGGGGCATGGTATACCCCCTCCCTTCTGGCTATGACACACCATTAATTTTTATTTCTGTCTCTGCTTTTACGACCCCCTCCTGGGCGCCAGCATTTGGCTGCCGATCGGGTCCATCACACCATTGAAGCTCTTCCACCTCCCAAGATGGCCTCCTTAAGCCTGAGATCGGACACGCTATGACTGCTTAGAGCTCCGGACTGAAGAGTGATCACAGTGAACACCCAAACATCAGGTTGAAATAAAAGACAGGGGGATATTAGGTAATGCTAACTTTGTACATTCAATTATGAAATAAGACCAAAAAATCAGGATTTAACCTCTTCGTGTTTTGGATCCATCTGTTTTGCATTTATTTTCATTCTTAATTTTTCACTCTGGACAGGTTTTGACTAAATCAACTCTTGTCAATTACAGCTTGGGCCTTGAAAGGTTTGGTCCATATCGTGCTGCTGGTTTGTTTATTGCTGAGTTTATTGCAACATCCGTACCATAAAAACTGGCTGGGTAAACACACAATTTCACAGACAAGCTGCAAACAAGCCAAATTATCTCAACCGATTTATCTGTTAGTAATAAAAATTTGTCATTGTCATTTTTTTTACTTTCATTTAACTGCAGTTTGTTTTCATTAAAGTCATATTTATGCGTTTTTAATTGACTTGTTTGTTGCTCCGTTCCTACCATTTGTCCGGGATTGTTTTAACAATACATTGAGACACAAATTAAAGATACTAACATAAACAGCGTGTCTTGGGGATACCACTTTGGTCTGGTGAGTCACGCACATGGGCGGCCAAGGTTTGATTCCCACCTGCAACCTTTCCCTCGTCGTCATCCCCCACTATCCTACCCATCATCCCATCTTCTCAATAAAATCGGAAAAGCTCAAAAATACAACACAAACAGTGTGTTTTTCTTTTGTTTGTTTCTTCCTTTCATTATCTACTTAATCCTTGGGGGGTTGTTTAAACCTGTTTTTGTTTATTTCTTGAGTTTCTTGCACCATAAAACTTGTTGAACTTCCAGGTTTCGGCAATTAAGTTAGCAAACTCACTGTGACGAGTAGAAACAGTTGGAAAACATGAAAATGACACCGAAAAGGATAAGGATAAGAAGGATGAAAAACACCTGCAGAAGTGAAGTTTTATAAGAAAGAAGAAAAAATCATCTTCATGTGTAAATTATGCAATACAGGAGGACAAATCGATGAATACAAGGTGCTGCAAAATCATTACATGACTGAAGTTTCATCAGCTTCATCTGAACTTTATTCAGGCTTTCACAGAATAAGCTATACATGATGATACTAATACTTCTTTTGTTTGATGATGATAAGCACAGCTGGACATATTCAGTATCACAATCCATAGTATGAATGATTAATGTAGTGTGTAACTCCTCCTGAAACTAATACCTTGTGTGAAGCAAACAGACCCATGAACAACATTCGAGAAAAGAGAGAAAACTCTGTGTGTGTGTGTGTGTGTCTGCAATGTCATCAAGCCAGCTTTGAAAGGATAAACAAGTAAAATGCTATAATTGTTCTGAAACTCGAGCAGTAGGAAACATTAAAGTTGTGCAAAATCTTCAGACCCTGTTGCAAACAGACATGATTACTGAGCAGCTGATGATTGGATGGCTTGTATAATAATAATCAGTGGTTTGGAGTTACTGCATATTTGATATATCACTGTGGATGTACACGTCCTTCCTCTTGTTTCAGATCCTATTCCTTCAATCTATAAGACCAATATTATCACACGTGTGCCAATGTAAACACACATGTACAAACATCTAAGTTCCGCCTACGAACAACTGGATTCCGTGCAGAAAATGCATACAGAGAACACAAACACCCAGGTAGAGACGGACACACACACTCACTTGTTTCCATGCACAGAGGCACGCACATGCAGCCCCGTACACATGCAAATAATCATGTTTTTACTCCTCCTTTTTTCTGTGCAGAGTTACAAACACCAACATTTAATTCGAAACAAACAATAAGCTATCAAATGGCAAGAGTTTGTGTCAAGACACCGGAGAAGGAGCTCCCAGTAATCCTCCTCTTCATCTCTTCTTAGGCTTGTTTTGTCATAAGATTCCCTTCCTCAAAATAATACATAGAAAACCTTCTTACCTCAGCAACCTCAAATGATTTCCAGTGCCTTTCGTTTTTTTTTCATATCACAATAAGAAATAAAGGTACAAAGACTTTATACTATTCACCATCTTTACATCATTTACAGCCGCTGTTGAAAAAATCCTCACAAACCAAATGAAGATCAGATTAGGATTAAATCGGGGTCTGGAGTCCTCGTTTATGATCAGACTTTTAGCCTGAGTGCTGCATTTGAAACTCTCATATCTTTTCTCAGTTCAAGAAGTGACGCGGTTTGTCTCATGACATGAACACGTCCGACCAAAATTCATCAGGGAACCAAAAATCAAGTCTTTCTGACTGTACGACCAGTATCTTCCAGAGATGTTCATCTTTTGGAAAGCTCAGAGCAGCCTTTCGTGTTGCAGCAATCCTCCTCCAGTTCTCTTTGCATTTTCTACAATGCATAGCAGCGTTTAACCTTTCCTTCATCTCGTTATTGTTCGTCTGTGGCTGCTGATGTGGGGTGAAGCAATGTCTGTTTTTTCCTCTACGCCCCATCCAGCAGGTGGTGGAGTTTAGGACACAGAGCTAGTTGTGATGCTGGGAACAGAGGTGGTGGTCCTGCTCTGGCCTCTTCTCCTCTTTCCTCCTCCTCCTCCTACTACTCCCCCTCCTCCTCCGCCTCCTCCGCCTCCCCCGCCTCCTCCTCCACCTCCTCGCCCTCGCCCCCGTGAATTCTCCCTCTCCCTCCTGTTTGTATCGTCCTGCCGGTCTCCTTTATTCTTCCGGTCTGAAATGACAATGCACAGGAGAAAAAAAGTATGATTAATGGTTTACACTCTGATTTTCTCGAATAAACTCTAGTGAGATATCTGTCATCATCGGATGTTGTATGTACAAGTGCCTCCGCTTAGCTAAACAAGTTTAAATAATGGATTCCTGAGGTATGAGAGACGATGATAAGGGGTGTGTGTTGGATCAGGACTTGTGGATGTGGTTGCGGTCTTTAACACGGGCAAAACCAAAGTAAACTGTGAACTCTCTGGTCTGAATTATTCTATAAAACCAGCACAAATATGTACGGCTATGACAGGGTCACAAATCTCAAGGTTTTGTCCAGTTCATAGACTAAGAGTCTTGGGTAAGCTATCAAATCAGTGCATTAACTTCTCATTGACATACTTATAATATCCATTAGGGACCACAGACGGACACCAGTATTATAATTTACCAAGCAGCGACTTCATAGCTTCACCTCTCTGTTTTTAGTTTGACTTAAAGCTAGCTTGAGTCGTTATTTTTACTTGGGAGCAATTAAATGTCATCAAATATGTCCACACCTCTATTCACGTGAAAGGTTACAGCACCTGCGGTAGATTAGAAAACACGAGCAGCACCGGGACTGAATGCTGTTGCGCAGCCTTTTGTACTTCCAACATAAAAACAATATCCTTTTACAATATTGTATTCTGCCCTGAAGGACTGAGGATGGTAAGAGAAAAGTCCTGTGGTTTTGAGAGGATAAATGTGGTGAACTCTGGTCCTGGTGTTGAGTCCCTGTGGTCTCCACAGGCTGCCATTCATAGCGCTCTTTCACAGCAGGAGCTCTACACTGCCTCTGCCACTGGATTATTCACAAAGCCACTGGCAAAAGCTATTTGTAGTGATATCCTAGTCACATCATTTATATTTCCCATTATATTTACAAAGGTGCCAGCTGGAAATAAATGCTAGCTGGTTCTAGCTCAAGCAGAGTGTGATTCAATCGAATAAAGTAGAAATATAACAGCTTCTCATGCTCATCTTAGAGCTTTCAAGCCTAAATATGAATTAGCGTACTGATACTTGTGAGTAAAAATACACACATGTAAGTAGGGATGTCCCAATACTTTTTGACTTCTGATACAATACCAATATTGAAGCTTTCAATATTGACTGATACCAATATTGATCCGACATTGGCGCAAAATTGTGCATGATAAGTTTTTCACTCAGTTGCAACGTCTTTTTCAGCCCTAAACAAAAAATACTGCAACAAGGCCAACATCACTTCTACTCCTTGCTACTTTGTTAGCATGTTAGTACCATAGACTGTATATACTATGGACAAATTGGTTCCGCCTTCCACCAGAAGCCGAAAAAGCTCTCCGCTTCCTGAAACCAACATTGCACAGTGGCATTGTGTGCATTAGGCGGGAGAGTCGCCAAGAGACTGGCTGTATCAAGTGTCAATCATAGAAAACATGAACCCCTTATAACTTTTAAAAATAGAACTGCACAGAAAAAAAGAGGACTTGAGCACAAACCAGTCTGACAGTAACTACATGTCAACATCACAAGCAGGAGGGAGAAACACTTATATTCTGTGTAATTAATTTATAAAGTTTGTCCACAGCTCCATAAGGATAGCTGGCGGAGGCAGGATTTATGACCTATACTGCAGCCCGCCACCAGAGGGTGCTGTTCTCGGGGTGGTTTCACCCAGCGAGGAGGCAGACGGCGTCCATTCTACATACAGACTATGGTTAGTACACACTGTTTTTGTGATTTTGAGGGCTCTGCATGCTGGATCTGGGCGCTGCTAGATAGAGGTGCTGGAGCGAAGTCTGGAATGGACTGCTTGTATCAGAGTGCTGATATCGGAGATTTTAGATGCAGGCCAATATAATCCGATATAATCCGATATTCTTTTTTTTGCTGATATCTGACTGATATCCAATATCAATATCGTATCGGGACACCCCTACAAGTAAGGTCAGTTAACTGACACTTTGAGTTTGTTGGAGGCAGACTGAGAGGACGATCATGCTAACCATTAACCTACATCTTTATTTGTTACACTGTTCATCACTGAAAAGTCACAATTTATACATTAGTCTAACTAGCCATCATATTTGGGCTCTAAATATCAATTAAATAATGTGTTTTTATTGTGTTGGGTTTTTAAAGACCCCAGAATTTCCATTAACTGCAAAGCCTTTTAGATGAACCGCTTTCACCGGTACATGGGTACCTAGATGGATTGCTCTCATCTATTAGGCTTCACACACCTCTTCAGAATCAAGTGGATGATATTTACAGTCCTGAATCACTAAAATGACTTCTGATGCCAAACCAATCAAACTTGCATTTAATTGGTTGCATCGAACAGCACTCTCCTCCTTGTTTCACCGAACTACATGCGAGACTTTATATCCAGATGTCCTCTGGTAGTCACGCCTTAGGATTCACACCTGTTACACGTTTCCCTAAACACAGACATCCACTTCAAAGTGGTAAATGTAAAACTCCAGATTGAAAAATTTCGCACATGCATGAGCTGTGAGAGCACTCAGCAAAGTCAAGTGGCACAATTATCTTTGATATAAATCACTTACAAACCGCTTCTGGCATAATGAGTTAAACACTGTCAAGGGCCCAATAATGGCCTGTAAGAATGTGGGGAGCTGTCACAAAGTGGAAATGGACATCCTTAGTAGTGTCAGACGGCTATTGTTTTGGCAGCACTCAAAGTATTGGGTTTTGTATATTTGAGGAGTGTAGTTACGCTGGAGGATGTTTGTTATGAGCTTGTGCGTTGAGAGTCTCTGCATATCCTGGAAACTGAGTGAACACGTGCCAAGCGCTGGACAGTGTTCACTGCACAGTTGACAACAGCAGGGCCTTATGGCGCCACCATGTTTGTCTACTGCAATGCAATAATAAATGTAGGTCTGTGTTTATTTCTCTACCAGCATTTTTTAAACTCGCTGTACAAACAGTTATGATTCTTCGGTTTTAATGCAAAGCAAAAAACAGTCCAAAAGGTAGACTGCTTCTCAGATTTCATTAAAAACATGTTTCCACACAGCCAGTGAAAATCATTATACGGTGATGAAATGGATTTGATATAGTTGAATGTGGACAGACCTAACACAAAAACATTTATTCACCGCAGGCTCATGCAGAGTCACGATTGGCTTTACTGACACTAAGAAGGCTCGGTCCCACACAGTAGTACCCAAACAGGAAAAAGTCGTCTTTTTTTCAGAGCTGTTAGTGTCAGAAACAAGAAAACACGACTGCTAAGCTGTCACTTTGTGAGTTAGCTCAATTAAGAAGATCGCTTTATGTCCTGCATGTTCATCCCGTGTGTGTTTTCCAAAATCAATAAACATATTGTCGAGGACGTGGGGGAACTATTAACATTGACACTTAATACTGAGCAATAATAGTTTAAATTCACAGAGAGAGAGAGAGAGAGAGAGAGTGGAGCCTGAGTGAAGGGCGCTCACACACACTTCACAGCATCTGTGCTATCTGTGTAAGAACTTAATTACACCTCTAACAAATCACCGACGGAGCCAAAAGAGGGGGACTCCACCAGTTTATGACAGCCCTGATTGTACGGCCTCTCCATCCAAGCTAAACACTTTTGCCTGACAAATGCAATAACACATCCAGAAAATTCTGTTTTCGCGTGAGACCCTTTTGTGGAGCTTCAGGAAAAGGGGGGAAGAAATTCGCAGCCAAATCAACACAAAGCGTGAGATCTGCAGACCACTAAATCACCGATGTTATACAAGGTCTGCCCCCTGTGTTTTATATAGCCCTCCTGCCAGCCAACTCCCACAGATGAATCCACAGCTGCAGAGCGAGTTTACCCACATGAACCGGATCACCGTTGCATGGTATCATCACCCATGATTACCTCACAGAGCATTTTGGCAATGGTATGTGATTTATTTTCATGCAAAAATATGTAATAGTCTGCAGGAAAAGTGAGACTTAAACTCACCTTAATGGTAACAGATACCCTTCGTCAGGTTAAACCTCATGTCATTCTTGCTTTTTTGATATGAAATCTGCTTCTTCTGAAGTTTAAAAGTTCTCCAGGTAGTCTTTAACTTTTCACTTTTAATTACTCAAAACTAAAACTGTTTCCAAGATGCAGACATCACACAGAATATATTTGCTTTTCACTCCTCAAATCCTGCTGTCACAGGCAGACAAAACCAAGAACCGATCCCTCTCTGACCGGCTTCTTTGACCACAAATCTATACGGGACGACGTCAGATCACATTCAGTTCTTTAGAGTCATTGCCCTGGAGGAAATGTTCCAGAGTGAGGAGACAGTGTTTGAAAATGCAAGCTTCCATGTTTACTTGAAAATATTCCCCCATATCATGTTGCAACATCTGTACAGTCGCCAATACTGTGCAAAAAATATTGTTATGCAATGTTGCTGCCGTGCAGAAATCCCCTAAGCGTGCCACTGTCTACTCAAGGCTTTAAATGCTGCTGGTTTACAGCTCACTTAGCCCTTGTAAATATGTACAAGTTTCCAGTTTTGGTTAAAATTGGCCAGTTTAGCCAAACAGATTAGTGTAAAGTGAAAATTAGAGACAAAGATTAATGGATCTTCTTTTTCTATTACTCTCCACAGCTTATACTCAATCTTATATCTGCCTTTTATAAGATTTATCAACCCATTTCCACAACAGGAAACTATTCGATTCTGTCTCTACCGAGGACTTAATGTTTCGACGCGAATAAGCAGCATCATTGCTGTTTTGCTGCACTCCAGTAAACTCTGAACCAATAGTCCAAATCCGTCATTTATTAGCCTTAGCTGTAAAAGAGGCCAAGATCGGCTAATGAGCTGTTATGAGAGTTGATAATGGCCACTGACGGGCGAGAAAGACTGTTAACCTGCTGGAGAACAAGCTGCCGTGGAGACCATAAGAGCCCAAGCAAACATGTCATAACCGTGTAAACCTCAAGCTTCAGCGGTCCTCAGAACAAATAGCTCTATCCAGCTCTGATCCTCGTCCAGCTTTGCAGTACGTAATGCCCGCCCTTCATCTGCTTGGCTCGTAGCTGCAGTTTATTGTTTACATGCTGAGAAGTCAAGAGATTCTGTATCCTTCTCAGAGCTCAGCCAAACCAAACCCAATCAACACGCTGTGGGTCAAAGACGCACTGGCGGGAATACAGGCCTTTGGATGTTGAGTAATGCTTCCATCAGTCATCGTGCTAACTGGTGGAGGGATTTCATGGAGCACATGGACTTTATTGCCTCTTGGTCGGTTATCTGAGCCCTTAGCAGTTTTAATTTTTAGTCATTTCCCCCCTAAATATATCTGCGGTTGTATTTACCTCTGCCACAGGGCGTCCTGGGCACGTTGCACTTCCTCCTCTCTGTCTGAGGAGCGCAGGTCTGCGAGGGCACGGAAGCAGGCGACGTGTCCGGGCTTTGGACCTGCAAGATCGGCGATCGGACGCGAGTTTGCGAGCCTTTTTTAAACCCACATGTTTTGTTCTTCTTCGCGCAGGAACTCCATTGGCTCCACTCACCTAGTTCACACTCTGACGGACGCTGACCTGGGTGAAGGAGAGGAGAAAAGTGACAGGCTGAGGTGGTGTCCGAATGACTCACAACTCTAATGTCTCACATCTGTTTCACAGCATTCCTGTCCTTTTTTTCAAAGCTTAGGATAATGAAACAAAATGGTTTCCAATTCTGTTTACAAGTTAGACAGATGCAGTTTGAGAAAGTTGGTATTAACTTCAAACGAAACCACATAGCGATGGTTATTTAGAGTACAATATTCACAAAAAAGACAACAATATCAGCTGTCACGTGAAAATCATTTTCAAGACCCCAAGATGTCTTCCTGTTGATGCTGCAGCTAGAAATTTCTTCACGTTCCCCCTGTGTTAGCTTTTACTACGCACCCACTATGTTGAGGGTCGGTTTGGACCCGTGTCTTAAATCAGCTGTAAATTACAATAAAAACAATTCTCTATCATCCAATTTGGTTCTCATCTCTAGGTTACCTTATTAGGCTTCATTATCCATGAAAATATTGCTTATAATATTTTTATTGTGGTTCTCTGGGCCTTTCTTTGTCAGTGTACCCCTCACACAGACATCTATACTGAACTGATCTCACATGTCTGGACATGTCTGTTGTTGTTTTTTGCAGGTAAAAACATGGCAAAATGAGAATTTCCTCAATCTCACATGATTGGAGGAGGATCTTACTGTCAGTGTGGTGCCTGACAGTGCACTTATGATTTTAGTTTTTGCTCAAATTATTAGATATTGATCTAACCGGGTCAACAGCGACCCTAACACCAGAAGTGCCATAATTTTAATAACAGCATTTTATAATTTAGACAATTAAATTTTTCATTTTGTTGATATAGAGTTTCCTGACAAAGTCAAAAAGTATTGAAGCAAAAAAGCAAATTTAAGTGATTCTTTTCAGCATTTAAAAACACAGGACACAACAACACAGGAGGAGGGTTAATAAAAACACAATCAAAGGAAAAGGTAGATAGCTGTTGCTGCGCTGATACTACAGGAATAACTTCACGACAAAAATACAATTAAAAGAAAGGAAAAGATCAAAGAAATAAGACAATATTGAAGTATTAGGGCCACCTTTGTGCTAAAAAAGAAATTTTAGAAAAGTCAAAAATTTACAAGAATAAAGTCACAAATTCCCAAGGATCAAGTCCAATATTTCTGTTAATTTAACTGGGAAAAAAATGATTTCAGGTTAATACCCCATGTTGCCTCAAAGGGAAGAAAAACATATGAACTAAAATGAGAAATGTGGTTTGTCTTGTTGAGTTCTACTTCACCAGAGGTTTCAGAAGAAACTGAAAATGTGATCTTTTACAAAATCAGCATCAAATTTTCAAAATTTTGCAATTTCCAATCAGTCGTCCAAGACACACAACGAGCTGATCGTGTCTGTGAACACAGGCAGGGGAAGCAGCCTGTGAGGAAGTTTAAATAAAATCTAAACTTGTTTCTCTTCATATGAAAACTTTATTCTCTCATTATAACTCTCTTTTTTCATACATTTACAACTTTTTTTTCCTTGAGACTTGATTCTTGTATCATTACAACCCTGTTATCATAAATTTAGGACTCGATTCTTTAAATTTCAATATTAACTGAATCATTTTCGTGGCCCCTCACAGAAACAACAGAAAAATACATTTGCAAACAGAAGAAAATGGCTCACTCCAAACTCACTAAGCCCTGATTTATACTTCCTTGGTCATCATAGTGGCTATTTTGAGAAGCTCGGAGTATGACATCAGTTAAGAACAAAGGTCAAAGGTCACTCACCAACACACTCCATGGTCTCATTGGCGGTGTGCTGGTCTGGAGGGCAGCTGACATAACATCGCCCGCTGTGTGAGTACAAGCCCTCCTTGCATTTTGTGCAAAAGTTGCGATTGAAGCATGCTTCACAATTTTCTATTTTACATTCTGAAGAGAGAGAGAGAGAGAGAGAGAGAAAAAAAGAGGGTCACATGAAGGAATCAGTCCAAGTTGTGGTGGTGAGTGTGAACATTTCTCTTCTTCTCACTGAGTAACATTGCATGTTTGCCTGTAAAAGCCTCATTTTTCTCCAAGGAGAAGACAAGAGAAACTTGAATTGTACTTCCTCTGTGAGATTTATTAGTGATTAAACAACACGGGGTCTGTTCAGGGGGGAGTAACACTCATCTCTTAAAAACACACGCACCACATGCCTTGTGTGTGAATGGGTGCAGCATGTACTGTATGGCTTCAGTTCGTTTTTCAAAAAGCAGATTTCTCTGCACCTCAAACTCATTAAACTGTCCAGTCAAACAAACAAATTTAGATAATTGCAAACACAGGAGGATATAAACCAGACATCTTAAAAGACTCCAAAAGGCTTTGGTCCCATCTTGAAAGACACTCCATTTTTCTCAGGATAAACAAAGAAGGAAGAAGAAAATCTGGGAATTCTTATAGAGTTTTTTTTTTTATATATATGTAGGATCTTCAGACCTAAAATCACTGTACTGATGTGTGTAAAACATAATAGTGTCTACCCTACAGCTGGTCTGACGCCAAGCTCAGGAGTGACCTAAAAGGGAATCCTCTCTGGGATTTTATAGCTCTCGCCTCCTGCTCACAATTACTATTTCTGAAACCCGTGACAGCTTTGACAGTCTGACTTTTGCAGCCCTGTAATGTAAAACAAATGCCGCAAAGAGGCTTTCTAAAGTGATATGCTTAAAATAAGATGATTGGATAATAACACAGAGAAGCCACGATGAGCTCCGTAAAATGATAACAAAGTCTGACCGAAAAATAAAAACAGATGATTTGGATAAATAAAAAAATATATATATGGAAGTGATTTAAATTGAGGCAAAAGAGAGATGCAGTAAATCTAGAAGTCTTTTAATAACATACAGAGATCTCTCAGTTCACCTCTCTACATAACAGCATTAAATCACACCCTAATGTGACGGCTGGGATGAAAAATTATGGTTTGGTTTTAAACCTTCATGAGAAATATCAAACTTTAAAAATAAAGCATCACCATAATCAGATTTATGAGTTTTAGCTTTGGAGTTCTTCAAACTTGAGAGGATACATCATCGAATATATGTATCTGACAGATCGTATTCAACTGAGAATGTGCAGGCATATTCTGCATTTTTCTTCCAGTAGCAGAAAATCATTACAGGGTGGTGGATCGTACGGATGCCAGCGGAGACCGACAACTTATAAAGAACGAGCAGAAGTTCAGATTCACTCGCACTTGAATAAACCTTTTGTGTTGCAGCTTCAGAGACATGTTTGACTCGTTAGTATAAGATAAGATAAGCTACTAGTGGGAAAGTGAAAACACAACCGAAATGGATTGTGGCCTGGCTTGAACCCTGCACATAAGGACCAAATAAAAAACACAGACATCCTCTCAAAACAGACAAACAACAACGCATTAGAAATGTTCTTCTGGAATTTTGTCCCATCCCTGCTTTCTGCCGACACGTAAGGGGAAACAGACTACAGACAGCGATGTTGGCTCTCCTAAAGAAAAATTATGGGAACCGACCAAGACATGAATATTGCGACCGCTCTTTAAACAACGTGCCAAATGAGCCAAACCAATCTCGAACTGATTTTTCTCCACTTCAGCAAATACTTGCCTGGTTACTTTTGCGTCCTTTTCACAGCAATAAGTGGGAACAGCGGACATATTTCAACAAGTAATTACGACAATTTACTCATTATCTACCACTTGCATCTATTTACTTGTTATTCTGTAATTGGGGGTTTATCTCCTTCAATTACAAACATGACAATAGAGGCAGGGATTGGGTTGGAAAAGAGGAATAACAAGAATAAAAAGTGTTGCAAGAGGAGAACACTGATTTGGAAAGAACCCCCGGCTTTTTTTTTTCAGCATTCATAATTCAGGTCTTGCACAAGACAAAGAAGCTAGCAGGATATCCCTCTGCTTCTTCAAAAACCACAATTTTGTACATAAACAGGAGATGAGGAGCCAAAGATAAACAGATCGGTTACAATACTGGCTTGATTTGCCATCAGCTGTGTGGATTTGGACAGAGTGAGCTGCTGCCAACGAGCTAACTAGAGCCTGCTTGTATTTTGGACGGTTCCAGATGTGTATCTACAAATCTAATGTTCCCACTGATGCATACCGTTGGTGCACAGTGGCACATGCAATGTCACTTTGTCAAGAGTCTAAAAGTCGAAGGAAAACTCACGCGTGCATCTGTTGTTGCCTTCCGGGTTCCTCATGCCAAAGTATCCCATGGGACAGGAGGCGAGGCACACGCCAATCTGACGGATGTCGTTACGTTCCAGGAAGATGAAGAGCTTGGGCTTACATTTGATGCAGCCATTATACTCCGAACATCGGTCACAGCCTTTGGGGCAAGATGGCGGCCCTTCGGTGCTAACTGTAAGGAAACAGGTAGAGTTTGGTATCAGAGCAGCATTAAGAAATGAATTAAGCTAGGATGTAAAGGTGTATTTTTCAACACCATACCTGAAAACAACATGGGAGAAATTCAAGAATGAGCACGAGTCTAGCCATAAATCTGCCCGCACTTCATCACGACCACAAAGAGGGATTAATGCGTACAGCTCGACCGATCACGAGGCCAGACCGAACATCTTTGTTTCTCACTGTTTACTTCAAACTGCTTGCCGGAGATCCTTAACAGATTTTCATTCGGAGGAACCTGAGTGATTGAGGCTGACAGCCAGCTATGAGCCATTCAAAATCAGTCAGCAAAAATCACGCAGGGCCTCAGTCAGAATGATCAAAAATGGCATTATTGAAATGCTTGGCAGAGAGTTGATTGGTTCTTTTTTCTCATTTGACCGCCACATAAATCCATTTACTCTTTGTCCAAGGTCTGACAGGGATTGTGTGTAATCACACTTCAGTTTTGTGTCAAAACTACAGAAGAGTTTTAGGGCAAGGGATGAGGGAAAAATGAGAGGAAGATTCTGTGGTTCGAGAATAAACTTAAAATGTTGGAAGTATTGAGAGGAAAGTTGAAAAAGACACAATTCAGTTGAGAAAAATGAATAATTTCACGAAAATTAAGTCAACGGTCGCTGAGGGAAAGGCATCGCACTACCACATAAAACTATTTATAGAGCAAAGTCTAGAAATGAGTTCATTTGTATTTTTTCTGAAGACCATGTGAAGACAAGTGGAAGAAGGAAAGATGGCCGACGTTGAAAGGAAACTTCTGCAGATCTGTAAAGTTCACACGCAACTAAAGGTTAATCGTCAAACATTATAGATACTAACAATGTGTCATATATTGATATGAATAATGCTTAAAGTCGTCAACAATAATTGTAGGCCGGACATTTAAATGTAATGATCAGTGGCGCCGTTTGGTATTAGCCTATGACGTCTTGGCCGAGCTAGCATCTTTTTAAAACATTATCAGTGTTGGGTGACGAACAGACGACATCTTGGATTTTTTGGCGTACATGATGTCGCCTTTCAACGACCGTTCACATTATTCTTGAAATTAAATTTTGACTGTTTTTTTACATTTACATTTCAACTTTACTCACGAAACTATATTCCGACTTTTTTCCCCGCAAAATTCGGACTTTAGTTAAAAGACTTTTTCGACTTTATTCTCACTCTTGACTTGTCTCTCAAAGTGCGAGGTACAAACTTCCCTCCTTAAATTATTTTTTCTTTTTCTTTAACCCAAATACTCTTCAATGCTTACAGTAAATACTTATCTTTCTTCGAAAAGCACGGTGAGAACCCAAGTTATGTGGTGTTCAAAGGGAGGAAAAATCAACAGGAAGGTACAAAAGTCAAGAGTTTAAAGAGAAAATTTGGAACTGAAAAAATATTTCAACAGGTATGAAGTAGAAGAGAGAAATTAAAGTTCACTAAAAATCAAGAAGGGCTCTCCAAAGGTCCGGTCTGTCTCGGATTTGGATTGGACTCGAAATAAATTAGCCGAAAAAGAAAGGTACACAACAAGTAATCTGAATCATTTCAATAGAAAGTGTTTCCAAGTGCACATCCTTTTCCAGGGAGCCACTCAGAGACAAAACCACAGAGGTCCCGGTTGATTTATGGTCCTGTACTGTATCAGCGCTAAATATACAATCTTCACAAAGCAATCCATCTGCTGTCCTGCCTCCCACAGATAAGTCGCACAGTTAACGCGTTAAAAGGCTTTTCCCATGAACAAATTACACCATCAGCGAGACACAGTAAACTCAATCGCAGCGATTACAGACAGGCCGTATTGCTCACGATCACTAATAAAAAAGTAATAATGGCCTTCGGGGAGTAACCGCAGCACAGGGGAGCGTATGAATCTTCAAATGTGGTGTTGTAAACTGTTCGCAACACGTGGTGGAGTGAGAAAGCGGAAAGCTTGTGCTGTCTGAGTATTCCTCTTCCTCGAGACGTAAAATATTTTGGCAAACCTGGAGAGATTTGAAAAGATTGAATTTGATGACATCTGATGACGCTGCAGAGGGCGCTCACGTCTATGTCGGGTGACCTAAATCCTTCTCTCCACATTACTATTGCACGTTGAAATCTGCACTAACATTGAAGTCACTGTGCGCGTATATCTAAGTGTATATTATACAAAAAAAAAAAAACTCTTCCCTGCCACTTTGTGTGATTTTAATATCACCACATCTGTTTCTGTGGCCGGTCATGGTATTATATGAATTCTGCTCCACAGAGGTTGGGTTTTGAGGCTGGCAGTGACTGAAAGCTCCTTGTGTGTAAAGAGAGAATTATTCCAAAGCTGACAGTAACACCAGCGCCGAGGCTCCGAGGGCCAGAGATATACTGCGAGTCGGCCTGAGCACCATCTTTGTGGTTGCGTGAGGTCAGAAAAATGCTTGCAACAACAGCAGCGGCACGGTCCAATTGAAAGCTTAGAGCTGTCAGGTACTCGGTCCATTATGTGCCCACAGAGCCAGACAGAAAAAGAGTGATGGCTTTGAGGGTGAATCCATCAAAACCCCCTTCTGTAAACAACTTTAATACCCATAAGAGTTTTACATAAACTGAGAGAGGCATGATCTTAAAAGGAGGAAGAAAGAAGAGCCATCCAGGGGAAACACTGAACCTAACATAACCCGCCTAGGAAAAACAAAAACAGTGATGAGAAAATAAACAATGTGTTATCTTTACTTTGCTTGTTAAATGTTTACAAGATGTCCACCACCGTGACTCAGAGCACAGAAACGAAAAAAGGGGAGAGAAAAGAGATAAAAACAAGCTGTGAAAGAGGGAGAACTCACCCCGTCTCTGCCTTCTCGCCTTGGAGAGCTTGAGAGAATCACTGTGACCCATGGAGCTGAGGAAGACCATTGCCAGCGCCACCAGTCCCAGCTGCATAGTCCCTGCTGCCTTCCCGGCCACGCAGGGTCCCCCCCTGCGACCAGATGGATCAGGTTGGGGGGGGGGCCCTTCCTCTGTGGGACAGGTGGATCCCTCTGCCGCCGGGACGGATTACAATCCCTCCTCTCTCTCCCTTGTGGCACAGCCTTCTTTTTTCCTCAGTCTGTCTGCTTCTCTCTGTCTCTCCTCCTCCTCCTCTGTCTCTCTGGATCTCTCACTCTAGAGGCTGCTGCGGCCGCATGTCTGCGTAGTGGAGGGTGATGTTGCAGTTACAAGTCCAAACAAGCCCCGGGCATGAGAAGCCATCACTGAAGGAGGAGGTGGGGGGTGGAGGGGTTGAGTGGAGGATGAAGAGGAGGAGAGAATTGAGAGGAGATGGTGGAGCTTCTGGTGGTTCAACCCATGAAGCTCGGGGTGGGCGGGCAGGGGGGAGCCAGGGATCCCGCTGTGGCACGAGGGTTTGACTTCAGAGAGCGCACGAGCACGGGAACATGTGTCCTACTGAGGATGCTTTAATGAGGCACTAAAACGAAGGTCTGCAGATTGGAAAAAGGTGCAATCCAAGGTCTTGACTGCGCCTGATATCACATTTGTTGTACCAGGACCTGCTGGTAAAAGAAAGAGGCAGCAAAAGGGGTTATTCACATTAGGATTAACTTACATTCAGGACATACACTCACATTTGGTTAAGATTTGGCTGTTGATATCTCATCCAGATGTCTATCTGGATCCTGCTTCTCCTTTTGTTCAGCCTCCTAGTTTGCTTGCTTTTCTGTCTCTTACTTCTCGAGTATTCGTGTGACCTGCTCTGATTCTGGGACTGAGGAGATTGTGTGTCTCAGGTTCTTCATATGATGGCATCTTTAATTGCTCCACATCCTCCCTGACCCATATTATTAATAGAGTTTTAACCACCTACATGAAACCTCCTCTTTGGCTCTACTGGAGGTTTCCTAAGGTTTTTCTCATTCTTACTTTTTATAATAAGGGAAATACTTTGTCAACACAGTCTGAGGAATCACAGGTACAGGTGAGAAGCTCAGAGTCATGCATGAAAACAAGCTGAAGCCAGCAGCTCATCAGCTTAGCTAAGCAGAAAGACCAGAAAAAGGAGGAAACAGCGAACCTTGCATTGGCCAAAGGTGACAAATTCTGCCAACAGACACCCGTAAAGCTCACTAATTAACACGTTTTATCATGTTTGCTTAATCAGTACAAAAAGGAGGTGTAAAAACAGCACGCCATGGTTAAAACGTGAGTTCATAAACATTCTCGGTCAGGTGAGGTGACTTCCTGAAGACCCTTCTCGCTTGCTATCCTTGTGATTATTGACAGTGAGAGGAAGTGACAACTTTAGATGAATATTATTGACCTGTACACTTGAACAGCCTGATCTCTAGAAATAGACTGGTTTAGTCAATAAAGAAAGATCGAGTATTAACTTTATGTTTGTTTAATAGTGATTGAGTATGCCTTTTAAAAAGTAGGACGCTAAATTGATGTTAATTTCACGCTGCTGTGTCCCTGGTCGTAAGTTGTATGATATGATTGTATGACGATGCGAGTGGTCTGGTTGTCTGTAGCTTTGCGTTTGCTGTTTCAAAACAAAGATTGTTTATGAAATGAGACGCCAAAAGATCCGCATTCATTTCTATGTACTGTACATGTGTAACCGTCTGGTGTGTGTAGATCTATAAACAAATGGATGATACCTCTATGGTGTAATGTAGGAAGTTCACCTCTTTACAGATGGATAGAAGAAATCATAGAAACCATCTGAGGCCACATGTTGGTGTTGAAAGTAGAGGAACAATTTTTTTAATCATACAAATCCATTTGCCAACAAAGGCCACCAAATTGAAGTAATTTATCCGTTAGTGAGGTTGGAAGTCTGCTAGCATACTGTCACACGGTCTCTATGAAATCTGCAGAAAAAGTTTAATTTAAAAAAACTTATTACAGGTAAGGACATCACAAAGATTCCCATAGGAATGACTGGACCTTTGGTGCATTTACCTTCGCACACATATATGCAAGTGGAAACAGGACGTTTGAGCTCCCCCTAGTGGCTGACTGCAGTGTGAGTCATAAGCCCCGCCTCCCTCCATGTAAACAGATGGAATAGGAGTCAGACTGGACAATTAGAATAAATGTCAAATACTTCTTAAACATGCTTTCTGTCATTATAAAAAGTTTATGTGCAAATTTTCACTTTTCACAAAGATCTAGTCCTAAAAAAAAGATTGATTGACAGCTCTGTTGACAAATACAGAGTCCACTTTCAGAGTAGAAGATGAACAGTGAGAGAAAAGGTGACAAACTCCAACTGAAGAGTTACTGAACTTTCCAGAACCATGGGTGTCCACTTCAAACCAAGAGAAGAATCTCTTCTGGGTTGGACTGTACCAACCTTTGAAGGGATGTTTTCATCGCTAAAAATGACGTGATGCCAGACAGTCTCACGACTCAACCAGCCAGGTTTCTTCTGCACTGGTTTGACATTTCATTATTAGCGGAAGTCACATTGTCTATTTAGAATTGATACTCATCGCCAAGGGGTTTCCGTAAGTAAGCCTGATAACGTGGAGTAATTCAGCTTCCCAAAATTCGCGTGACAGTGAAGACAAATGGCCTGGGTATGAATAAAGTGAAATGTCACCCAATTCTGTAAGAAGATAGTCTAAAGTAACGGACATCCAATTCGAGCTCAATGCAACAATGATGCATTATGTCTGTTAAATGTCACTCATCCAAAAATGATACATCATTTTACTCATCGAGTATTGTCTGTAATCTGAATAAACTCATGACTGTATTTCAAACAATCCCTCTACTGTTGCCACGATCATTCATCACACAGGGAAACCAAAAACCACGTGCACTTTGTTCTCCAGACAACTTAAGCTATATTTGGACTTGAGTGATGAACCGAGCGTGTTTATTATCCAAACTGCAGTGAGGTCTACTCTCCCTGGGAAGGCAACACACACTCAAACACACACACACACACACACACACACACTGAAGGCCTTTTGTCATATTTGGTGCTGAGATCCTTTTTTAAGATAGTGTCATACGCTGCCTGTATTTACAGCTCTTGTGTGAAGAGGACACACAGAACATGTTAGCTTCTGAGCAATGGGAGGTCCTCCCTCACAGCTCAATAAAGAAAAATAGGACCATATTTGGCTGCTGAGATGGTTGTGGCTCTGAATCACACAAAGGACAATGCCATTTGGTGCGTCTAAACATTACAGCAGGCGACATTTCATACTTTGTTTGTATTAATATAAATCAAACGAGTATAAAGTTTAAAGCAAAAAGTTATTATATTTCTTTTAGTTGGCTGGACCATTCAGAATAGAGCCAGAAACAACAGTAGTCCTTTCATGTGATAAAAAGTCTCTTTTTTAACACAGTCTCCTTTTGTTTTGAAGTCCTCCAAATGCACACCTCATCATGAAACTGGATTTTTTAGCCCTTAAACGCAAAAAACTCCATAACATTGTGCAATCCCAATGCATCATCACTCAGTTTCTTGAGCTATACAGCTTCTAGTTGAGATCATTTCAATTACACGGCATTGCTTCACAGCCCAGAGGGGACAAGGTTACATCTATTCACGCCATCCTTCGTGAAAAACACTTCGGCATCCCTCACCACCGGGGAGTTTGTTTACTTTTTAACATTTAATGACTTATTATGTCAGAGACACCTTTCCGCTAATGTCATATTTACAGGAAAGAGCCAAAAGAGTTGTGCACCTGTTGATGACTCGAGGGAGAACGATGACCGGAGAGCGCGGGACACGCCAAGTCTCTCAGAACGCAACCTTTCCAGCACTGAGTAACTCAAGACCCGTGCCAGAGACTCTTTCATAACCCAGCACTCCCACGAGTCCATGCAACCTGCCAAAAGCCCACCTCAGCTCATCCATATCTGTTCTCACAGAGCACGCAGATAAGAGACAAGATCAGGCTGTTAGCATACTGAGAAAACTCATTGTACTACTCTTCATATGGTTCGTTTTATGAAAATACTACATCACAAACAGTCGTCCTGTCAGGCAACATGTGGCATCTGTATGTTTTCAAAGTTGCCTGTTCCTGCTCCCTCATCCGTTTAACTTAGAGCCTCTCCTCATTATCAGACACATTCAGCTGAGTCCAATGAAACTAAGCCCGGCTCATCAAATAGTCAGGAGATTAAATTGCCTTCCTTTGTAAGTCCTAAGTTTGATCTATCAATTATTCAAGTCCTGAAAGGGAGCCCCCACACTGGGAATTTATTGAACTCAAGAAGGTGCCACAACTCTGAGCTCAGAGGAAACCTGTCGATGAACTTTGTGCCTCCGGCTGAACCCACAGGCTTTTTGGCACACATACGAGATCATTAGAACGCCTCACAAACCGAGAGGTTTATGGGAGGAAATCAGCGGCGGCATGTGTTCAACAAGTCAACCAAACAGAAGGCAAATAAAAGATCAAACAGGCCAAAATTTAAGAGGAGGTTCATGCATCTTTACATCTTCATCCTCACACGCGCATGACCGAAATGTTGGAGCCGATACTTCCCTGTTCTGTGCAACATGTGGCCCCACACTAACCTCAAAACCATCTTGTTTTCAAAATGAAATTATTTTTAAGTGGCATCTACCACATGGTGTCCAAAAGTAGAGCTCGCGGTAAATTCTGGCTTTTATACGAGCACATTACGCTCCCCAAGTATGGCCGCTCGCGTGTGCAGTGAGGAAAACAACAGGAGTTTGTGGGTCATTGTGACTCTTTTTGTTAAGTTTATTTTGATATTTGTAAAACTCCTGATTTAACATCCTGGCTGCAACCTCTAGTGGTATTAGACGTGTTTGCCAACAGTTAAAATAGTAGGGAACATAAAGATCAAATAAAAGCAAGAATAAGAGATGGGTAAATGAGCCAGAATCGTCGTCATACCGTTGCTCAGGCCCATGCTGTCAACAGCTTTTAACAAAATCTGTTTATGATAAGTCTCCTGTTCCAGCTCAGAGCGTGGAGAATCACCTGGCCGCACAACCAGCACCCACAGAAGCCTCAAACATTTTACTAATGACTTCCTCTGCTTCAAGAGTTCAAGCGGTTTGAGGTCAAATGTGCAGCAGTTGAAACAATATTATCGCCAGCCTCTTCCTCCAATCGCACTACCACCGAAATCTGTCTTTTTATGCTCTCATGTCGCACTTGAGCCTGCAGCGCTCCAGCAGCAGTCAGAAGGTTGATCCTGCACAGCTCAGCTAAGCCCGGTTCAGCTTTGTCTCGCAGGCTCGCACACCATCCTGGATTACAGCTGTTTGCATTGCAACTGCTCCTCGGGGGGAGAGGAGAAATCAAGTGCAGATCTCCACCTGTCCCCCGTCCAGCATCTCTTCCCTTCACGTCACTGTCCTGTTGTTTTTCCATATCCCTCCCTGCCTGTCACTTTGAGGCTAGGAAGGCTGACATTTATGGAGCTCCAGATACTGTCAAGGAGCCAGTCTGGTGGATGTGTGTATGCATTGTTTGAGTATGTATATAAATGGATGATGAAAAATGTTGAGTGAAAAAACAAACAGTGTGTTAACTTCTCCCTCTCCAAAAATACTATTTTCATTCCTCCAGTGAAAGGAATAAGATGTAGAAATGATGATTAATTTTAAAAATGTATTTAAGTTGAACATAAACACTGTGGGGAAAGTTATATCAGAAGCAATGATGGCTGAATAAAGGACATCTTGAAATTTATGCCGTATGACAGATTTTTGAATCATTACAAAAAATAAAATAAAATAAAAAATTTTAAAAAAAATGTAAAATAAAGTTGATGGCCTAACTTGTTAAAATTGGAGCAATTATAATAATAATAAAAATGGAAAATAAAAATACTTAAATGGGAAAATTCTATACTTATTTAGGGTACTTACAACAGCATGTCACTACATGAAATAACGTTAATAATAAGTTTTATTCTAGGTTAAGACACCTCTCCATAAGTAGCCTTAATTTTGATGAAAGCTGTATAAACACAACGATAAAAACACAAAGTTATATGTAAATTAACTCACCTTTACATCTGCCCCGAATGATGCTGTTCATTGGCAATTTCCTTTTTTATAAGGGAAAAATTCCGTTACATGTTTGGTCACAAAGAACTCCTCCTACACGAAACCCCCAAGCAACCTTCCTCTGCCATCATTTCAAAACACGTCATTTCATTTCTTTTAATGTCTGGCAAATTTCGAAGTCACTTCCGAGCAGGCAGGGTGCACTTTACAGAGACAAATGTGCACGCTGGATGACAAATCAATTCCTCCAGCAAATGTTCATATGCATAAGAAAGTATATCCCGATGACAGTCACCCAGACTTTGTAATTACTCTCAAGTCAGAAGCAGCGTTTGCCCTGCGGCTCGAGCGAGTTGCGCTTTTTAAATCCACTTTGTGCGTCGAAGAAGAAGTGCATCCAACTCAGTCAAGTCGAGTTTTAACGCCGCGATATTTGCATCCAAACCTCAGAGCTGCCAGCGGGCATTACAGGCCACACCCCTCCAATTCTCTCTGAGAGATGAAAAACCTGAGCTGGACTTGTGCGAGTGTTCACCTAAATATGATGTGAAACCCTGATGAATCCAATTCACACTAATGCACCTTTTTGTGTTCATATAAAGATGGTTTTGAAATGTTTTGACTGAAACAAAAGAAAGGCAAGTAAGACAAGTTTAATCCAAGTGCATCACTCTTAGAGCAATTCAGAGTGCTTCAGATTGTTCAAACAGCACTACAAAGTTATTTCCCATGTATTTCTTATTCAATCACATTTTGATTCTGCATAATGTAGAAGTTTCTTATTTCTGCAACACAAAAACTAAACTTGTTCTGCCTCAAATACAGCTTTTATTTCACCATCTCAGTGAGTATGGATATGTCTGATTCTGAGCATGAGATATGCAGCTAAGATAGTTCTTAAAAAAATACATTAAAAAGTCAATTATTATCATTAAAAACTCAATATAGAGAAAGGAACACTGTGGTGCAACAAGTCAATTGAGATAAACATCTATTTTAGTTTGTTTATGATACAAATTTAATTGACTTCAGCTTGTAAAATAGATTTCCGAACCCATATGATAATTAATTGAAATGTTTTACACACTTAAATAAGTTGCAGATGATCTCGTGTTTGTGTCAGTGCATCTCTGATATGAAATGGGACTTTCCAGAAATTGTATGCTTTGAATGAAGGTCATGCTTTCAACTAAACATGTGACTCCCTGCAAACTGTATTCAGGAATAAATAACAAACATAAGCATCAGTTTATGTTTTTATAAATACTGAATTTTAGAGAAATCTCCATCTCCTTGTTATCCAACAGGGGGCCATAAACAGCAATTCTTTGAGATCACAACTTTTTGCAGTGATTCCGACATTTATCAGTAATGTTACCTCTGGATAAACACCGTCATGTTGAGCTGCAAATCTCCTGCTGAAGGATTTATCATGAGAATGGAGTCTCAGTGCCCAGGATGCTGAATTTTATGATGATAGGCAAGAGATAAACAGAGCCAGATCCCTGCAGTTATTGTGCACATCATCACTCCAGCTTAATGATGACCTGTGATTCTGTTTGATGTTACTGCTGCCTACATATGTTTTAGGTGAGTTTCATTTTTGTATAGTTGAAAAGACAAGAGACATCTAGCTTTAATTTTCACTGCCAAACTTTCGTAGTCCTCTCTTATAACTCCAAATACCAGCCAAATATTTTTGATGAATTTATAAGACAACCTTATTTGCGAATAATCTCTCCACAGAAACATCACCATGAATGGTTTATATCACTTTCTTGAAACCAGAAGGGTAAATGACAAGTGGCACTCCTGATTTGGACTTTATTTTCAGCGCTTTTCTAAGTCACTTTGACAGCCTGTTAAGTCGTGAAACTATCCGCCGCTGCCCGCCAAGAGACGGCCCAGGGGAGCCCTAAAACAGAGACAGACAGTCTTTTTGTATCAGCTGTAAGATGCTTATGCATGCAAATGTTACAAAGCAAACTTTATTAAGGTAATAATTTCTGTCATAGCCTCAAAGCCAAGAGGCTCCCAAAGGCAATCTAACGGGCAATGTGAGACGTCCAGGGTGGACTGAAGAGCTGCCAGTTTAAAGAGAGAGCCGGGAATTAATGATGACTAATGACAGGTTTATGTCTCCAACACTGTGACTGTGCAGAACAGTGAGACTGTCAGGAGAAGATTTACAGATGTTCATCATTTCCATCATCATCAAACAGTGAAAACATCACCACTGTCCCAAGAAAAATTCATCAAAATGAGCTTTTTTATGAAACCGTAGAAAACGTTTTGATCGGTTGAATCTTAAACAAAACAATTTATACTTTAGACTAAACCAAATACAGACTAGAACAAAGATGTGACAGGTCTGGATTTCCTTACTGCTTATAAATTTGAGAAAATTATTTATCCTGTCTCATGAAATCTGAAAGAGAGGAATAATGTGGTATACTATAAGTCATCCAAACAACGTGCTAAGTTTCCTCTAAAGCATTTCCTTTCATTCGCCGGACTAAATTTAATACTGATGCTTTTATGTGGGAAATATTACCCAACTAGACAATTTGCATAAAGTTGGTTATTTCTTTTAATCTGTTATTAATTTCTGAAACCATTGCAGCAGAGTGGGTGTCAGATAAAGTTAATTAAAGTGTGTTGCCTATCAGGGGCACAACTAGACCTATTAAACTAAGGTGGCCAAACCCAAGGCACCGCTATGGGCTGGGTGCGATATATATTTTTTTTGGAGGATGGTAGGGGAAAGTCCCGCCTCCTTTGCCTCTGATTGGCTAGAAAAGCTGGAAACGTCATAACACACTCAGGCCAAACACGGACTGTCGGCTCTGTACATCAAACAGAACATTACAGAACATTATCGCACTTCTGAATCTTCTAATCCTAACCCGACAGATGATGACGTTTCACAGCCATAAGGAATAACCAAACAGAGCCCAGCACTTCTAGCCAATCAGAGGCGAAGAAAGGCGGGACCTTCACCTACCATCCTTCCAAAAAAAAAGTTCGCGGGCTGGGTTCAATATTTACTTTAACAACTGTCGTTGAATTATCGCACTTTACATTTCCATTTTTTTACTTTATAAAGGAACAGCAGCTTTATTTTTTCAGCTCTATTCTTTAGGAACTCAAAATAAAGATCTTCATTCACAGTAACTGTGAACGACACTTACAGGAGAAAATTTACCAGATTTACAAACAAAGAAAACTGCAAGCAGCCAGTTACTGTACAGCCCTATAGTTACTTTGATGTTAACTCCTTTCTCCAGCAAATAGCTGATCAAAGTTTTGATCAGCTAACCCTAACCCTAACCCTACCCCACCTTTGACCACTCCTCTGCCACAAATACATTCTCTATATTTACATTCTCTCTGTGATTAATTTGACTTAAAGATTAAAAGATCTTTCATTAAACAGGCGAAGGACAAAATTGGAAAGAAATCAGAGATACAGAGGAGGCAGTACAATCAATGCAAACCCTACAGGAGCTTTAAGTTCACTCTGCAGACTGTCTAATAGCTCTGTATCACAGTTTGGACACTTCGGTCACATGTATATGAAGCTATTTCACAGTTAAGAGAATATTTTAAGGGGAAATAAGTAAGGATGAGATTAATACTTTTTGCAGAATTAGGCTGAAATGTCCATGAGGTCAATGCTGGAAAAACGACATATCAGACCACTTTATCTGTTCATGGTTATTAAAAACATTTTTTTTAGTCTAACAGGATTTATTCTGTTGTTCAAATCACTTAGAGATTATTTCAAACTGGGCAGCTGTTGTGGGATGTTTCAGATGCCAATTTTTATTCAAACAAGGTTTTTGTGTATGTTGTACGTGTGCCATTTTGTGCTGCTCTTCGCCACAATCTGTTCCCTCCTAATGACTTACTTAACCACATTTGAGGCTTTCTCTGAAGTCAACTATCTCCCCAGCCATCTGCAGAAAACCTCATGACCCCGGGCTATTGTGTCCGGAGAACAACAAACTGTCTCCCAGATAAAATATACAGATTAGGAGGTGCCTTAATGGACAGTCATCAGATGCTTTGCAGTAAGACACTGGAACACGAAGATGGGACGTGATGTTGAGAGGAGAAATCTGGTTATAAACACAGATACAGATAAAAACAGAGCAGGGTTGAGTGGCAAGGAACTCATAAAAATGAAGGAAGTGCTTTTCCATGTATTGTTCACTACAAAAGCCGAGCTTTTCATCACCATTTTATCCTCTTCCTAGTTTTAAAATCTAAATCAAAAGTGATGTCTCATTAAAAAGAACAAACAGTCCAAACTGTCACCAGCTGACATAACTCATCAAAATAACAGTCAGGCTTTAATTTCAAATCTCACACGGGAGTGGTCTTTTCTATCTTAAAAGAATAAAACCAAATTACCATAATTATGGCGGGAATATTTATAGGTGTCTGACAGCAAATGACTTGAATGAACCGCGGGAAGTCATAAACTTTGAGCTGTGACTGAATCAGAGCCTGCTGATGGAATCATTGTCTCTCGTCAGCCCATTCCTGACAAAAGGCACTCAATTAAAATGTAACTTTCCACTCACTGATCCCTGCTACCAATACCGCCAAACTTACCGCGGCTGCAGAAAATCCTCGCCACCGCAATCCCAGCCCCAACCTTCTTGGTTCAAACTTGGCTTCAATGTAAAGAAACAGGGGTGTTAAAATCATGCTTTAGACCTACTGTCATCATGGCCACCTGCTTTACATTCACTGTTTAGGCCAAGCATGCCTTTTAGTTGATCCCAAGAGCATATTAGAAACAACTATGCTAATGTGTGAGCTAGCCTTTAGTTTCAGTGAGGGGTTGGGTTTGAAAGACTAATGTTAAAATTAGTGTTCAGTTGTCTTTGTTCAAATATCACTTGTCTTCTTAAAGGTAGGGTTGGAAATCACAGCAAACTATCATGAATTTCAATGTTGCATCTCCCCACGACGCTAACTATTTTTTGTTGGATGGTAGGGAAAGGTCCCGTCCTTCTTGGTCTCTGATTGGCTAGAAGTGCTGGGCTCTGATTTGTTATTCCTTATGGCTGTGAAACGTCATCGTCTGTCGGGTTAGGGTTAGGAAATTCAGAAGTCTTTGCACAGCAGGAACATAGAAGCTAATGTTAGCATCGGGATGACCACATAACTAGCAACATGGCTAAATACTTGATCAAGATTAGAAATCGCCCTGAAACAAACCCTCAACATAAAATGAGTGACCATGGCATCACTCTTAAAGCCCTTGACCTCTTTCAGTTCTCTCTGTAGCTGAAAATCTGTCTTGATGTTGACTTCCATTTTCGCCCTTGCTTTCTCCAACCTCTGTCTTGCTTCGGCCTTCTCTGCCTGCATCATTCTTTTTCTTGCTCTTT